TAGGTATCGTAGGAGTATTCTGATCTCTCATAGAGAGTATATTATTGTCAACTATAAAGTGAATTCCTCCACTCTATAAAAACAACACCATATGCCTACTGGAATCACTTACTTTTCTACCAGTAGGAGCTCGGGGCCCCGGGTTCGCTAAAACCGTAACATCATATTTTTTTAACGTTTATTTTGTAAGTTATATATAACATATTATTTTATAATTTTGTTGTTCGCCCAAACAGAAATGCTTGAAAATTTAATACGAGGTTCATTATACGTTTTACTTGATGGTAAAAAAAAAGTTGTTAAAAGCGTTTTAAAATCAAATTTTTATATAAACCGTAAAAATTACAGTAATTCAAAATTACCGAACTTTGCTCAGTATCGTTTTTCGTTATCAATGGTTTACTGTTGCGTAGAAATATGAATGAAATAATTTTATGTAACCTACCTTCTGAATTTCCCACCTAGAGCAGTGACACACCAATTTTTTTTAACTCCTTTGCCAACACAGAGAACTGAAAATCAATTTAGTTGTTTTAAGCTAAATGTTTACCTAAACTTTTTATACTTTAAGGCTTAAATAAGTAAAATCATAAGTTAATACATCTGATATTCAACACAAATTTGAAAAAATAATAGTTGTCTGTTAATTTTAATATGTATTACATTAATATTGAATTTACTGTTTAACAGTTCATAACTGTTAAGAATTAAAATCAGAGGAGTAGAGAACAGTAATAAATCTATCATAAAACATTATTTATTATTATAATAAAATAATTGCCCTGATTAGTCAAATACAATAAGTAAAAATTTTAAAATTATTTAAGCAAGAATTGGGATGGTTTTGAGAAGATTGACTATAGAAGTTTTGAATTATGTCATAATATATACACATAAATGGGCGTGTAGAAAGTTCGTGCTTATAAGATGGAAACGTAATATTTTTTATAAATTAAAAATAAAACTATTGTTATAATAATTATACGCTTATAGTGTCGAATTAATGTATGTTTAGACTGGATAATAATAATAGTAATAATAATGCGTCTATAGGGCGCCAATTTTTTTCCCTATACATACACAAGCCACCATGACATAGGATTTTTTTTTCGTTATTGACCGGAGACATAGTGACAATGCCACGGATTTAATATGGTTATAAACTACAGGGAGATAAAAATATGGTTTCAGATTATTGTTGCAAAAGGCGTTATTATTTCAGCGCAGGTGAAAAGTGCAGAACAAAAAACCGTTCATCATCAATTTATGCAGAGTAGGCACCGGTTACAGCCGACGGCCTCAGTGATTAACGATCAGTCACCGTGTAAACATCACAATGATAATAATATGGTTCCATATAATATTTTGACGCCTGTCCATTGACCAACAGATGATTTTTTATGTTTTATTTTGTTTAAGTTACTTATATTTCGTATATATTGGCGCCATTCTGCAGTGGTGTCGACTTTCCACGATTCTATGCTGTTCGTTATCAGTTCAGTTCGTGGCTTAACATTCTATTCAATGTAGGTACTCTATTTGAATACCTATTTCACGGGTGAAATTTAAGTACAGTAAACGGTTTTTGTAATAATTTAAATTTGTTACCATCATTCATCGCAGTCTCAAAACATAATCACTGAAAATATCAATTTTTGAAATACATATAGGAAGATGAAAATCTGATGAAAAATCCTCGAAAACCGAAAAATAATGATGAAACAGTATACTAGAGGGAAGAGAAAATTTTTTTCACACGTGTTTTACAAATAATTTATCAAAATAAATACAGTTAATTACGATTCCAATATGATAAATTGCAGCGTTTTAAATCGAGCGTTCAGGATCGCTTACGATATCATGACGTATACTTATAATAATTATAGTATATAAACGAATGTAAAGAATTTCTATTTGTTTGTTGGCGATTTTTAAAATAATTTTCATCTAATATATTATAAAAATGATTATTAGTTTGTTCGTTAGTGATCTATCAAAAACGATCGAACCAATTCGAATTAATTTCAACCCATTAAGGTGGGGTGGATTACATATGCGTTTCATTTCAGCTCACGAAAATGTAATATGTTTTTTGTTTATATATTCGGTTGCCATTGGTTACAGATAGTAAAATAGTTATGATATGAAAAAAGCTATTTTAAAATAGAAATTTAGTGTTTTTGGTATAATTACTAATTACCAAAAACCATTAACCGTTGACGGAAAGTCTTAAAAAGCACTGGTCCGTTTAATACTGTGCACGGAACAATGTACGGGCAATAAAGGTGAACTGTAGTGATAGGGACGGAAAAGGGAAGACCATGAGGGGGGAACTTAGATCCCCAAAATTCTTCCAAGCCTCCATAAATCAAGTCCTTATTAGGTATATGCATAGTTAATATTAATCAATATTATGGGTTGTTAAGCACCTCCTAAAATATTTGGACTATTTGCGTCTATGTCAGGATAGCTAGATTAATATAATAATTATTCGATGACTACAATTTAGCAAGTGCAATAATTTAAACATAAGAGGTAGCGATTCAGAATAGAATTGTTGGGATCTGGAACGATTTCGGATTTTGTAATCGGGTGTCGGGTTGAGGACATATTTATTATAAATTATAATGTATTTTATATTAAATTATTATTGTTAGGTCATTGAAGTCATATTTCAAGATTATATTTATGTTTGCTTTATATTGGAACAATGATTTGCGTAAAAAAAATAATGTTTTATTACGTTCTACAAGATAATGCGATTAGTCGTGTTTGTTTTTTTTTTTCACAGACCGTAGTTGACTCATAATTCGTGATCTACTTTTATAGGTACCGTAAATAGGTGACCATATTTATTTACATTATATTTAATCAAACAATTATTATAATCGTCTATAACTAAAGTATCTAAAAAAAAAAAAAAAAACAGCCTTGTTTATTTTTAAATATTTTGTTTTATTCGTCATGTTTGAGGACTTTTGTGCAACGTCTGTTAAAAAGTAATTTATTTTAGATTCTGAGTGAAACGAAGAAACTATATTAGTTTGGGGTACTAAGGCATGTGTTAATTTTCTCTATTTTTATGCCACACTTTAAAAAGAGAGATTCCCACTAGTTTCTCTATACATTTAAAAACTGACAATACGAGTAAATGTCGATAGGTAGGTTTTATTTTTTGTTGATTTCTGGGTTTCTTTGTCTACAAGGGGAAACATAATAGCACACCGTTCAGAATCGTTTTTGATTTTATTGATTTGCCGTTATTTTCGATAAGTATGTAAATTTAATTATTCTTTATGGTTATATCGTATACCATTAAAATTTCTCACCTATTACAGTCGTTTACTGATACATCTGGAGATACATTAAAAAAAAAAACGCTACAAAATGTGATTTGATATTTTCAAAATATTATTTCAATTCGAAATAATTTAACTGTGGGTGTTGTGTAGTTATATATTATGCGTATTTTTATCTATAAATACTTATCATCCAGAAATTTGTATGCGCACAAAATAGTGACGAACTCGCGTGATTAGATATTATGAAAGTACTCGACCCAAAGTGTCCAATGTAAAATATATTATATAATTTCTTATGAACGTGTAGAGGTTATAATAAAAAATAGTTTTATAATTGTGATCCGACAAAAGAATAATTTTAGATTCTGAGTATTAGTTTTACAAAGATTTTTTTTTTTTTTCGGAAAACCGTTTTTCGGTTAGTTAGAATGCTGCAAAATGTTCGCTTCGTGCGTTTAAAGATGAGGATTTTTGTCCGGTAATATATTGTGTGATATATTTTTCTAGACTCAACAGCCTTCATAAAAAATTAGAAAAAAAAAACTGACAACAAATAACTGTTGAGTTTATTTTCATTGATTTCTGCTGCAGGATTACCTTGGCCACTAGGTTGGGGAAAAACGACCATTACTGTGATATAACCTTACAAGCTTACCGAGTTCCACTCAGAATCGTTTTTCGGTAACAATGATTAATCGTTGAAACTAAATTACCCTGTAATACATACTTATTCCGTACTTTTACAACTTCCCACCTATTATGCAGAAGTGAAGTGGCAAGTCTGGAGATTTTTCAGATGGTCTGGACCGTTTTTGGCCTGATGGCTAGATAATTCTGAGATGCAGTATTATTATTAAAAAAGTTTAAACATAACAATATTATTTGATTATATTTTTTTCACATCTATAGAACAATACAAATTATAATTTCTGAAAGTTATGATAATACTGAAAATGTAGTTTTGTGAGTTCAAATTATTAAACAGCCGAAATCGAGCGCAGCGACAAAAATCGGTGGGTAGGCACGTATTTTGTTGGGTGGCCTGGACACATTTCAATACCCTTGCATCTGAATTCGGTTCTCATATCCAGTCCTGTGGCTATTGTACAACCAGTGGCGCGAAGTACGTCCGGTTTCGTGCTACTCAAAAAAAAAAAAATAAATAGAATGCAATCCGCGCGGTATACGTTACGAAAACACGATGTTAATGTTGTGCTCTCGCTGTCGCTGTGCCTACGTAACATCGTATCTCTGCCGCAGAGCTCCGTTTATAGATCAAAATCTGTACGTCGCGTGGGAATATTCACGCGATTTTTTTGGCAAAAAAAAAAAAATCGCTTTCGGCGTCTCTTGTGAGACACCGACTCGCGGCGGACGTTAATAGAATACCGTGCCGCAGTCGTTGGTTTTATTTTTTTTATGGCGGAGATTACGCGCGGTTGTGAAAAAGCATTTAGAGGTATACACCTATTTATTATGATATTTACAGCCCGCAACCGTGACGGACATCGCGGCAGGATTTTTTGTCTTCAAAACGACTACAAACGCAAAACGCGTTTTCATTATTACTTATATTATTATTATCGCGGCGGCGGCGGTGGCGGCGGTGGTGGGGCCTGCGATACAATCGCCCGGGCCTCGTGGCGGTCCGGCGTGATGTGCCCGCAATAGTCGGCACCGTCAGTCCTCTCATTCGTATTTTCCGGTTTGGACGCGCGCGCGCGTATATTATACTGAATCGTTTTTTTTTTTTTAAATTTTTGTCTACATTTTTCATTTCAATTTATATCCGGCGAAACAATAATATTTTTGTACGCGGCTTTATTATTCGTATCTACGGCCCGCGCAGCGACATTAACATTGCAATAATATGACCGTTGTGGATTCGAATATCGCGAACGAACGTCGTCCGAAAAACACCGGCGCATGATCGGCTTCGTCATATCTACCGCGCGTTAAAGCGTTTAAAAAAAAAAAAAAACCACTGTGCGAAAAACGGATAGCCAAAACAATAACAAACATCACCGTAAGTTTCTGAAAGTTTGTTATTTTATTATTTTATTATAGTTTAAAAAAAAATAAATGATAATCCGTAACGGATTATATTTGTGCGCTCGTCCGCCCAACGTGCGTTTTCGTTGGGTATAGGTTATCATTATATTTAAAACTATCGACAAATCTGATAATCTTTCGAGTATATATGTATTATATTACACAACCTGATCAACATAAGCCATTTTTCATCTCGGAGAGTATTAACTTTTTTCGAAATTTTTTTTTTTTAAGCATTAAATAAATAGCTCTAAAATGTTATTACGATGAATTTAAGTCGCCCTTTTTCTTGAGTGGTGAAACCTACTCATGATGTTAAAAAGACAACCGTAAACTAAAAATTCCATAAATTGATGTAGTACTAGTTTAAATACATTTTGGTGTTGACATTTTTAATTTCCGTCAACCCGTTGATGAGATATTGCACTGTTAAGTTTAGGTAGAATCAAAATTGATTTAAACTAATACTCCGTTTATTTATGGAATTTCTAATGTATAGGTTGAAAATCAAAAGTAAGTAGTGATTTCACCTTTTAAAATAAAGGTGACAAAAAACGAGCAATATAACCTTTTAGAGCTACTGCTTTTTCAAATGTTCTAAAAAACGATTGCGAAAAAAGTTAATACTTTTCGAGATCACCTTGTATAATTTGATTTGACTCATATATACATATTTCGGATCGATTTTAAAGGAAAATCCTTAGCACATTTCACACTGCACCCATAACATTCAATAGTGTTTTGTTTTTTTTTAAACACTGGTAGTTTTAAGAACGTTTAGGAAAATAGCTTAATAAAAATCGAACCTATACTATATATACGTACCTTTATCAATTTTTTAACATCGGAAATAAATATGATAAAAAATGTAAGGTTTAAAAATGCACTTTTTTTAGTTTGTATACTTAAACTTTATACTTACGCATTATGAAAACGATATGATGTGAACTACGATTTGTTTTGCGTTTTATCTCCGCGGTATATTATTGCCTGTAACCGCAATCGGTAATTTATACCTACTATAATAATAAACAGTTGATGTTTAGTGTAGTTGTAAACAAACAAAACGCACCGGGATTGTTGTATAACCGTCGTCGTCGTTACAAACTCCCGCGCGCCGAAATCGAAATATATGCGCGGGAATTTCATGATGGTTAGCGTTTTTATGATTAGTTACGGGCGGATTTGAGATATTTCCTACTTCATACACCGCCGCCGCTATGTATACAAGTCTCGCAGTTTGCCGCGAGCAAAACAAATTATAATGTAATGCTCTAAAAGTGTAGATTTAAAAAAAAAAAACCTTTCCTACAATAATACGCGTACATCCGTGTATATTTACCTAATCGTATTTCCAGAATGATACCCGGCCGGTAGGTAGGTGCATCCATGCGGTAACGGATCCGTTGTCGCATACTTGTTTTCCTGGTGTGTTTAGAAAAAAAAAATATTTCGGGTGGAGGGGGGGGGGTTCAGATTGTACACTTTCATACTCTTATGAGAAAAAAGTTTATATACTTTCAATGATGTAGGATTTTTTATTTTTTTCATTAAAAATGTCAATATTTTATAACATTCATTTTAGCCTTTTAGGTATTTATTACTAAATTTTACATTTAATACTTGTATAGCAAATACAACCTAGATGATAACATAGTTCACATTATTGTAATGATAATGTGGACTATGCAATATCGCCGTATCAGTTATAATTTTCTAAAAGCAGGAAAACCACAAAAAATTAGAAATTACAATAATAACAATATAATATTCCTGCTATCTATAGTAGAATAAAATTAAAATAAAACCAAAATTGTATTTATCTTCCTCGTTGACAGAAACCACTTTTGGGACTCTATTAAACGTCTACTTTCGTCGTAATTTTCATGAAATTGTTTAGAGGAGAGGGGGGTTCCGGAGTTGAACCCCCAAACACCCATCTCTTTGTACACGCACCTGGTGTTATATTTATGATAAAATATTATTGTAAATAATAGTGTTGCGCGTTGTAATATTATTGCAAATTTTTTATACGCGGACGTTCAACTTGCACCGTCAAAAGCGTACTAATGCAGTTAGTCAGAGTATCCGTATATACGACACATTATGATACGCATACGATATTATGTAGGAGGTACCGCATAATTAAATATAATGTACTCTCTCGTGAGTAATAATACGCGGTGTAGATACGTAATATTATATTGTCCATTATAATACGCGCGCATTAATAATGAATCGAAATAAATCGAATAGCCGGAAACGTTTCAAGTTTGTGTATAATATACTTATCGTAAATACGTTATTCGTACTTGCAACTTGTAATCGTTAAATATTTAAAAAACACAAAAAAAAAAAAAAATTGTTTTTTCGAACCATAATAATATAAGTACCTACAGTTTGTTTTTCCAATATTTTATACACATACGTACAACATGTTAGGTAAGTACCTATCTACCTATAATTATTTCAAAATTACATTACCTAATAAATAATTTCATCGGGTTTTTTTTTTTTTTTTTTGGTTTTGTTCGAGGCACTTAAATAATACCTAAAGTAATTTTTGTGGAACAATATAATAATATCAGAAAAAATGTATATTCATATTGTACTGAGCATTATATTATTACGTTTTAGTTAATTTTAAAACGAAAATAATGTATGGAAATTATTACCTAGGTATTCCTCCGTGTATAACATATTAAGTCAGATTTATTTCACAAAATTGTAACATAGACGATTCGCGTAGTTATTTTATGAAATTTAGGATGTAACAACTCTTAGGTAATTAAGTTTGATCGACTTTCCAAGTTTTTTTTTTTAGCGCTCGTTGAAATGCGAATTTGTTTCATTCATTTAAAACCTGGACATCTTTACATCTTTACTGATTCATAAAGTGATTAGTACAATTGTGTTAAAATACTACAGATTTAATTGTTTTTTTTTTTTAATTTACACATTCTTACAAAATACTCATTAAGAAGGTATTTACAGTGGCGCCAAAACCTAAGGGCAATCCTTGGCCTTGAAAAGAATTTCAACATTAATCATAATGGCCACTTCGTTTGGGCCAAAGTCTGGTACTTCATTCCAAAATAGAAACTAACTCCGATCGTAATTTTGGCCATAAATTGTCTGTATTTGTTGATATTGGGGCTACTTGAAATGTATTTCGTCCGATCACGTTTTTAGAACTTCAGAGCCACTGGGTACCTACGTTTTTATCCAGTTGCTGCGCACTATAATAATATAATAATAAAAAAAAAATTGATAACTTATACGAGTATCTTATATAATATTGCCAACGGATATAATATAATGCTATTGCATACATCAGATCTCATCGTGATATTGAATCGTTTAATGGCGGAATAAACATTTCAAAATGTATCTACTTGTAGTTTGAAGGTCAATGTATAGGAGTAATTGCATAATAATTAAAAATATAGGTACCTATATCAGTAATATTTTTTATCCATATAATATATCACGTGTATAGGTTCATTGATTTTATTTACAAAACAGTAATTATTTACTATATAGATATAGAAATTTTAAATTCGAAACTCGTGTAGCTCAATATAGTATCCCGATAATTGGGCGAACTCGACTTAGTTTTTTTTTTTTTTCTTTGCTTTATTATAAATATCTGCATGATTTCGGAGCGCGTTTTATATTCGAAGCATAAAATCGCACGTGAGAATATTCTATAAATCACTTGTTATGCCATTTTAAAAACTAATAATTAATAGTTAATTAATAGTTTTGATCGTTATGCATTAGGATCGTTTTTCTGATTTACGTAATACGTTTACGTGATCTTTTCGACGTGTGCCATACGAGTATAGGTATACTCACACCTGCAGGTTTAATAATCACAAACATCCTATTGATCACGACCTAAGTACGTATAGGTGTGATAATATAAACTTTGACCATACGATCATATAGTGGAATCGTTACAAAAATTTGCAAATATATTTATCTAAATATTACAGGTGCATAGAAAAATAGTGAAAGGTTCACAAACGCGGGCAGTAATGATGAAGGAAAAAAAATACATTATAGGTGTAATTATGATTTATTTTCTAGCGATGTTTAGGTCCGAACGTGGGTTTTTTTTTTTCTGTAACAATTTTACGTCGCATAATAATAACATTATAATACGATATACATTATTATAATGCGTACAATCATATAATCGTGTAATTTGGTTTTTCAACATAGTCCAGAACCGCCGCCGCCCCGACCGCGTATACGCAGATAATAATAATAACAGTTAATAACCGTCCATGTGATTTTCATTTCGGTTATGCTTTTATCATTGTTATTATTATTATTTTTTTATATTGTTTCGGGTGTGAAAATCAGAAATGTCCGCAGTTGAAATCCGACCAGAAACCGCCCCGGGAGCCAATCGCGGGGCTTTCGATCGACAATCGACGTTTTGTCCCTGCGTATTATAAAATTAAAAAAAAAAAAAAAAAACACTAGCCACAGTCTGCAGATATTCGATTACATTACGAATCGTACTATTATTATTATTGTTATTGCGGTAATAATATACCTGTAGCTGGTAATCGATTCGAATTGTCTACTGGGTTTCCATTGTTGTGACGCGCCGAACATCGTATTATTATTGTATGGGTGCGGTCCGAGGACTGGATGACACCACGTGTTTAATAATAATAATAATATATACAATATATTTTGTCGTATACCGCGTATATTATTGTTATTATTGTGTACTCGAAGAATAGCCTTGCGCGGGGGCGAATTTATGATTTTTTTATCGGGTCCGGGGGAATTACGAATCAAACGGCGGTCAACGAACCAGCACCAGGGTTGTAGAGAAAAAAAAATAAAAAAAAATAAAAAATATCCTATTATAACACTATTTGATTATAAATACAGTTTTATCGTAATTATTTAAGAACAGATTAACAATATTGAAAATAACGTTACTTCTTTATCCAGAAGTAACACCTAGGAATTGTTCATTTTCATTTATATTTTCAGAATGATTTGAAATCATATTACTAAATTTCTTCACTCTTCATGTTATTAGTTATTTCAATTTAAATTTTTGAAAAATTACACGTATAGTGAATATTGCTGTTTACCACAAATAAATCCTCTCTATGATTCTCTCTTGGACGATTTTTTCATAAAAACTAATGTAATTTATAGTAGACGATTTTAAAGTAGGTAGTAATTTGTGTAATTATGTGCAAATATTATACCTACTGAATTAATTTGACACAAAAATAAGTATACGTTTTAAATGCAATTAAAAATGATTAAAATATTAAGTATCCCGGACCTATAGTGTTGTTGATGACTTAAGGTCTTTGTATGCTCTTACTTTCAATATTGTTCGACAATATAACGCATAATATTATCGTAAAACACTAAAACCGTAACTATTAAAATATTCAAAAGAATTCATTATAATACATATTTATATTTATTTTATCAATTATACAGTAATAGAGCGCCTTAGACGAAAACCGGCCCATCGGGAAATTTCCCGATTCCCAAATAGGTCAATCTGTCCCTGTCTATGTGTTTTTCGACCGCGATAGACTGGCTCGTTGGTGACAGTTTATATGTCCAAGGGGAAAATCGTAGTCTATTCCTTCGTCCTGAGGTGCTTGGACAACCGGAGACGGATAGCGACTTTCAAGCTATAATACTGCACTTTTCATGATGCGCTTCGTTTTTTACACATCGCCACTGACACGATACAATATCGTCCAAAAACTTTCCATTACAATTCGACAATCCGAAACAAAACGGTCCAAATAACCCTTATAAAAGGTCTAAGTGATAATTTTTATATCAAAGGATATATGAGGGAACATATAGGTGCATCGTTTGGATCAACTATCACACTTCGAAGTGGCTACTTTATAACAAACAATCAAATTTTAAAATTTAGGATATAAACAACATTTCATAATATTATGTTTGCTCTAAACAACGGATCTATGTGACATTTTTATTAGAGACTAAACGTTAATAGTGCAAAATGTATGAAGACAAAAATATCGATTGGGCTCATTTGCCTTGGTGCAATCTAATATAATTCGACGACAGTTCAGACATTTGAAAACCTCAGTACCCTTCAACATAAACACTGCAGATATAGTTTTTTTTTTTTAATTTCCGAACTCACGATGACATTTTGTCAGCACTGTACGTATTTCTTTTTATTTCAATGAACCTAAGTTTTTACATTTTTTTTTTTTATATTAACGACATTTAATATAGTCTTTATATTCATGTGTTGATCCATATATAATATTTATTGACGTTCCTCGACTACCTATAATTTATTTGTTTAATCGGACCTGGGGAAGGATGACCCGCGAACAAGATTACCTATCATCGAGTTTCGGTCATTTTAGCGTGGTTTTGACAAAATGCGAATACGATTTAAAAACATCGTCACGCGGTGGTAGACAAAATGTCTATCGGTAAACTAATACTACAGTTATCGCGTCTCACGTATCTGGTCATTATATATTATAGGGAAAAATTGGTTATAGAAAACGGCGGTCTACCGGGGTTGTGTAATATATTATTATAATTTTACGCCAAATAGGATCAAATATACATGGAAAGTCCACGCGGATAATGAAAAACGAGTTGAAAAAAAAAATCAAATTTACGCAAATAAACGAATAAAAAATATAATAATTGCGGGGCACTTACAGATAATAATTGTGTGACATATTAAAACCGTTCGTGTGTATCGTAATCGTTGTGTACATTTTTTACGAAACTATATCGACGATTGATGTAGAAAAAAGGGCGTAAGAGACATTTTGTTATTATTTGCTTACATGCAATTTTATCGACGATAAAGTTGGTTTTTTTTAATTTTTTCACAAGTTTATTACACAAAGGTAATTTTAGCTTACGTTCTTTCAACTATTAATGCTCGATAATATTATTTTCGCGCACAATACACTCTGAATATTATTGATTTCGAGTTAAAATCACCATTGGTTCGGTTTTATTTATACACGTGTCGATATTATAATTATTCAAAAATATCAAATATATTTATTACGAGTGCCAAAAAAAAAACCCCGTATATGTACGTGAAAATATTTAAAAAAATATATAATATACGAATATCGAGAATCGTATACACGTCAGTATGATATTTGGACGTTATCAATTGTTTTATTAAATATTTATACGAAATCGATTCGATTGAATTTTCAATACAATATCGTGAAAAAAGCGAGAGGCGTCTTTTCTGATTTTTAAAATACATTTTATTCGTTCGAACCGTATACCCCATTATAAGATGTCCAATATAAATTATAATGCGAGCCGTACGTACAGAATTAATTATAATCGACGAAAATAATATGTTAACGTCTTAGAATTAAACGATTTTTTTTTTATCAGTGCAAAAATATTTTTTTCAACGATTTCAGAAATTATTACATTATAGAGTCACAAAACTGCTTTCCATAGTATTTAACATTTCCCCTCCCCTCCCTCTTTATCCGACCTACGCCCAATTACGACACATCAGTCACACGTTAATGGTTAGTTACACAACGACGCGACGGTGAGACTTTACAAGCGTGTTATATAGCCGCAGTCGGACTGTCTGCATCCGTGATTTTGTCATGTATCGAGAAGACACACAAAGAACACGTTCTCTGGAAATAATGATATCAGCGATTTACATATATATAGATACTACGGCACGTGCGCACAGCGCATACCTACAAAAAAATAAAAACGTAAAAAGCCCGTGCGTTAGTGTCAGCCGTGGTGCGCACACAATAGACGGAAATTAATTCGAAATTAACATGATATACAACCAGACTGCCGCAGAGTGACATAATAATAATAAGAGTAACGCAGTCATATCGTCCTTGACTTATTCAAATTAATATGTTATTATAAAATTATCCGAATATAATTAGATTCTAACCATAATTCATTATGATTAGAGAAGATGATGCGCGTTGTTCGTCGTCGAGAGATATTCCTTTTTCAACATTGTTAACCGCCGCACGTTCGCCGCGTGAAACCACGAAATTTCACATGTAACCATAATCATATATAATAAATAATATAGCCCGGATACCAATACATAATACATCATAATAGCGTTATGTATAGATTAAGGAGTAATATAGTTTTTAAACCGTCATAAACAGTGACGTACCCAGAATTTTCCAATTGTGAGGGGGTGGGGGTGATAAAACTAAAAAAGCCTTTGTAAAACACATAGTAATGTAGTAGTTATAATTATCTGCACTAGTTGATTAAGTATTGTAAATGCATAATGATTGTTATTTTATTGGTTATGCTGAATATAGTTTATATTATGAATATTAGGTAAATATTTGAATGTCGTTTAGTTTTAGATTCTTAGTGACGTTAAATTGAAAAACTTTAACTTACTCCGCTCAGAATCAATTTTTTTTTTTTATTGCAATGATTTATTATTAATTTCGGTATAATAACAATAAATATTAACCTGCTACATAGTGTATCGTTATCTATATACCTTTCCAATTTTCCACCAACAACAGTGGCCACAGTGTGAATAGTACGTACGTCTGGTTTTTTAAACTAGTGTCGTAAATTTCGAGTTATATTACTTATATCAATATTATGATGGTTATAACTCGGGGTTAAATCAACACTTACGAGTTATTATAACTAACGAATCTACTCTACTGTATACATTTAAATTGTACGTTTTGAAATATCGTTATTATTGTATAATATTTAAAATATTGTGCTATAATTTAATTTTAACCCCGCCTTTCTCCAGGTCGGATAAAAAGCTAAATTAACGAAAACCATTACCGTAATAATGGATACCATATCACGTTAGTCTCGGGTATGCTACAACTACGATTGAAAATTCTGTTATTAGATATTATAATATTATCAGTGTGGATCTAATGGGTCTATATAATCTATTATTATAATATTATACTACAGGTGGGTATACGGATAGACGACGGATTCGGTCTCGATTATTATTATACGTACCTACCCATACACAATAAGTGAACAATATAGCGAAAATCCAATCAATATGCACTAATTCCATTACCATTGTTGCGCACCTGTAATTGCACCAAGTTTATAATATAATAATGTACCTGTACGCGTATCAAAAGTCACGAATGACATTCGATTTTCTAGGAGAGGAGGTACCAGCAGTGGTGTATATTGTACGTTTTTTTTTTCTCATTGAGTTATTTATCTACGCCGTACAAGGTTTAAAAAAAAAAAATAAATAATAATAATAATAATACGAGGACTAAACATCATCGACATCATGCTTTGGGAGACTCGCGCAGGACAAACTACTTTCGATTGTTATATTGTATATATAGTTAGGTACCTCAATCTATGCGATGTTGTACGTGACGCGACGGTTTTATTTTTTATGTTTTTTCCTCTCTCGTTCGATTTGATTACGATTTGGACGACAGTCTAATAATAGTAATTAGTCTTCTACGGAATAAATTGATCAGTGGCACGAGTATCGTTATGAGAATAACTAGAGACGTTTTTCAGACAATCGTAAAACTATCGGTGAGCCGATTATAAAAACTATGTGTACCTACCTATACAACGCAGTATATTACACGAAATCTCGACTTGTGACCAATTAACGTCCGCGGAAATTCACCGCGAATTTCCATCGTGCAATTCGTCTAGCCGCGTACCGACATTAGTATAAAAAAAAACAATTTAAAAATAAAAAAAAAATATATTATACGGCGAATTTATATATGTATTTACATTTTAATTAACGAATTGGTGGCCCGTGAAAATCATTACTGGATTTTACCATTACGCGCGGTTTTCGAATAGTTTTTACGACGACGTCACTTTCATTACTCTTCGCGTACGTCATTCTCATTAATTATCTTAAATACATAATAATTAATTGCCGCGTACTCTCTGTACACGCTTAAAGAACGCCGGACGTTTAAATAGATACCCCGAAACATTGTTGTATTAGGCGTGTTTTGGAGATGGAGTTTCGACCAACCTGGTCACTAATTTAGCGAAAAAGCTGTTTTGACCATGCTGTTTAATGTAATATATTTTGATAACTGAATGCAGTTCTTTTCAACAACTGCAGGCAGTCCGAATAACTGAACTACATTATAAACTACGTTCATTGTCTTTGGTTACTGGTTGATCACTGATAAGGATTATTATCATTTAACATCCATTCTTTTTCTTTTTTTACTTTTAATAAACTTACACTACAACCGTACATTGTTTGCAACTGCCTAATTAAGTTTAAAATTACAAGTTCTTATTAATATATTTTCGTTTATTAAAATTAAAACGTAAATTAAATAATACATTTCAGATTATTTAAAACAAAAAAAAATTGTCTGGGTATATAAAATACACTATCGTTATCACCACAACATCAGAAAAAAAAAATCGTAAAGTAAACAAGGCCTTTTGGATATATTTTAAACCTTGCAGTCTGTCTACTGTTTACCGAAAACTGCATTGCCAAAACGCGCCTATTATTGCTCAAACTTTGTAATCGATTAAAACTATTAATTTCGTCTCTAATATACGCGTATATCGTTCGTGCATGTCTAATGTCTAACATAATTGTGTATTTTATTTTAATTTAATTTTTACCCTAATAATATAGGTAATGCAATATATAATGTATACTAGCTGTACACCCATTCACGGTACCTACCTGTTGATTTATACCTTACCGGTTGGAAATAAATAAACACGAAATAATAATATTATAGGTACTAATAGGTGAGTGTTTTTTTTAACCTAGCCAAGCTACCATAAAATTTCAATTAATAAAAGCCTTTTAAATATTAAAAAAAAAACAAAGATTCGTGTACTTGTACGATCCACATGGCAAAAAAAGTACCTATTAGACAAAACATTTGAGTACAAAAGTGTATACAACATCTATTATGATTGATGAGGCTTTTCCAAAATGTCTCCAATATTTTTAAATTTTAACTTTGTTTTTATATTTTAACGACAAGAATAAATTATCCACTAATATATTGCTCGATACGATACCCATTAAGAGGAACGGATACCATCCTTTTTACAAACGAACAAGAAGGTTTAGATCGAAAAGCCAAACAAAACGATAAGCATTGCGCTTGACGAATTTTACTAGGATACGAATTATTTTTTTGGTTTTCTTTGTCAAATAAGTAAAAAACAAAATACTTTCTAGTGTAGTTTTTAAATATTCAGTAAAATCGTTAAATTTCTGTTTCCAACATATCTACTCTTATAAAGAACCTAATGAACCATAATCTGCTTTTAAAATTGAAATCCACCAGCACATTTCCAAAATATTTTTCTGGATTTCAGGTCCAAATTGACTAAAATCTACACCGTCGTAAATTTCCTTAGTATATTGTAATATTATAATGTATTATTTTTTAAAAGATATTCACACACACACCAACGTAATACAACGATATAGTCTATAGACATGCTAGACGTTTTATTCGTTTTACAAATTATTATAATAAATCGATCTAGTTGATACATTATGTTATTCCAATTTTAGTATGAATATATTTAGTTTTTCTTATAGTTTAGTGTTGTGATTCTTGAGAGTGATAAACAGTTTTATTTATTTCTATGTATACATATAGAAAAGTATATATATATATATATATGTATATATATAAAAAGAAGTGTTCTTTTTTTTTTCTTATACGCTGTATCGAAATCGCGGTATACCTTCTATGCATACCAGCCATATGTCAGAAAAACAGAGAAAGTATATTTGGTATATATTTTATGGTTACTTACACGCCGTATACTAACAATTATATTGATATATATTCAGACGAATATTGTCAATGTTATTTGCGCGATGATACCAATTAAAAACCTTTACTTTATATCATATTATATTTATTGTACAGTTTGATCATGGTTTTGTATTCGAAATCGATTAGCTTATATTGTTATTGTAAACTAGTCAAATTGTTTTACAGGGGGTTTCTAAATTCAATAGGGGCAGAATCGGCAAATACAATTATCACAAAATGAACGTTTGATTAATCACACGAATTTTATTGTAATCAACACGGTAAAGTCAAGATTGAATTCACTTTTTATTCTAAATTTTCAATCCTTCACAAATTGTATTTAAAAATCAATTTTTTTGGTAGGTTATTAAATGTGTCTTACCTCACTTCTGGTTTAGAGGGATATCACTGTGATTGGGATTACGGTTAATCATGGCTCCTAGATTGATAACGTTATCTTTATATTTTGATATATGAGATTATGCAGAGCAATCACGCGCCGTGGTGTCTTTATTAGTATATAGTAATTTTATCATACTTGCTGTTCGGTAAGACACATTTGAATTCGCGTCAAAACCTATCTTTTTGAACTAATGAAAAAAAAATGTTTTTTCTCAATCAAGCAGACCTGTTCAATGAGAATAAAACACGTTTGAAATTAGTGACAATCTACATTATAACGTTCATGTTGTATGAACCCATCACGATTATATTATATGCATACATATACAATATACATCATATTAAATATTTTGTAGATCTCGGCACAACGACCGAGATATAACTCCAATATCTCCAAAAACGCGCTTTTTGACGGCGTAATTTTTAAAGGAAAAATATCCTCCGTGTATTCGTGAGCAAAAATCAAACGAAAACATTTTTTTTTTTTTTTATATTGCTCCCGATTGATTTCAGAAATTGACGTTATCCGATGGTTTTTTGTCGGAAACGAACGAACCTACGCGTACGATACTATAATATATTGGTTTTACAATATCATTCGGGCGATTCGTCGACGGGAAGGAGGGGGGGGGGGTGCCGGCCGGAAAAAATCGAGAAAATCATTATGCGCGGCACGGCGTACTTGTATGTATATACGCCGTTCGACGGTCCGTACAGTGAAATCACGACCGGGCGTCGTGATCGTAATTAAAACACAATATTTGTTTGGGTACATATTATAATAATATAACCTACGTTTATATATTTTCGGACATGGTGCGCCGTGCCTGTGTGTCGCGGTACATTACGCCTCGCGTATTTGTTCAACACCGTATATTTACAACCCGTGTTCGTTGAACCTTGATCCGAATCCGTTTTTCATTCTTCGGCAAACGCAACGCGCTCGTGTCCTTAAAAATCCAATAACAATAATAACATTATTATTATTGTACACTCGTATAAATTATATAGCCGAGGAAAGAGCGTCTATCAATAAAATATATACATGCACCACCTACACACGACGCGCGGTACGTGAAAGTCACGGTAATTTAGTCATACGTCCGTGTCCCGGCAATATTATACTTTTTTTTTTTTTTCGGTGTGAAGATTCTACACGACCGCGACACCGGCTTTTCGAGGACGAGAATGTATTTTATAATAATAACAGTAATTTTTAAATTTTTTTTTTTTTAATTCACTGCCCGTCAATAAACGTCGTCGTGTCATATTTTATTTGTTATTGTTTTTTTTCCGGGCCACCTATAGCTGCAACGCCAGCTACCACCAACTCGCGTATGGTAAAAATGCTCGTAATGATAAACGTTTGAAACGAGTAATCTTGTATAATTATACACAGCTAAGCGTGGGATTTTGACGCGATGTCATTTTTTCCTCCTGGCGGTTTTACATTTATCTCGATATGTGGCGAGTGCGTTTTAGGCGGCGTAGATCCAAGGGATGTGGGATATGGTTCCCCCACCCCTTATAGAAGTTAATAACTATTCGGTAAGGCGTTAATAACTTTTTGAGACAAAAGCAACGTCGAAATTTCGAATGTGAGTTACTTAATATTTGTTGAGATTTAGAAAAGTTAATAAGAAATTAAAATTCAAAAAATAACACAATTTTGAAAAAGATGAAGTTGCGTTGTTGCAATTAAAATGCCCGGCCCGACATTACTTAATTTCAATCGAAAGATACGATCAATACGTGTGACGGATGGACGTAAATAGAAATTATCTACATCCTACGTTGATGCATGTAACCCAGGAATCCAAGGTTTTGACATTAAAAAATGCCTGAAAAATCTATTCCGAGAACCATGCCAAAGCGTGCGCCGTTCGTTTCTGATACACCCTGTATAACCGATTGATTCGTTCTATAAAAATACTGTCGTATTGTGTATTTGTAAAAAATTAACACACGCGAAACTTTCTCCGATGATTTAACTATACCTAATATATCTGTTTTTTTACATCTCCGGACGTATAAATTAACATGTACCTAGGTAATATAATATACAATGTCGCACGCTAAATCTGATATCTTGGTTTTATAATAATATATATTCATTTTTTTTTTTTTTGCATTTAAACATATTATAGAAATTTGTTTTCTTTTGACAAACTCGTCGAGCGTCATTTTTTTTTAACGGGCAATTTGAATATTTCGTTTCCGCGACAAAAAAAAAAAAAAAAAAAAAAACAAACGGTTAATACCTAACATAAATACAAATAATATTGGTTGTAACTTCTTCGATTATGTGTAGTATATATTATAGATAGTAAACAAGTAGAATACCGGTATTTAATTTCGGTTACAATATTATATAATTATAACATAACGTTTTCGATACCTATATTATATTATATTAAATAATTAATTTCGTGATGTTTTTTGATTATACTATAAGTATGTCATCTAAACTGTCCGAATTAAATAAACTCTGACGTAGTACTCAAATTTTCTATTTTATTTCGGCGGTTAAAGTCATTTTCTATTTGGATAATATTTATAATTGTTAAGTGGCGTGTTAGTCCACGATTGATTTTTTAAAAATTGTAATTGCAGTAGGTATTATACCTATAATACAACTCGCGGACAATATTGAAATTCAAACCGTCACGGGTGATTTATTCAAATGATTAGAGTAAAGTAGTATAGTTAATTCGATAAAAACCTCTTGTTTGCTTGGCGAAATCCACACAATCCGTGTGACTCCGACCCAGTTTGAAGGAAATTTTAGCCACAGATAAAATAATATGTTATGAAATCAAATTTTTAGTTCACCTCGGGTTCAATTATGATGTGAAATTAGTAATGATATAATTAATTTAACGACACAGATGGTTTTCCTCGAAGTTTTTTACTTGTGATTACGATCTTGAAACGTGTCGTAGGCATTCGTCGTAAATGTACCTATTCGTGTTTACTTGGCACTTCTTATATATGAGTGAACAACAAGAATATTGTATTAAGATGTTTTTCTTTTCAAATCCATTATAAACACGACTACTGGTAAATATTATGATTGTTGAATGATGGTTTTTCGTTTTAACATCGTAAATAATATTAAAAATCATTATTTCATAAAAAAAAACCTTTTACATAATATTATGTAGGTATTTATCAAAACTTGCTGCGTTGTAACAGACAAATTCATAGAGAAATTACATTTTTTCATTGTTAACATTTATTTTACTATATTTAACTGATTTCAAACATCTTTATTGTTATTATTTAAATTTTTTTTAAATCACGTTTAAATAAACGAATATAACATAACATCGAATAATGCAATATAATGCGAATAATACTTGCAGAACTGAAAGTATGATACAAGTCACGAGAGTACATAGGTATACTCGTATACCTATGTATTTATAATTCACTCTTAGTTCATAACCTCAATATTAGCAATACCACTAAATGCATTTGGCCTGGCCGAACTGTTTCCAAATTATTCCCACCGAAATCCTACAAAAAAAAATATTTTTTAATCAACTTCAAATTAATTTACTTTTTTAATGTAATGAAACGGCTTAAATTTATACAATTAATACTCAAGGTTTTGTTTTTCCTTAATTAATTTAACAAATATTTAGTAAGGTATATTAGTATGATTTTTTTCTAGACCCCGTCAACATTAGGTCGGGCCACGGCCTGACTGACCCGGTCCACGTAGTTTCACCTATGGACATTATAGTGTAACAACGTGACTAAATAATAAACCGTAAACGCGTTTTTATCTGATAGCGTTTTCACTAAAATTGTTGACTTTACGAACTAATTTTAGATGTTATAAGATATTTTCTATTGGCACCATATACCACCAGAGGAGTATCCACGTAGTTGTGTTATGTATATATTTACTAATAGATACGTCTTTAGTTTAATTTATCAGTCTCTTAGGGTACTAAGAGAGAAATATATTTGCGTTGTATTCGGGTCTGAAGGGTGGAATGGATATCGCATAGGGCGTATAGTATTTTTATCCCCAGGCGTAAAAATACCTATTTCCGGCATTGTATAGTTTACATCGAGAGCATACAATAGAAATTTAAATATTATTATAAATATCAATATACAAGACTATAATATATAATATTATAGTTTGGTATAATTGATTTTAAGCCGTCCAAACAGCAAGGACTTTATTAGGAAGTAATTTTATCGCCAGAATTAAATCAAAAATAAATGTTGACATTAACTATCCATACAATTATCCATATAATAATCCATACAACCGAAAGGTACTTTACAAGTATATGCCTGAACGCCTTCGAAATTATTTCAATCTATATTTTATGCATATTATGTTTCACTATTGGTACCTACAACTGATCCAGGGTTTTCGTAAGATTTAAATATGATGGACTGACATTCACTAATAATTTACGAGTTTCAAAGAAGAACACCCTGTAAACTATATACTGTATCCGTTTATACAAAACTACTTAAGGTAAGGTTAAATCAATTACACGCCGTGATGTATTATAAAGGTCATATAATATACCGAACAGGCTTCTGTTTAATTGGATATTGTTTTAACCGAAATACCTATTCTACTATTCATTATAAATACACTATACATAAACGACAACATAAATATATGTATATTTAAAAACGAATTTTCCTTATACTGTGGTTCTATAATGGTTTGTTAAATCGTAATTTACCATTAAATCATTTAATACATACTATACGATTTTTTCTATCGATATTTGTTGTGCTTGCAATACCATAAATATTTGGACGCGACTGATGCAAACGCATTGGGGCTCGATAACTCTTAAGTAGGACCTTAGGCAAGACAAACGAAACGATTTTTTCCCTACTTATATTAACAATCATTTATTATTATAAATTAGTTATGTATGTTGTATTGTTTGTATATATTGTTTAATCTGTAACGTAAATAATTTAGAGTCAATTTCTATAACATTATTTGTAAAATATTATGATTTGCGTGATTTCACAATAAAAGTACCTATGCATTTCCATATAATTTTTCATTATCAACAAATGTGTTTATTCATAAAGATAAAGTATAGTATTTATATTTGTTTAATTACAAGTGGAAAATGCATGCATGAAGATATTAGAACAAGTGGAGTAGATGTTCTTTCATCGGGTGATGGATATTAGAAATATGCATACTTATAGAAGCGGATAAGAACACGAATAGTCGGTCGCACCACGTGAAAATAAAGGCGAAAAAAAAGAAGATATCAGTTTTATTACAGTAATATATCTATGTACTTGGTCTTGACACCTGTAGGCTATAGTAACAATTAATATACATATTTATAACGGTAATATCGTAAGAATTAAGATGTCACAAAAAATACACAATTTTAGAGGGACTTCTCGCATGGGCGCCCACAACTGTCAGGGGAGGAACAAATTAATACCAGATATCTAAACATGCATTTAAATACTTTTATATTATATAGATACAAAATAATACGAGATTTGGCTATTAAATAAGAGACTATGCGCGCAGAGAGCGTCACAAAAAGGTTAGGGGAAAACCGAATACAGCGCTGGTTAGCTGGAAGTGTCTATTATGCCAGTACAAAATTGGGTTTTTGTTGGTGCATTAGTATTTTTTCTATAGCGTTTAGAAACGAACATGTTTTTTTCTCTTTCTGAAAACGATGTGTGACGAAAAACATGAGCAACGGATAAACGTAAAATTTTCTCGTTAAACTAAAAAAAACTCCAACTGAGTGCTATAAGTTGTTAAAAGAGGCCTATAGTAAGGATTTACTATCTCGGGTGCGTGTTTTTGAGTGGCATAAATTATTTTCTGAAGGTCGAGAGTGCACCGGAATCCAATTCAGTCGTAATCCAAATTCAAAACCATGCTGATCGTTTTCTTCGATATCAACGGCATCGTGATGACAGAATGGGTTCCGGAGAGTCAAACTATGAGCCAACATTACTATTTGACAGTTTTGGCAACATTGCGCGAATGAGTTCGTAAGAAACGGTTGATATTGTGGATCTGTATCACACGATATTGTGGAGGGCATTTCTCCCTATATCCCTATGTGTGCCCATGTCGTTTTGAGATATTCCATTTTATTGTCTAACTTGACGTGGATAAAGGATTTTGCGAATAAAATGATCTTCTTTTGCCGATGAAGTAAGGACCATTATGTCTGTATTTCTGAGGTCTGCAGGGAGCGAATGGGAAAATATGATGTGTATACTCGAAGCAGAGTAGCAAGGCTTTTCAGCGCCTTTGGTCACACAAAAATGTCTGCTCCCATAGCCATTATTTTCCATTGAAATTGTATACTTCTATTATGTATACATTTTGAATTTTGCATCCGAAACTAAGATACGCTCTTAATCTAAACTAGTCTTGCCAAGCCCTAAAGCTACTGCTCTATATATATTGCAAGAGACTGTTAAACGAAAACTGAGTTACCCAATATGATATAGCTGCACACAAAACAAATATACGCGGGGACATAAAACTCGTAGATACGTGTGCGTATTATTATATATTTGTGAACAGTTTTGTTTCGACCTTAAGAGGTGTGAATGATGTATGTGATTTGCATTGCGAATCGCCCGGTGAAAGGCGATAAGTAGGTATTACGAGCGCGCCGCTGTAAGCTCCTAAATATGGATCGTCTTTAAGTTGCAGCAGACATATAATAACATAACAATAATAATATAAACCGCATATCATTTCAATTACAAGTTGACATGGACACTGGCGTGTAACTTCATCAATAGTCCGTAGGTCTGTGTACCTACTCATTGTCTAACACGTCGTTGTCGTCGTGTTGCGCGAACTATGTCCGCAGATGATGCACAACACTGCTATTCGAAGTGACGAAATGCGTATTGCTCGTTGCTGTGTATCATAGATGAATTATATATATATATAATAATTTTATTATTGTTTCTCACGGGAAATATTTTGTGGAAAAATATACTACACAGATTCGACCTAAAAAAAAAACATCGAGGGTTCACACAATTATTGTTGGGTAAATACTTATACGATTGCGACAACTCGCGTATTGACGTAATGTTGTTTTTCGTTATATCTATGATGCAGGTTGATCAGCTGGTCGAGATGCATCATCATCCCGACAGATATGGTCAACCTTTACGTGCGCGAAACAAAAATGTGTACAAAATTATTGGTTTTCAGACATTCTTCAACTGCAGTAGGTTATACCTATAATTTGTTGTATAAATACACTGACGATTTACGACGGTCATTTTACCGATTGCATAATAATATGTTATTATTGAATCTATTAAATCTTTTTTGTACTGTAGTGCATATACGCATGTCAAACTCGTCGTTGATGAATTATTATACTACACGATTAACGTTGATCTAATTTGTCTGTAATCAAATGTTAAATAATGCCATCTCTATACCTATATAATATTATATACATACATGGTAACATAATTAGAACGGGTACAGTTAAATGTAAATATCGTTAAATACGCGCTCGTTACATAAAATATCGCGAGTGTAGGTAGACTTCGAGTTACTGTATATAAGTATATTGATAAAACAAATACCTTAACAGAAACAAATCATTTTCATTTTTCTTCTTAAGATCGACAAACTGAATATAATAATTAATTTTCAACCGTTTAAAATCAAAAACCACGTTTTACTAAATTTAGACTCTAAACTAGCAACACTGAACTTTAGAACGTATAGGTACAGTTCTCAGGTATTGTTTTTAATTTGATCAAGTTTATGACAGTTTACCTATACCTATATATATTATGTTGTATTTGCTATATCTACGGATTGTTAGAAAAACTGTTATTAAAGATGTATTGATAATTAATAATTCATTAGTTCATTGAGGACACTATATAATAGCAACTAATACAGCTGCGTCCCAGTACGGAATGTTAGTTTTCAATTTGAAACATCAAAAATTGCGTGTAAACTAATATAATACCTACATGAACAGTATTTCCACGGGCCGATTTCATTATTATATATTATTCATCGGCAGTATCTTTCGTATTAGATAGTCTTGGTCTTCTAAATATTATTTTTCAAAATGCCCACAACACGTCATCAGTCGCTTAGACGTTTCAAAACAACCACCGTTCGATAATCCTTGCACCAGTGCCGTACGTGTCAGATTGTTGTTGTACAATTACCTATTTAAAATTAACAAGACGACAATTAAATGTCCATTCGTGAGAACGTAATATTATAATGTTGTTTACAAATATTTGATTTAATCTCGTCAAGATTTGAATTTATACTTATGTAATATGCATATATCGATACGTGCACGCAATACTATAATAGGTAGTTATGTATAATATTCATTACCTATATATTAGTGTATGTGTATCGCAATTATACATAGAAAACGCAACGTTCTTTTTTTTTTTTTTTTAACATTTTTTTTTTTTTTCAATTAAATACAACGCCTATGCGTGCTTAGAGATGGCGAGAGTATTCCAATTTATGCAACACGTAATAGCACCTATATAGTGCATATAACATAATATATACAAAGTGACATCAGATTAAGAACATGTATATTCTCGAAGGTGCGGATGGGGGTGACGGTCACTATACTATATCATAGATACACAGTACGCGCACACGACGTATAACACTATATATTATGTAAAATTGATGATGTGTAAAAAACGAAATACTCGTTTATAATTAGCTATATGTTTAGGTTATAGTCGTATATATCGTAAAATTGCATCGTTCGCAAAAACAAGTTTTTCGTCAAATAGATATTATTGCTGCGGTATATACATATTATATATGTATTATCATTGTGCGATCACGCGTACTATCACTAAAAAGCGCATAATAAATTGGATAATAACACACCGATAGATATATTTTTACCGTGCGTATATAATATTATTATTGCTATTTGATCCGATCGTATTATTCTAATAGAAACCGTACATACATATACCTAGTGTACCATGTACCTAGTTATTATAGGTACCTATTTGCGTACATATTATAAATATATATATATATATATACGCGGTACACGTTTAATCAAAAAATTTAATGACCATTCGCTTATGTAAGCAAAAATTTTATTATCCATGCATAGGTACTTGTACGTATTCTATTAAATTATAATATACAGGTACATATTATTATTATCATAGCCGTGTCGTCGTAAAATATGTAATATAAAACGAACAAATCTGATCACAATATTGCGATTATAGCCAGAGCTCGGAACTTGATGCGTTTGTACGTATAGGTATTTCTTAAAGTGCACGGCCGATCATAATCTACAATTTGTATAATATACTTATTTGATTAAAAATTGTGTGTACCGATAGACGGTATTTCAAAATCCCCAAAAACTTTTATTGCATATTTACCATAAGATATTTTTGGTTAAAAAGAAAAAAATAACGTTTTCTTAAAGAATATTTAGATTGTTTTTACGATAAACTATACGTATCTATAATATATTATGAAGCTAAATAATCACCGAAATATACCTAAAGTCTATATTATAAACTACATAATAAATAACATTACACATCACATATACTATTAATTATCAATAGTATACGATGTTGGTTTAACGCATCATGTACGATGGTCCGTAAAAAATGTCCCAACCGGTGGCCCACCGAGTCTCGTCATCACGTGTATAGAGTCGCCGAGTCGCCGCGGCGTTCAAGTCTCCCGCGTTCTGTCCGCCGCACTATTATAATTTAGTCGTACACGCGTAAGTTTGTCCGTCGGTATTTTTTTATTTTCATTTTTTTTTACTTACGCAATATCTGACGACTATAATGCGACTATAAATGTCATACGTCGCATTGTGGCCAACCGGGGAATGTGAAAGCAACGTGAACTTTCACTGTGAACATGCGTACCTATATAAATAATATATATATATATTATATTTATTTTGTATATTATACGCACATGTAAAACCACGTGCACTATAGCTATATAGGAAGGATACAGCTAATTGTGCGGATTAGGGAGGGCGAAGATTCATCGCCGGACGTAAAATTTATTTTCAGGGGCGTAATCACGTATTTCCACATTTCGCATATTATACTGATGAATACTTTTTTAAATTTTATTTTTCTGTATCTTAGAGGCTTAGGAGTGAAATGGTATAAATTATTAACTTATATGTATAGGTACATTTTGCGTTTTATAAATATTATAGGGTCTGAAGGGGTTGAGAGAAACACCGCATAGAGAGTATATAGTATTATTATCCCCGGGTGTAAAAAGCCCTAGTTCTGGGGCTGGTTAAGAGAGAAGAAGTAAATATATGGTTCGATATGTTCCATCTGCAGATTGTGGTCGTTGAAATGAAATCGATTATTATTATTATCGTATTCACACAAAGACCCGTTGTGCGATTGAGAAATTCAATGTGCCATCGGATTATATTATACATATAACATATAGAATGAAGATGGACATTTCGAGTATATAGGTACTATATAGCCACATAAAAAATCAACCGCGAAATTATTATTATCGATCGTATACATATTATATTGCAGTATTATGTATATATACAAGAATAGGATTAGGTATTATTATCATTGTTATTATTATTATTATTATTATTATTATTATTATTATGTGCCGCGTCTGTAGGCGTAAAGGAGATTGTTTCGATCGGCAATACGCGTCAGAGACTTAAACGCCATCGATTGATTTTGAAATATTCGATTATGATTAGATATTACTATTTGTAACGAATAATAATTGAATCAGTACTCGAGTGTGTTAAGTGAATGTGTAGCTTTATTCATATGCGATAATAAAGTTACAAAACAATGTAATTATTAATTAAATAATTTACTAACTAGGTACATCATACTCTCCTTTTATCACACTAACGCGATAAACTTATTTTTTTTTTAAAGATTGTGTTCTTTTCCTTTTTATTATCAGCAGTTTAATTGTGATAATTTTTAAATGTTCATTTAATAACAGGTATTATAATTATTTTACTCGTTGTTTACACATTGTTTAAAGACTACTAATAAACACGAGCAATTATTATTGTAAAAAACATTTTAATTAATGAAATAAAAACACACGAAATATAATAAAGAGTATTTTATGATAATAGCTATTATAGTATTTACGCACGTTGACGATTCAAATTTAATTATACATTTTATCTGAACACTTTAATTACCGACAGTTTTAAAAAAAGAAAGGAGAAGCTAATATGATTTTGCGTATAAAAAATAAATACTGGGTAACATTTAATAATAGTATAGATAACAGTACTGCAGTATATCCAACTTTCAATATGAATCATATCGTTATAATAAACTATATAAGAATAATCGATCCGAGTTGTGCATTAGTTTAAAGAAAAAGTTGTATTTAAACAATCGTCTCCGAAGACACACAACAAGAAGCTATGAAATACGCGGACCATGTCTTCTATACACTACGAACATGAAATTACGCAGCTATAAAGTCTATTATAATATAATATATTATTCACGTTCATTTTCGGCGAGACAATAAAACCGCAACTATTTTTTAGTTTTTTTTCAAAACATTAAAAGAAGATTAACAATGCCGCAAATAAATATAATACGGTTAAAAACGAATCGTATATACAGATATATACGAGTATAGACTGAAGAATAAATTATTTGTGCGGTTTATATTCCGTTCGCGGTCAAACGTATACATATAGATATACCTACTTACATACGCGATGCACTTACATTTTTCAATAACAACTTTCGCTTAATCAAAGGTTATTTCCTCCTCGATCGTACCATATATATATATATATATAATACGAAATTAATAACTATAATATAAAACATTTAAAATATAGGTACCAGCTACGTATAAAAAATGAAAAAAAAAATTCACTAATGCGGTATCTTCTGTTCGCAGTCAATCACAGCAGAACAATACAGCCGGTGTGTAACGACTTTCGCCATAAACAAAGGTCATATTTTATTCCTTCTCGATCACATTACTATTATTACATTAGCCATTACTAATTATTAGTACGTATTAAGTGATTGATTGTTTGGGTTTTTTTTTTTATATAAAAAATACCGTTTATCACAATTGTTGAAATATGCGGAAATTTATGGAAAACTTTGCTTTTTTTTCGAATAGTTTTTTTTTTTTCACTGTTGCCCACTAAAATATAATAATATATCATAAGATCATTACGGGGTATTTGATAAGAATAATTACAATTGTCGTTATTAAAATATTATTATACAAATACAATTTTATGAAACTTATACGCGTGACCGCATGTTCATTGCACACACATCATATAATTTAATATTTGTACTTTCTAAACATAGGCGTTTATACACGTCCGTTATCATTAACTTTATACGAAAAAAAAACTTGAAAAAAAATGCGCATTGTTCATCACAATATTATGTAGGTATTTAAATATAATATTACATTATACTGCTGCGGATAAAGACACACGCACGTATTATAATATCCTGCCGGTAAAACGTTCTAATACGAATCGACCTTGAACAAAGGAAGCCGTTATTATTATTATTATAAAATATACGCGCGTGCAATAAAATTCGTCAAAATCGTACAGGAACACGCACGCGTGCATTCGTATCGATCGTTCGGAAAGAGTGAAAGTGTATCACAACAACTATAATAATAATAATAATAATAATAATATCATGCATAATCGCTGTGTATGAGGTACGAATTACCTGTGTATAGATGAGACGGTTTTTATTCTCTCTCTCTCTCTCTTTCTCTTTCTCCGTCAACTTGACAAACAGCATTCCGTTTATTTCGAGCGCCAACAAATTAGCCGTGTCTGAGGTCGTTTTTTTTTTTTTTTTAATTTCGTGGATTTAAACATAATAAAATACACATATATAGGTGTTATAGCTCAAACGATATAATTATACGCGCCGCGTTTCGATTTTTGTCGAAATATTTCATAACGTCGTTTATTGTATCTACGCACCCGGATTATTGCACCAATTTTACATATCCATGCCGTCGGTGAGTTTAACGACCGTAAATGCAAATTTTGTCGCTTATCGCATAAAATAAGCGCGGTAATTTGCGGTATTTACATCTGAGATTTTATATTGTTCTGATTTTCGAAATTTCGGCTAAATTGAATAATTTTGTAATCGCGTCAGCTTTGGATATCCTGTATTTTTTTAACGCCGGTATAATATTATATTATATACTGTACAGTACAGTTTACGTATAACTATAATACATAAAAGCAAATCGAAAAATGTAAATATTATGATATGCACAAAACGAAAGTCATGTAAAAAATAAACAAAAAAAACGAAATAATAAATAGATATAAAAATAATTTACAATCTAAATGGAAACGTTTACACGCTGAATAATAATCATGGCGGTGTTGTTTATAAGTAAAAAATAATAATAATATTAAATAAAATTGTTTATATGTAAATTTTTGGCAACGATATAATAATTATCGCACACTCTACAAGATATAATACCGTGGGATAATACGCATATTGTAATATTCAGAGGCGTTGTACACTTTCAAAATGTTAATTACACGGTGCCTACTGCTATAATGGTTTATACTATAAATATCATTATAATAATTGAAGTAAAAATTTAGTAAGAATCCGCGAACGTTTCATCGCAGGGTGTTTTATTTATTAGCTAATTACGCCCAAGAATGTGGGTATATAATTTAGCCGCATAGTTTCTTTTTTTTTTTTAATTCACGATTTGCTCTTTTAATAAGTATATATTATGTTACTGTTGTAATAATTTTACTTCTTTATAGTACGCCTATGAAATGTGTTTTATACTATACTAATAATATTAGTAATATACTATATAATATTCGTAACGAGTATGATTACAATCTATGGTCATAAAAAATGAGAGTCTAACCATATGCGTCCATTTGAAGGGGGGTCCCATATACCCCCTGGAGCTTATACGTTTGATATGTTAACGGCTTAACCAAAGAGTCGATGTCGTTGGAAAATATTACATTTCCCGAACCCCTGGATTTTTGAAGATGGACGCCCTTGAAGTCTGCAGACTATAAAACATTTTATTTTTTTTATGTAATACGAAATTATACAATCTTTATACTATACACAATTACTATACACATGATAAGGGGGGGGATATATATTTAGAAGCTACCCATTAGTAATATTTATACGCTTGTGTGTAAAACTATTTCCAAAAAATCACTCTTATTTTAAGTCTGTGGCGAGGATTTTCAGGTAGATTTATGCAAAGCGTTTTTGAATGAATTATGGTGGTTTATAGGTTGTATAGGTTTTATGGGTAGAACCTATACAAAATTATAAAAAAAAAATCTTAAATTTACAAAAACCCTTTTTCTTTTCTGTAATCAAAGGTATAATGTATATATGTGCAATTAAAATGATTTAATTTTATAGAAGAACATAATTTGTTTGTTATTTTGGAGTTGTATTACCATAGTACCAATAAAATACATATTATTTTAAATTAAATTTATTCGTTTTTCGCCTCTGATCTTTTTGCGTATAGGTTAAGTATTGTGTAGATATGCGTTATAGCATGCACATACACGGATACGCGAGGGAGGAGGATTTATGATGGCCTTATCCGAATTCCAAAAAATATTAACATTATTGTTGTCTATGCTCATTATAGGAATAAAGCTGTAAAAAAAAAATGTCTTTATTATTAGTTATATAAAAACATTTTGATGTAACTACATTGAAACAGATGCAACAGAAATATGAGCTATTCGTGTTTTATTATTATTATTGTTATTTCGGAGAAGGTAAAATTAATTAATAACAAGATGTAAACAGTAACTTATGACCCCCTAAATGAAGTTCCTACTTGCACAAGATCCGCGCCTGATTGTGTGTCGGTCATTAATTTTATATAAATATATTTTATGCAATGATCAAATTATGTCCATTTTAATAATGAACATTGTCGTTTGAATAATATAATACGTCTTTTTTTATTTTTTTTTTTCGTGTTATGTACAATTTTTTTTTTTTTCAAATTAATCCGATTGCGTACGGTAATTTCGTATTATTAGATATTAATTTTTCCTACGCGAATCGTCTGAAAATAAAAACAATGATGTACATAATTATACATATACTGATGTTGCGTAGTCACACAGATCTGTATACATAGACTCGCGTTTTTACAAATAGGTGGGTATATAATACATTATAATAATATTTCAAAATATACGTGCGAACTAACGGCTATAATTTATACGAAGGCGGCGGGCCATCGTGTGGCATCGTTAGGGTCATAATTTGTGTATAGACAGTTGTAGTAATTATCGCGTACGTGCAATTATATTATTTATTGCCTATGTATATTATTATAAAACGATCGTAATAATTTATTCCATCCGCCCTTGACGGCCGGGTATTTTTCTTGCGCGCTCCCAAAGAGATTTCAACAACGGCCCTATATATGATCGTACTGACCTTTTCCGATCATTGTCCGGGGGACTTATTAACATTTTGGGATGCTTTTCCGATTGGTTATACGTTAACAATCTACAAATTAACGAAACAGACACCGATCGTCTAAATTAGTCGATATTTAAACAATGTTAGTCGTTTGTTACGTTACTGCGGTATCCGGAAACTAGCGATAACAAGTCAGTATTTCAGATAAAACTATATGTCTATATGTTATAATGTTATGTCTAAATGTTCGCTATGTGATCATGCCTAATTTTTGTTCGGGCAGTTTATATTTTCCTCGTTAATTCCTAGTTAAGATTATAAAGTTTTACAAATTGGCAGAATCTATAGATTATTTTAAATATACTTGTGTATACTAGAAAAATCGATTCGCCTTTTTTCATAATAAAAAAAAAGTCTGACGAATCCCCCGAGTCCGGATGCTGGTATTTGCAAGTATATACTCGAGGTGTTTTATTGACTTTCACTCGTATATCCGGCACATCGACAGCCGTACATATTATATTTTGAAAATCGCGCTCGTCAAAAGCCTGCACTTGCGCCGCATAAACCTATTATTTATTAGTGGACTGCGCCTTCTACTGAAAATTATAGATTATTTTTTACCTATGTAATCTATGATATTATTGGGTGAATATAAAGACGATATACCAGCGATTTCGTTTGTCGCGTCGCGTGCCTTTTATCGTATACTGTTCTTGGCAACGTTCAGTAACCAAGAACTAATACCGGGACATTTTCAGAGTCGGTCTGATTTCACATTTTCTTTCGTTTGGTTATAATGGTTAATTGGTTTTTGGTATTCTCAGCATATATACTATATGGACACAACGCATGACCTCGCTGGAATACCGTTCATACAAACTATCATTGCTTTTCATAGAAAAAGTCAAAAAATATTAAAACTCTTTTTTTTTCGGATATCTACCGCTTTTGATAACCAGATGTTGTCTGGCTAATTTGAGAACAAGGCGCAGTCCAATATGATGAATATAAGACTATGTCGTAAATCGCCACCGTCGTTAACGGGCAATCTTTGATGAAAATAGTCTTCTAATGTATTTCTTTTATATGTCCGCCGCCACAGAACGCACACGTGGTCGTGCGGTATCCATTATAGACGTCCTCGATTGTTTCGTATGTAACAAAATTGCCAAACGTTATTATTAATTGTTATATATGTATATATATATATATGTGTGTATTACATTGTCACTTTCTGCGAATGATGTATTCCTAATGATTTTAACGGCCGCAATCATCACGCGGCGTGTTTATTACGGCTTATTTGTCCGCATAAGTATATTACAATTGTACACAATATATTGCTATATTGTGACGAATGAACTTCCAGAGGTTAAAATATTACGACGCGGATACATTTTTCAGACGTCGCTATATTATGTAAGATTATTAATTGTCCGATTGTCGCGTCGTTTATCAATATATAAGGTAATATTTGTTATTTTAGCGAACGAAAAATAAATGGAGAAAATAATACGATTTTCGATTATATAGAGTTTAGTATCAAACTGCTGTGTATATTTTTTCAACGGAAACCCGTTTCCGTCACGAGGAAAAACAGTACCCTATTAGTACAATCTAGAATCCAAAATTAACACGCAACGAAAGTTTTAACGAGTTGTATTTGTATGATTTTCGATGGATAATGATTTTTAAATTACCGACAGAAATGATTGTACTTTTTATATTTGACGATTTCGCAGCGCGTTTTAAATCAAATCGCGTTTTCTCATATCTAATAATATACAAGATGATTCACTAAGCATGCTTGCCCTATTTTTTTGTTAAATTTTGCATATATTCAAATTCTTACGTTCTTTCTACGTTTTAAACGTAGTAAAAGCTGATATTTTCGAATACTTAGATTTTTTACAACATTTAAAGAATATTTTGTGGCGATACCAGCATTGGTTTTTCAAATGAGAACCTATGTTAAAAGTTCCATAAATAGACGGAGTATTATTTTAAATAAATGTTAGTGTCAAAATGTGGTAAGCACGTTTAGTGAATCACTCTGTATATATTAGAGAAGAATGCCGAAAACCGGCCGTCCAAGAAAAGTAAAATGGCCATGGAAAAAATTGGATATTTTCAAAAATATGATTCAATTGAAATTTTTCATGTAGCCTCTTTTTTTTTTTTTTTTGTAGTTTGCCATATTTTCCCCGAGCCATTTTTGTATCCAGTCACATTTTTCCAGTGCCATTTCGGTATAATATGCCGTATACGGACTTTTTTATCCGGGCCTTTCTTCACATTTTTTAATTGGTCATATATTATTACCGCATATAGTGTTTTCTGTAGGAATATGGATTATTGAATAAACATGCATGGTATGCTTCCGCGGGGAAGATGGCCGGAGGTACGTCTAAACCGTTTAAAGTTTATTCTGTACACGCTTATAATTATTGTTATTGCGCGTCTAACGCGTTCCAATTCTGTCTGCGGACGCGCGTTCAATGTGATTATTGTTTAATAGGTACCGGTAATAATATGAATAACATCACTACAAACTTGCGCGGCAAAAATAAAAATTTCTCGCGCACACGTCACGTACCTAACCGGCTACCTATATTTGTGTATACGTTTTATAAGAACCGAACCCGCGGTGTGTGATGTCTGACCGGTATTGTCGGTGTAGTTACCTATTACGAAGACGTAAGCTAGCTGTTGCTGCTGCTGCAGTTGACATTCGGAGGTTTTATAATAGTAATTTTATTATTATTTCCCGCCCAGAGCGTCCGTTTCGGAATATTATTATGTATAAATACCGGTTGCGAAACGGACGTAAAATAATATATGCGTACGCGCGTAGCCGCAAAACTCGTATATTTCATATACCTACAACAACGCTGCCGCGGCGATGTCCAGCAGGAAATAATGGTTTTACGTAATAATAATAATAATAATAATAAACTATCGAAAACTACTCTCCTCGCCCGAGGAAGGGGGGGGGAGGAGCCCGGTGGCAATAGACGACCCGTATAATACCTATGGGTAAAGTTCGTCAAAACGGTGTTACTCCGGCGGCGGCGTAGGCAACGTGCTGACTATATAGGTACCCATACTACAAGTAGTAATAATTACTATCGTCGCATTCAAAAAAAAAAAACCGAAAAAAATATCGTCCGTCATAATATTAAGGCGGGGCACATCCCGAATGCAATCGCGAAACAAAATACAGTGTACGAATTAGAAAAGAAAAAATATATATAATAAATACTAATCGAACGCATACCACACGCTCGCGCAATTATCATATAAAATATGTTATTTCATATTGGGATTTCAACGATTTCGTCGTTTTCGCTGTTGGAAACAAAATAATATTGTAATGTTACACGCGTTTTGCTATTAGGTATCCGCGTAGTACTGATACCGATAAACGTGACCGATTGTCCAAAGTGGAATTATTTTAAGAGTTAAGACCTGCGGTGGGTATCGACAACGATCCAGGCACGGAAGATACTAAAACGTACGTACGTATAAACAATATACATACTATATAAACGTGGAACCGGAAGATTTCTTTTTTTTTTTTACCATTATCTAGACACGACGGACGTTAGTCGTTTCGATATATCGATTATTTTTTTTCGTCTCTTGTCGTGTTTAATTAAAAAATAAACAGTTTCGTTCGGGCATTTCTAAAGTCCGACGCTTTAAAATAACTTCCCATTTGTACATCGACCGGCAGATCAAAACTTTTGTACGGACTTCGGCAAAAAAAGGCGTTTGTTCAATGATGTATACACTCACGTAACAGTTTTGAACTAAAACTAGCTGCACCCATTGGCGTATAGCCAAAGGAGGGAGCTAAAAGAACTGCAGTTCCCCCGTGGACTGTGTTTATGTATTTATACTATTTTACGATTTAAATATTAACTACTTTTTCAATTGTTTCTTTCACTTCTGAAAGAACGTTTTCGAATCATTTCTGTTTGATCAAACAATTTTATCCATGTAATACTAATATAAATAGCAAAACTACATTGAAAACGATTATTACCTTCACTCAAAATTATGTTTTGAGAATGCAGCTGTCAAAGAGGTGTAATAAGGGTATAGTTACATTATAAATATATCAAGACATTATGCATGTTACATTTTTATTTCATTACCTATTTTTTTTCCTATCATGCTTTGTTTGACGTACCTATTACATCAGTTAAAACACTTTTCTAATCATAATTTAAATATTGGTAAATAAATAAAAACAAATAGGCCTTAACTTATATATTGACTGTAATAATCAATCATAGAAATCCTCACGTCACATAAGCAATGATTTATCATTTCACCATTGCATCAATGAAATACTCTTTGTAGGTATATAAAATTAAAAATATTAAAAAAAATACAAAGTTTACCAAAGCTTTTTTTTTTTTATTTCTATCGATTACAACCGTATCGACTAATCGATTTCTTGTCGATACGCGTCGACCAAACAACGTGTTACCTAAATATTGCATAGGTGCATATAATATATTACAAATAATATGTCAACATTACAATAATTACCATACGAGACGATAAATAATTTGTATACCTACCTAACGTAGCAATACGCTGCCCCGTACAGGAACAACTAACGAACAACCTATTGAAATTACTTATGGCCATGTAGTTGGACGAAAACAAGAACATAATACAAATACTGTAGATATTATACATTTATACCCATACCCAATACGTTTCTGTTAGGTTTATTAAGGTATACGATATTCTAATAATATTATTATTGTCAACTGTTTATATAATATAGACTAATTCACTGTATATTGTATCTATGTTATATTTTATGTATGCCTATATATTTATCTTTTTCCACTTCCAGCGGATCACTCGGGACCAAATGATCTCAACTAGGGAATTTGAGTTATTTTATTGGCGGATTGAAGTAATAAAATTCAGGTTGATTATTACAATATCAAAATTTGTTTGTTACGGAAGGAGACTGTTTTTTTTTTTAACTTCGAACACACTTAAAGAGATCCCAAAAGAAGCCATGGAGATTGCATTTTATGTATGCCCGAAAATAGTCAAGGATGTGCCTTTCGAAGGTTTTAACCCTAATCCCTATAAATTTAATGCTCAGATTTCATCATTTTTTATTATTATTATTATTATTTTAATTAATATATTCGTATTATATGTAGCAATATATTATTATAATATTATCCGGTTATTTATTGTTTTACAAAAAGTATTTCTAAAATATAAAATAGGTGGGAAAAATCTTAACTCTATAGTGACGGAGATCTGCTGCTCATAGTTGTTTATATTTTAGCATTTTATTAAATTTATAATAATGTACGTTCGCATATGCAATAAAGGTTGGAAGGAATTGTCGGAATTGGCGTTAAATAAATAGAATCGTTTACACGAAAAAATAATAAATTGACATGATTATCTTTTCGATTAATACCGTGCGTGTTTCAAAACAAGTTTTATTTAATGCGAATCGTTAATAAACAATTTATTATAAACAATAAATTCTTTATTTAATATATACAATGATAAAAGGCCAAAATAATTGAAATGTTCTCGTAAACCGTAAAAACACGTACCTAGACGTGATTAAGTCAAGGACGATTTCTACTAATGGCTTTAACTGAGCCTATATACTATATATTATACTCGTATAATGCGATATCTTAAATATTATAAAAAGCTAAGTGTGCAATACTTTTAATAATTTTTTTTGTTATTAAATAAATACAAAAATAAATCACCGTGAAACTACAAAATGCCGTATTTATATATGTAATATATTTTTTTTAATTATGATAGACATCGGTATAAAAATGTTGCTTATTGTATTAATATTAATCTACTAGCCATATTAAAATGTCAATTTGAATGCACTTCACTCTCAAAAATATAATATACGTAATATTATAGTTATGAAACGGTTTTTTGTGTGTCGAGACCGTGAAAACAATAAACAAAAATCATTACATAAAAAAAAACCCTGATTATACGTAGGTATAATAGAATCAATATGCGGTCATATAAAATGCATAGTGCTCATTCGTGGACAGTAAAAACATGGATGGGTCATGTCAGTTTGTCAGACCTCAGCAGTAGTCCGTAGTTTTCATAATATAATAATATGTATATTATTTATTTGATCATAATTGTTATCAGCTCAGGACTGTTTCAATTAGTCATATATGTCACAAAGTGTCCACACTAACGTTTACACCTCCTTTTAAATCTTTAAGGGATTGAATTTCCGAAACTATTTATTATTAGTAAGATTGATATTCCTGATTGAGATCTTTCTAAAGGCATAAGAACGGCTGCTCTAAGTTAAAACCCCGAGAAATTATATATTTTTAAAAATTAGGGATAAAATTGGTTTCCTACGAAAATTAGATATTTTTCCGGGATGATATAGTATCTTATGTCACTTTCTAGTCCTCCGAATTTAAAATTTACGTCAATTGGTCGCTCAGTTTACGACGTGAAAGAAGAACAAACAAATAAATACACTGTCGCGTTTATAATATTAGTATAGATTATAATAGGTAGGTATGGTACAATTTATGCGCAATCCAACCTGTCTGTGGCCGGTTCAGGTTTCGTAGTGCAGAATCAATACACTAATGACGATATTTTTTTATCCGTGTCCAATGTTTTTCATATTTTTCCACAACCATGTCGGTAACATTGTATAAAATTACCAAACACTGAAATAAAAAAAAATAACTTCCCCGATTAACACTAGTTATATGAGGAAATTAACTATGGGTATATACTATGTATACGAATCAGAGAAAATACTTTTTTTAATCTTTGTTTTATAACTGTTTGGGGGAAAATAATACAAATCTAACCAGACTACATTACTGTATTGTGTGCATATGTGTGTGTGTGTGTACACGTATAATTGTAAACAACTTGTATTTCACGTTTGATCGGTTTCCGTAAATTCCATCAAGGACGACTGGCTAAACGATTCACCGGGTGAGAGTAAAAACAATATAACTTCTTAAATAGGAACCTATACCTATAATACGGTAAATTAGAATTCTACACTTTTGAATTATACTTGTGAAGAACGAACGGAACGTTATGGAAAAATGATAACGTTAAATCTACATAACATGAATATAATATGATAACGATCAATAATATTCTTGCAGAAAATATAGCAACGATTGCACGAAAATCACGATTAGGTATTTGGTGTAGGTACCTATTTAAATAATAAATCTACACGAATAATTACATAATTTGATTATAAGTTTACGACCAAAATATAAAATTTTCTACATTTTACGGATCGAAATATGAACCGGAGGTGGTTTTGTTTCACTCCTAATTTTACCGTCTTAGCAAAATTAAAAACAACACGGATATTATAGTCGGATTTCTCTTTTATTCTATAGATTTGATTTCAAACGCAAGTGCAAAAAATGGGTGCGCATTAATAATATAATGTAATATATCGATATAGTTTTGTTTTTTATCGGCTAATTATTTAAAACCATTGGCATACAAACTCGCATCATATTCTGACAAACAGGTTTGACACTTAAAACTGAATCGATTTTAAACTTTTAAATACGGTTTACTTGCACAATAATAATCAGGTTAAAAATATATCGCTGCATAGGTGTGTCGTGATAATATTATGACGGGATTTTGTGTGTGTGTGTGTGTGAGTGTGTACATAACATTTTTTTATTATACTGTTAGGTATTATTTTATTTAAGTAGGATGTTTCTAGATGTTGATATTTTTAGTACATGTTAACAAAAACTTTCATTTTACTTAAAAAAATTTTACCCATGTTTACAAATTACATAGTTTAAAAAAAAAAAAACGTGAGAACCAACATTGTAGGAATGCGAACATATTTATAAAACTATGTGCTCATAGTCTACACCATTATTCTTGACGTTTCTTTAATATAACACTCGTGGAGCATATTTTAAACTTGCATTTTTTTTTTTTTAATAATCCGCTTATAAATACAATACATATAGATATAATAGTATGTATTCGCATGGTTTTGAACTTTTTTATGCTAAGAATATAATAAACTTAGAGTAAATAATTCGATTAAAAAAAAAAACACCCTTTATAATATAATATAAGCACAATGACATAGCCGGAACTTTATACCTATTTGGGGGAGGCTAAAAATGATTTTGTATGAATTATGTGAATAAGTACATCAATATCCATTTCAATGTAATACTTTTAAACAAAAGTTGATAAAAAAAAAATGAATAGTAAAATGAGAATATAATATATAATGTGTATATCTTGACATATCTTATCACTAAACTTCATTATATAGAATGTACGACCCTCTAACAGACAGCTACATCCTCCTAGGATGATTCTAAAGAAAGGCAGGAATTGTATAACTTTCAAAAATGTCCTCTTTTTTGTTTATATTAGCCTTTGCTAACTCTTTAAGTCTACATTCTAACAAAATTTTCGAACCCCTTAGAAGCGTTTTTATCTACGATTAATTAGTGTAGACAGCTTTCCTTTAGGAGTGAAAGAAATAATTGGAAACGTATAATTAACACTAAAATGGTAAAATATTATTCATATCTAAACGTGACTAATGGGGGATATAGCCCCCTAAGTTACCTTGGCTGTAACTTTAAATAATTGAATATTATATTATGTATTACAACTATACTACTTTCAAAATTGATGAAATCTGAAAATACAAATGATAGGGATCGGGGTTGAAAGTTGAAACCCCCAAAAGGCACATCATTAGCACAAATAAAAAATGTAATCCACCTGATTTTACTTGGGTGGTTTGTAACGATGTTTAACGCTAAAAAACACCCTCTTTCCTCAACAACATGGTAAAATTCGTACTTAAATAATTCAATCCCACTTTATCCTTTTAATCCACTAATAAACCACTCTAAATTCCCGAATTTGAGCTTATTTGGTCCAAATAGATCCACTAAAATTCAACAAAACTGTAAGATTATTTAGTATTTAGTAAATAATATAAAGAATAAAAATGATTATGATTATTTAGTTGGGATTAGTTGGGATTTTCGGGAAATGCATTTCCTACCTTTCCCGGTGGGAATACTACACGCGGGTACAACGATGTGTAATTGTTTTCAGCTATTTTTCCAACACCTTTATTCAAAGATTACAAAACTAAAACCAACACACTATATTATTGTAACACTACCTTTATACGTCCTATTAAAAATAATATCGTCAGATTTCACGCGTGAGAATATAATATAGGTATAAATAATTGCGCCATGACCTGACCGGCGACGATGCAAAATCTGCAAAATTAAATCGTAACGCGGTGGGATTTTTTTTTTTTATAAACTTATACCTATACCTTAATATTTTATCTTTCTGAAACGTGTTTAAAAATTACGGCGTCGCCACTGCAAGTTTACGGTGTGGTGCAATTTCCGCAATAGTTTTCAGACAACGTCGGCATTAAATTAATCTAATGAAATTAATTATATTATAAACAATATTATTATATCGAAAAGAAACTAACAGTTTGGGTATTATAAAAGAAAAAATAACTTATACTGGGTGTGAATTGTTGAAGTTGGAAAGATACGACAAATAGATTAATTTAATTCGTATTTGTGTCGGCAACGATAAACCATTGCAAACAAAAACGATTCTAAATTCAGTTCAGTTAAACATGTTGTTTTGGAATGCCTTGATTTTGACGGTTTTCATTCAAATTTGAACTTAAAACCCTTATAAAAAAATGAATACACTACTACAGTTTAATTTTTTTTAACGCTAACTATAACTTAAGATGAATCTCGTGTTAATAATTTTCGAACATTTTGGCGGGATTAAAACAATTCCATCCAATTTAACCAAATTAAAATTTCAAAAACTCGACAATTTCAAATAGCTATTAACCATTCAAATTGAACTGTCATATTTTCTTGAAAATTGCACCATGTCTATAAAAGGCTAATGTATAGTATTAATATATAAGTACTATGTATAGTATTAATATATAAGTATTCGGTAAAATGTGCAAGTTTCTGCAGTTATTTCTAACTGAATACAACAAAAGAAATTAAAACTAGAAAAAATTAAATTTCAGGAAAAAAGCTATACTTGAAAACCGAAGCAGAATATCTAGCAAAAAAATTTTCAACAACACACACAAAAAAAACACACCATTCAGTATATTACAGTAATCTAAAATATACTGTACGCAATCACGTCACACCATACGTTAATTTGTATTCACGCGGCGTTAGAAGTATATTTCATAGCCACCGCTCTATACGTCCGGAATTATTATCTGTTTAAATTATCTCAGTATAGCACGATGCATCATGGGGTTATATTATTGTATTGTTATTTCGATGTGATAATAACATTAAACGGGTTTGCGGTCATCCGAACAATATTTAATGACTATGCTCTTATAAGTGTTGTGCGCACGTCGTATACGATTTAAATATTAATAACCCCCATAATACGTGTACTGCAGACAATACATTTAAGGATATTGTTTGAGCTGTTGCCTAGGGGAAGAAGGTCGTTGATATTATTTCCTTCAGCGATATTATCGGATTTCCCAACAACAACAACATCGGCGACAACAAAATCGTCTTCAGCTTTCACTTTTCTACTATTACTACTACTGCCAATACTACTATTACTACTACTTACCGTAAAAAAATAAAAAAAAATACTTATTGACTAGGACAAAATTTCGACTGAAGATCTATATTGCGATGACAAGACAATCTTATTAAAATCGTTAAACGTTTAACGACAAAAAATAAATCTCCTTAAAAATGTGGCGTTTATTCCGTATTCGAAAAACATGTCCGTCCGCGCAAGAAAGCCGTATCTATTATTATAATACGAATTAAAATATATTTATAACGTGCGTGTTAATATTGTCTAGACGAATTTGACAACATTTACAACAATATAAATAGTTATGGAAAAAATAACGATTTCATCTTCGATAACATCATTTGTATTCGAATATTGCGAACGTTATGGTTTGATACCCGCGAACGATCAGCAGTCGTCGCGCGAGATGCAAGACGAATCGACAAAAAATACGATTGAAATATTAAAATACGAACATCCGCAAACGTGGTGATTCACGAACCGGCGATCATTTATGGTGGTTTTGTCTGTTTTGAGTACATTTCATATTGGTATTCGTATCAATTTCAGTCATTTAGTATTTAGTACTTATTATTATTACAGGGGAAAATCCTTTCCTACTGGCTACACCTGCGGTTAAACTGTTATAAACGGCACTACATACTATCCAAAATATGTTAGTTTCACTCAGCGTTTGTGCGTTAGCGTTGAGATCATATCGAAATTTGTCGAATTCGAAATACAAAAAATACGGGTCACTAATAACATGGTGTTTATGGTGTACGGAATGAATGTGCAATTTTAAAAATATATCAATAATTATAATTCAATATACAAATAACAACCGAAGAAACTGACCTACATCAAATTTAAATTAAAAATTTTTCGTAGATGATTTCGCGACACAATAATCATCCTGTACGTACTTGGGTATACGATGAGACATCGTATTATCATAGCATGACACATTATCATGAATTATTATTCCGCGACAACACGGTGGTCAAAAGATTTTCGACTCTTCATGAAAAATATACTCTTGATGATGATATTATGCGCATACGCGTGTATAATAGCTATATTATTATTATTATTGGGCGCTAGTAACGTTCGCTTTCCGTGTCCGTTCGTGTTGAATTTTTTTTTTTTTTTTTCGTGCCGGACAATGTTACAAGGAAATAGATACCTATCCACCTGCGCATTTCGTATCGATCAACGGCCACCGGGTTGGGTACCTATCAATACAATGCAATATTATTCAGCAAATTCGGGCCGTTTTGAACGACGACGTCAACGCGCTCACAATGGGTGTTTGTTGTTTGCGGACACACACATGCACTGGTATTACCTACATTATGCAAATTCAGATTTTTATCCTGCATACGCACCTATATCAAATCATATTGAGATTAGACACGACGTTGTCACGGTCTTGTATAATGTGATTTGGCGATATATACAATATAGTGTACACGATCAATAATACAATATATATATTTTATTATTATATTCGTATAATACATATACATGCATATTGCATTCGTTCGGTCTTACGTAAATCTATGATAGTACAATATAATATATAGTATTCAAAATATTCTATTTGTATTGAACAATCGTCGGAAAAATGTTAGTAGCCGGTGATGACTTTTTTCGTAACAGAGACAAATAAAACGCAATTTTATATCCGTATAATCATAGGTAGCTACTATACATTCGACATTCCCGTCTACAGTAATATTTCGCGTGTTTATGTTCCAGATGCAACTTTTGCCATGGATGTCAATATTCGTGTTGGTTATTGCATCTGACGCCGAACGTAAGTACCTGTATTATATATTTTATAGAAACAAGTTCGTTCATCATACGGCTTTTCCCGAACGTTTCACGTTTTTGTGTATAGACGGGAGCGCAGTCAAATATCTGCGAAATACCGATTTGATAATATTTTGATACGTATTTTTTTTTAAACACAAAATCAAAATACATGTTTATAATTACTAATTTTATATTACTAATCTAATATGTTCTTGACATTCCACAAATCAAATAATATTTTAATTTAATAAATCTGGTTGCGAAATATAAAATTTAAAACCGACGGGTTCTTACAAGTTATATTTATTTATATTTATTGAAAAATCGCAAAGTTCAACAATCTTTGAGACCTCGAGATACCCAATCGATATGATCTGAATTCATAATATTTACATCACGTTTTTATATACTAAAACCTTGGCCTATTACCATTGTAACATCGAACTAAAACAATTACGTCGTTACCTCAAAGTTTCGGAAACAATTTGAGTTATTAATAATTCATAATAAGCACCGTGCGCTGCTATGTGTCAGGTCTTCTTAGGTCATCGTTGCTGCTGCGTGAGATCCCAACCACGTCACTTATTTCTTTTATTGTTCAAATTGTTTGTACTCTTAATGCATTGTAATATTCTCGTGAATATCCGTTTGATTGCAAGGACGGAATGTGTTTCTATAACGGTGTTTTGTAATAAATTACAGATAATATAGAAAAACGAGGTTCGTCTAATCAAAAGAAAGTAGTATGTTACTATACAAACTGGAGTGTGTACAGGCCCGGTACAGCCAAATTTTCGCCACAAAACATTAATCCATACTTGTGCACGCATTTGATATATGCATTTGGTGGTCTCGACAAAGAAAATGGTCTGCGTCCCTACGATAAATATCAAGATATCGAACAAGGTGAGTACATACTACTTTTTCAAAATATTTTTATTGATCCGATTAATTTAAAATAGGCGGTTATGCAAAATTTAACGGTCTCAAGACATATAACAAAAATCTCAAGACTTTGCTTGCAATAGGCGGTTGGAATGAAGGTTCCACTAGGTTTTCTAAATTAGTAGATGACGAGAGTAAAAGAAAAGAGTTTGTGAAAAATGTTATTAAGTTTCTAAGGCAAAATAATTTCGATGGTCTTGACTTAGATTGGGAATATCCAGCATTTAGGGATGGAAGTAAACCTAGTGATAAAGAGAACTACGCATCCTTAGTTAAGGTAAATATAGTTCAGGAGTTTAATAAAAATAAATCATTGGTCATATTAATTAAATTCGGCATTTGAACATAAAGGAATTACGAGAAGAATTCAATAGAGAATCATCTAAAACTGGTCGACCTAGGTTACTCCTAACTATGGCAGTTCCAGCTGGTATTGAGTACATTGATAAAGGATATGATGTACCAGAACTTAATAAGTGAGAACATATTTCGAGATAATATTTATTTTCTTTATTGATCTTTAGATTTCTTTTGGCAATTATGTAAATTGTATATTTGTACAGGCATTTGGATTTTATGAATTTATTGACATATGACTACCATTCATCGTTCGAGCCAGCCGTTAATCATCATTCTCCACTATATCCATTAGAAGAAGATTCAGAATATAACTTCGATGCAAAACTTAATATAGTAATTTGATATTTGTTTCGATTCATATGTTCATCTACTAGTACTTTATAACAACTATTACATTTTTTTTAAAATTTAGGATCATACGATTAAACATTATATTGCTTCTGGAGCTGATAAAGAAAAGTTGGTTCTGGGTATTCCAACTTATGGTAGATCTTATACACTTTTCAATAAAGACAGTACGGACATAGGAGCTCCGTCCGATGGTCCTGGCGAAAAAGGTGAAGCTACTAGAGAAAAAGGATATTTGGCCTACTATGAGGTATAGATGAAAATATAATTAGTTTTAAATGAGTAGAACTAAGATTATGCCTAGTCAAATAGTAATAATAATAAATATAAGTGATAAAATCAAATTAGATATTCTAGTTTAGTATTATAAATCTACTAGACTAAAAGTATTTATAGAACCCGTATCACTCCACCTAATCTCCTGCAATGCTACTAGTTTAATTTTATATCTTTCTATTTCTTGCACCAAGCAATTCATAGATCCAGTTTTAAAAAAGTTTGTACGTTCCATGTTCTGATATGTTAGGTTATTTTCCAGTTTCTAGTCTTGTTAATCCGAGCTCCAAAATTTCGAGTCATATTATTACTTGATTCCTGAAAAAATAGTTTTTATAGGGCAGGGTTGTTAACCCTGCGCTCAACTCCCAACCTAGAGAACCAGATTAGACCAAGATTAGACCAGATTAGAGGTAATGGTTTTTTCAGTACTCCATGAAAGGTACTGGACAATGGGGACACCATTTTCCCTACGCCATAGCTTGCAGCCCCGGGTTCGTCAAACCCGTAACACTAAGTGTCGCCCTGGAGGTATTTGATTACCTTTGTTCCTTATTATCATTAATTATATATTTTAGATGTGTAACCACTTGAATATTTTAATTTAAATCTTCATATTTATTACATCACTTCACAGTCTACAAATACAAAAACAATTTTCAATATGTATTGTTTAGATTGTTATCATTCTAATATATGTTATTTCGTTGATCTTTCAAACAATTATATCATCTCTAGAATTAAATGTAATAATTTAGCAATTTAGCAATTTACTAAGCGTAATAATTTCAGCTATTAGTATAAACAATTGAATGGTAAGTCGTTGGGTGGTCCTAATATTTTGAAATATGTATATAATATACGTTTAAGTTCAGAAAGGCACGTTTGTGGATTTTAATATCTCCGCCAAATATTGTTCTTCTACGCGTTATTATTATTATTTTATAAACAAAAAATCGAAATAGACCCTCCCTCCCCAAAAACAAATTATTCACTTGACTCTTAAAATGTTTTATCGTTAATAGATCTGTGGAAATATAAAAAAAGATGACACGTGGACTATTGAACAGCCAAAACCTAGAGCAATGGGACCTTATGCGTATAAAGATAATCAATGGGTTGGATATGATGACGAAGAATTTGTTAAATTAAAGGTAAAACTCAAAAAGGAAACATAACTGTGAAAATAGCCTATATTTATAAATAATATTAACACTACTATTTGATTTTTACCAACGATATATTTTTATAGGCAAAATATGCGATTGAAAACGATTTAGGAGGTATCATGTTTTGGTCCATTGATAATGATGATTTTAGAGGAAATTGTCACAGCAGAGCATATCCGTTAATTGAAGCTGGGAAAGAAGTCCTTTTTGGGTATAAGATACATTTACAATACAATTTTAGTGAAATTGAATGTTTAAAAATAATATTAACAATTTTAGGGATTCTAAAATAGAATCAAGCCAAGGAAAAGAAACCAAAGTCACATCAAAATCTCGACCTAAACCAAGACCAATTGCAAGAACCACTACGTCTGCACCACGAGAAGATTTTACACAATCAACAACTACGCCAGAACCTCCTACTACACCTGATACTGGAACTGGTTAGTGTAAAATAAAATATCATTAATTTACTGTAACTTATTGTATTAATAAACATAAATTTAAATGTTTTTATTTTTAAAGATTTCACCTGTAAAGACGAAGGATTCTTTCCACATCCACGTGAATGTAAAAAATACTTTTGGTGTTTGGATAGTGGTCCATCAAACTTAGGAATTGTGGCTCATCAATTCACATGCCCTTCAGGATTAGTGTTCAATAAAGCATCGGATTCATGTGATTACAGCCGAAATGTTGCTTGTAAAGATAAGAAAACGTCTACTGAAATAACAACTACAACTACAACCACGACTACTCCTAAACCAATTAAATCTGGAATAAAAACTACCACTACTACTACTACTACTACTACAACTCAAATACCAGAAGTAGAAGAGGACGTAGAAGATGAGTTTGAGGAAGAAGAAGATCCAAAAGAAATTAAACAATTGATTACATTAATCAAGAAATTAGGTATATAAATAATCAAATATTGATAATTATTTTAACATTTTTCAATACAAAAATTAATATTTTGGACACATTATTTTGTAATGATTTTTCTAGGTGGTGTAGCTGAGTTAGAAAAACAACTTAATATCAAGGACGGATCTACTGAAGTCACAACACCAGCAATAAGCAAATCTCTGTACAATAAAGTTTTAAAAATACCTTCCAACAGGTAATATTAATGAATAATTTTTGGGAAAAAAATGTTAATTTTTAAGCATGGTTTTTACAGGTTTCAGTCTTCATACATAAATGGACCTGGTCCTCAGAGTGAAGGATTAGAGAATACTGGTGATAATATAGATTATAAGAAAGATAAACCTCAATATGTGACAATTAGACGTCAAAGGTTAGTATGAAAAAAGTTTAATTTAATGGAACAAAATAATTCTTTAATAATATAACATAATTATTTTAGGCCTTCTAAGGATGTAATCGAAAATAGCAAAGAACAAGAACAGGAAACTCCTACTTTTACAACAACTGAAAGGTTTAAGCCGACATATAAAACAGTGGACAGGTCTAGATACCGTGATTTGGGAGAGGTTGCAGATGAGAATTCTGAAAACGATTCTTTGCCTAAATATACTACAATTAGTCGAACTAGATCAACAGAGAGTGATCTCGAAGAAACTTCTAGTCCCAAATATGTTACTTTGCGCCGACAGAGGCCAACATATAAAGAAGATGAGATAAACGATGAAGAAATTACACCAGTGTCTTCCATTTCATCTACTTCACAAGCACCAAGGTATATTGTAAAATATTAAAATCATAAAATGTTGCCTATTACAAATTCGTTAAAATACAATGTATTATATACAATTTTAGGTATGTTTCCTTATTGAGGCAAAGAAGTACTACAACTACTACAACACCTGAGGATACATCAATTGAAACAACAATAAGAGATAATTTTGAAGAGCCTAGACCAAGTACAAGTACTAAGGTGAGTGATGAAGCTTTTACAACTGAGTCTAGCATAATTAGCACCATTTTATTCAATACTATACCATTTACTGAAATAACTACAAAAACCGTAAATATTCCCTCATCTACAACTGCAAAAATTAGTGAACTCACACAAATTCTAACATCAAGTACTGAAAATATAAGTGATATTAAAAATATTACAAATGTGTCCACACCAATAGATAAAAGCGTGAATGATACTATAAAAACAACAGCATCTCCAATATTAATTAATACAAATACACGCAATACTTTAAGCACTACAAAAAGTCCAACGTCAACTATTACTAATGTCATAACATCTATATATGAAGTTGCTACAGAAAGACAACGAGTTCGTATAAAAAATATTCAAAACTTTTTATTGGAACACAAGAAAAGTGAACCTGTAACTCAAACAATTACACACACCTCTACATCTCCAACAACAATGGAAAATATAATTCAGGTTGAAGAACCAACACAGAAATCAATACTAAAGGGCCGATTTGGAGGTCAGGTACAATTCAGACCAACTTTGAGAAAACCTACTATTACTACAGAAAAAAGTATTACAACAGAAAAAATTATTGAAACGACTACTGAGAAAAAAGTCGATACAAATAACGAACCAAAAATTGATACAACTACTGAGAAAAGATTTCGTTTGAATAAATACGTAAATAGATTTGTCAGACCAATTAATAATAAAAATAATAATAATAATACAGAAATCCCAAGTACTACCACCGGTAGAATATTTATTAAACCAATAACTGAAACATTAGAATTGAGTACTAGACAATTTAATAGATTTAGACTCACTACTAGTAGTGATATAAATAACAATACATCGTTAACTAGAAGAAGTTTTTCTAGATTCAGACCAAATACATCTGAAACGCCATTAACTAGCAATGCAGATATACAAAAATCACGATTTTTTAGAAGCCGAAAACCAATTTCTTCTACTTCTACTTCAACAACTACAACAGAAGACACCACAACAGGAGAATTCTTAAATTTTGAAGAAAACGTAGATAGTTATCGTTACGTGACAACACCTTATATACCTACTACAGTAAATTTCCCAACATCAAATTTTGAAGAAACATCAGTGAATGATGAGGAATTAAAATCTACAACGTTTGGCAGTTTTGAACAGACTACCTTTAGTACAAATGATATAACAACCATTCAGCCAACATCTGTTAAAGCCGCCAAAACCTTTAGAGGATCCATACGAGCAAACAATAGTTTTAATTCTAATGAAAAATCACGATCCCCATCATTAGGTAGACAAAATTCTCGATTTTTAAAGGAGGAAAATAAAATACTATTTATAAGGGTCTTACCTTCGCCAGATGGAAAATCTCAAAATGATTTTACGTCAGGTCAAATAAAAAACATAACTAGAAGTCGGGGAAGAATCAGAGCATTCGATTCTTTAGAACTTGTTACTCGAACCGATGGATTGGCAAAAGATGACCGACCGAATGAAGTGTTCAAAGGAAGTGAAACAAAATTTAGGGTACAACAATCAACAACTACTGAAACGACAGAAGAGGTATGAATGAAATTTGCATAACAAGTTAAAACGACTAAAACGAATCATCTGTCGGGCGCATGAGAGCTACTAATAAAACATACTACTACTTCATTAATATGAATTACAAATGTGTGGTCACTGGGGAATTGATGACTGCTGCATGATAAAGTTTAAAATGAAAAATCGTGGTTCAGCAAGAACCATAATGACCGATAAAAACCGGTGGACATAAGTTGCATGATAAAATAAAGACAATAAGGTGCGAATGGTTTGATCATCTGCTACGCCACTGCATTGCATCCTAAAAGCTTCCCATCCACTAATAAAAATATATAAAGCTAACATACTCATTTTGTCCATAGTGTATATTAAAACAATATAATAAAAAGAATCATAATATTTTTATTTAATTCCATAAATATTTGTTTTTATTTGTTAAGTTTCAAAGAGATAGAAATCGCCAAAGAATTACTAGACCAACTAAACGAACAACTACTACGACTACCACTGAGGATTCATCGCCAATTTCATCAACAGAATCATATTCATCACAAGCAGCTAACCGAAGAAGAAAATTTAGGCCTGAATACACAACAACTTCTGTTTCAAACTATGAAGAAGGTATTGTATTAATTTAAATTTAAAATTATGCAAACTATAATTCACTGGTTTTCACAAATATAAAATGTAAAGATACTATTATTTTATACAAAAACTTTATATGAATTGATATATTAAATTTATTTTCAAAGAATTGACTACACCAAAAACTCGGAATCCTGAACGAAGGTTTAGAAGTCGGACAACTGTATTGAAAAATGCAATAATTACAAGCACAACTCCGGGAACACTAGAAGAAAACGATAGAAAGTTCTTCAGTTCATCGTCACAGCCGTATTATGACGACTCGAGCCTTTTTGCTAAGACCAGAGATGATAGGAAAATTGGTGGTTCGACAGAAGATTTAGCCAACACAGCTGTAGTTGCCATACATACACTCGCTACTGCACCCCCTTCAAATTATGATTTTAGTAAGAATGCTGGTTATATTATAGCCCATATTTAACGTCGGACATATGTAGTAAAGATATAAAGTATTTAATTTGTATTATTTATTCGGCATTAAAACTTTATAAAATATGATGAACCTTGTGTTAAATTTACACATTAAAATTACAATTTTACACGATGGCAATTTCTAGAATGTTTTGAAAATTTTATCATGCCTCGAAAAGGCTTAAAAAGTTTTTGGTGAAAATTTAAAATCGTTAAGATTATTTTTAGTTGAATAACATCAATAAAATAAATAAAAAATAACAGTGACCGTTATTACTACATTTTTTCATTTATCAATTATTAAGAAAATAACAAAAAAAATCAAAAAATTACCTCCTCAATGCACAAACTAGACAAACTTGTCTATTAGAAATTATTCTTAAAGTTAATGATCGCAACAAGATTTCTATAAAACCAATAAATTCATTGATATGCTCAGAATCTAAAATATGTTACATCTAAAATATTTTATAATGGTATAATTAGGCTAGATATTGTGAGAACAAATTTTCAGTTGATATAAACCAGATATACTCTTAAAATACTAATATTCTCGTATTCACTTTAATATTATTATTATGATATGCAATGCATAATAGGAAAATACAAGATTTTATGGAGAAATAGACTGTAACATACAATTTGGAAGACCCTGTACAATATGCAAAAACATGCCAAATAAAATTTTATAATATTGAGCTTCTGGGTAATAAATACAATTTTAAATATTATCAATGAATAAATCCTGTTTGAAAAATTCTTGTTTCATTTTTAAACTGAAGAAACTTGTGCATACAAACACATAGTTCAAAAGACCGTGTTCCTAGAGACTTAAAGAATCATTTCAGGGCGAGTATTTCAACGCATTTTCCAATGTATATACACTTCTTAAATTGGATAAAAATTAATTTTTTTTGTTTTATTACGTATTATTTTTTCTGTAGGAAAAAAAATGAAATATTTCATGACATTTTCAAATTCTAGTCTTCGGTCATATTATGTTTTGCGGCCAAAAATTATTAACAATAATTACATAAATGAGTATCTAGCTAAACTATCATGATTTTTTTCACAGGGTCTTCTACACAGAGCATTTTCCGCCAAACTACACAGAAACAAAATTATTTTGAGCCACGGGCATCGCACACAAAGAGCACTGGTGAAGCTTTCGAGGCTACGGAAGAACCAGCCACGAGACAAGCGATACAAGCTCAACAGTTGATCAATAGGCCACCGGCGCCGCAGTCCCAACAACCACCCATCAAACTGCCGGTCTCTTTTCAGCCGGCTCCTTATCAGCCGTCGCCGTTCCAGGTCGGTCCTTTCCAGCCAGTTTCTTATCCCGATCTGCCGTTCCAGACGAACGATGCGTTCGCGCCGATCGCGGCGAGACAACCAACGATGGCCGTAACAACCGCCGTCCCAGTTGCCACATCCCGGCAAACGTTCTTGTTGCGGAGAGGCCCACCGAGGACAACGCCTCTCGCCGTTTCAACCTCAGCCAGCACGGTCAGAACTCCGCCATCACTACCACCACCCCCCCAGTACTTAAACGACAACGCACAGGAACAGTACGCCGACTATTCGGAACCGGAACTGGCGTCCGACACCGGTGCCGAACAACAGGTAGCCCTAAAGGGCAAGGTTCGGATACACGGCGATGGTTACATCGAGTGCCTAGATATGGGTAGTTTCCCACACCCGTTCTCATGCCGTAAGTTTATATCATGCGCCAAGACGGAATACGGTACGCTGTTCGGATGGGAGTATACGTGTCCTAAGGGGCTTTCATTCGACCCCGTGGGTGGCATTTGCAACTGGTCATCCGGTCCTTCATGTAATTAATTGACCGCCACCGGCACGACAAAAATGACGAAAGAAAAACAAGAATAAAAGTAAAAAAAAAAAAAAAAACAAAACAAAAGTCCTCCTAGTCTCTCTCGATGTGTAATTTTTCGTTGCGCAAACAAATACGCCAATGTTTTATATTCAGGGCCAGTTATTGATAAAAAATCCAACTCGGATGAAATTACATTAATTTAATCGGACTGTCGATATCAAAATAGTATATCTAGGTATTGTAATTTCATTCGATTTGTTTTGTATACATTACGTGTTGTATTAAATATTAATTAAATTTATATTTGTATTTTATTTAAAAATATATTGTAATTATAAGACATTTTGAGTTTTGAATCTATAAAATCATTTAATAATGATAATGTTCGGACATTGTGCACATTGCTTATGAGAATTTTATCACAAATCACAATGCTTAAATTACCAACAATGTCTGTAACATTTCTGTCGTCACATAAGTCTCGCTAAAAAATGAAAATGTGTTTGTTCAAACTATCGCGTATTGTCAGATAATCATTATTTGATCAGACCGTGATTTCTGATAACTAGTGTTTTTGACAATAGTATTTTCATAATAATTATGGCTCTGTCTATAGTTTTTTTGCTACATAGGTACTTATCAGAGGAACACACTATTTGGCTAAAACAAAATCCTTGATAAGGGCGACATTCGTGTTGCAAACAAGGCAAAACGGTCGCAATCTGATTTCACCCGGTACTTATAAGTTATAATGTCCAACAAAACGTATGCCACTAATCTAAGGTTTAGCAAGTTATTTCTATTCCGGAAGATTAAAATGATAAATAAACGTCGTCCGAAAAAATAAATTTAAAAAAGACGGACATAATTTACACTGATGTTGATAAGAAGATGGAAGGAAAAACCTTTCCATCTTGAGGGGAAATTAATTTGTATCTGTAAGCAACGATAAACCATTGCTAATGATTAACGATTCTGAATGGAGTTCAGTTGATATAGTGATGCGTTGTCAACAACATTTATGTCATGTTATGGTAAAATAATTAAACAGGCATTATTTATTTTCTTTAATAATATTTGTTTAGTATTGTACCGTTTTCCTGATTTTCCCTTTTTTTTCACGGTTTTCACATTTGCAGGGAAAACACTAGGGAAAATCGAAAAATAACCTCTTTAAAGTACCTTCGCAGTCAGAATTCCTTCCAGAAAAAATGTTATTGTAAATCGGAGTAAAATTTCATGTAGAAAAGTTGTTTACAGGAAAAAAAAGGCCGAAATATTTTTAACTAATACCTATATTTCTTATTTTTTCCTCAGTTTTTTTTTTTTCGGTTTTTCAGATTTGTTACGAAAACTCCTGAAAAATCGAAAAATAACCTTCCAAAAGGGTAACGTACACTTTCCGCCCGTGCGGTTTCCGCTCAACACCTTTTTCGTGCTATTTCCACTAATTATCGTGATGTTTACCTGCTGAGATTATATGAAGTGGACTACTCGTTTAAAATTTATATATAAATTGTATAAAATTGTTAAATTATTATAGCTTTGATTCTGATTTTGAACAAATGATAAATGATAGGTATAAATTATATTTCTCGTCATTTTATTGTATGGATTTTCCATCAGAATTATCGATTGAAGGCTTGAGGTTAGAGTATGTACCAGCAAAAGAAAGAAAACGTATACAATACACATATACATTTAGATCAACGTATCAGACAAATACAAATGACATTCAATTTCCCAAAAAGTCAAACATTTAAAAAAATGTTTATTAACTCTATCGTTTGTTTAAAAATTAAATTAGATTAGACCAGTAGCTCTCAATATTTTTAGAACCACGACCCAAATTTTCCCCAAAAAATCTATCGCGACCCTCATGGTTTCACTGTTTCAAAAAATAGTTTATGAAAACAGCTAAGAAAATCAAAAAATGTCTTCCCTAAAGTATCACCCCAGTCAAATTTCCTTTCAAAAAAAATGCTACAATGCTCTGTAGAAAAGTTGTTCACAGATAAAAAAAAAACACTATTGAAAAACCAATACATTCCTCCGCTCAGAGTCCAAAAACATACATTTTTGGAATCTATGTAATTTAAAACAATTTTCACAATCCACCAAAAATTTACTCAGAACTTATCAGTGAGTCGCGACCCACAGTTTGAGAAACACTGAATTAGACAATTATAAAACCCTTCTTAAGGGAGATCATTTTTCGATTTCATCAGGAGTTTTCTCAACAAATGTGAAAACCGAAAAAGAACGAAAAAATGTACGAAATGTAGGTATTAGTTAAAAATATTTCAGCTTTTTTTCCTGTGAACTTTTCTACCAGCGACTTTATAATGATAGCACTTTTTCTGAAAAGAAATCTTACTGGGGTGATACTTTTAGGGGGTCGTTTTTCCCAGGAATTTATAAATGTGAAAAACCAGGAAAATCGGTACAAAATTAAACAAAAATTATTAAAGAAAATATATAATGCCTATTTAATTATTTTTCCATAATAAGACAAATATATTGTTGACAAAGCATCACTACATCAACTGAATTCCACTCAGAATCGTTAATCGTTAGCAATGGTTTATCGTTGCTTACAGATACAAATTAATTTCCCTTCTATATCCTACCTTCCCATCTTCTCACCAACAAAAGTGACTGCACCCATCGTGCGAAGTATGTCCGCTTTTTTTAAATGTATATCTATATTTCACAGATTTTTCGATTTTTCCCGTTCTTCCAATATATTGAAAAAAATCCTGAGTAAATCGTCTCCGTAAAGTATTGGTAAATACCTCTTGTATTGACGGATAGCGAAATAAAAAAAGGTATAATGTATTATTAAAATACATGTATGCAGTGCCCATATTTATATTCATAAAATATAAAATCACCATGACTTAAAGCTAGTGATGTAAATTTATATAACACAATTGTATAATTTCGTATTATATACGCTGTATAGAATTATTTTATACAATGGTGTTAAATTTGTATAATTTTTTTTTTTGTTAAGTGGTCAATCTGTTTGCTTTGTACTTTATTAATCATTTTTACGTGCGTTTTTCTTTCTTTTTTTTAAATTTGATATTAATATGAGTATATTCAAATAGATAATGGTTAAGTAATCAAATCAAAGTTTTGTATACAATATCACATTTCTATATCTTTCAATACAAGATTCTGATTTTTATACCGTAAAAAATGTGTATAATAGAGGAAAAAAATAAAATACTATATTTTTACATCACTATAGTTAAAGCATATTGTTATAGAATGGTGAATTGGGGTAAAGGAGGTGTTGTGTGGGGGTTTTGTCCCCATGACTCTCTCTAATAGCACTTAGGTGGTGATGGTCATTCTCTAACATCTATGTTTGCCTCATAAAATAAATAATTTCACGCCGCCACTGAGTTGGTTATTCCTTGGTTTCGTTTGCCCTAGATCCTATATCGTTCTCGTTTATATGACTCTGCATATAGAATATAAACGTATGCAATTTAAAAACATTTCCACGGGTTGCATTTAAAATGCAATCTGTAAAATGCAAATCTGTACATTATATGATTTAATAAATATACTGGAAAAATCAAGATGAAAAAGTGTTAAAACTCGAAACTATTTAGGTAAGTCAATATAATTCAATATATGACAAAAAAAAAAAAAAATGCAATTAAATTTAATATTATACAATATAGTAATGATTTTCATACACGAGTAAAAACAAATAAATATAGGTACCTAATATATGACAAAGAAAATTACAAAAAATGTACCTATATCTGAACAACGTGTTATCAAAAATATTTTATCAATTTTCAGCAAGAAATCATTTTATTAAGATTTAAAACCATTGTCGAGTTTTAAGAGTGTTTTTAGACGGCGGGTGTCTTCTTTACGAACCGATAGTATACGGTTAGTCGATGTCTAATTTCTTAAACGTTCCACTCATATCCATGTCAACGTTTTTTGACTTAATTGGTCGTTTCGATAAATCAGCTCTAGGCATATTCCGGTACCATTCGTCGTCCTCTTTCACAGATTCCATAAAGTCGTCTGTATAAACGAATCGGTATTTTAAAAGGTATTAGGTTTAAAATTTATTTATTTCCCTAAATTTGAATATAATAGATACAATAGTATAGGTATATTTCTAGTAGATAATTATTGGATTATTACTTTCGAATTTTTCTACGCTGCCCGCGGTGCCACCGTATTCGTATGGTAGTACATCTTTTGGAATGTAATCGTAAAGTGTATCAAAAGTCTCATGAACACAAATCTAAAGCGAAATACACACAATCAGTACAACATAATAATATAATATGTAGGTGTATCAAAAACATAATAATATTATCAATAACAATTTAAGTATTTAAATTTTTTATTAAAAATACAACTCGCCCTGTCTTGAATTTTGGATGGCATAAATATTTTGAAGAAATTCACTAGGCGAGCTACGAACTTTGGTGGGTTCACATAGTGGACACCTCTCACTCTCAATGGTGTTGCTTCCTGAAACGCGAAAAAAGAATGACTCACATTTATTTTGATTTATGGCATGATTTATATTGTTGCGTGCCCACACGCTATTATAGGTATACGCGTGTGAACCCGTATTAATTAGGGTAAATTATGTGCGCATCGGCTTAGCCACAAAAGGGGACCACACCAAAAACCGGGAACTAAGATTTCTGAGGTTAGGCTAGGTCAATTAAAATTAACAACATCGTCGTAAAATACAATAAAATAAAGTGCATCATTTGAACACCGAATTTAATGGCGAGCATAATAAAAATAGCGAAACGCGTGAAACCGGTGACTGATGCTTAGATAATTAATTTCCAGGTACACATAAAAACCGAGAGTAACGAAATAATGTAGATAGCCGTGACTACGAACAACGGGGTGCGGGGGTTCCTCCATGCATATAGAACGCAGCCCGGATCACCGTCTAACCAAACGAGTCCACCATGATCGAATGCGAGCAACCTCGCGACACTGTTTTATGAATTATTTTTGTATTTGTAATATTTTTATGCGAATTTAATTTAATTGGTCTTGGAATATTTTTGATGTTTTGAATTGTATTGCTGGACTTGTAATATTTTTATGTGGAAATATTAATTATTTGTAAAACCGAGTTTGAGTTTAATTTCTTTCAACCATTTTTCTTCCAAGTCTACATCCTTACCTTGGGCCCGTTACAATATAATCTAAACACCACGCAGGCATTATTATTTATTAGTTTATGATTTGTTTACATCGCGATTAATCTCAATCAAATTTTAACCAATACAATAATAAATACCTATTAAACCTTTGGGCATTCAATTGTAAATTGATCGAAATTATTCGTACACGTATTTTAATTTAACTTGAGACTTTAAAAAATGTAATTATAAGAATAGGTATTAAATTCGAACAAATAATAATAATATTAAAAATTTCGGTTTAAAAAGAAAAATGTATTATTTTCAATTTTATGACAAATAAACAATTTTAAAAACAGATAAATTATTTGCGTATTAAAATCACATAATATACCTACGTCATACGATTCATTAATACTCACGTCTATGCACCGCATTAGATTTTTAGTTAATGACGGCGTGAAACTTAGCAAATAAGACAATTGACAATATTTCAGATCGAGCAAGAAAATCATTCCATAAATAGGTTCACGGCGCATTAAATAATCAATAGTTTTCAATGACCCTTTACACATCACCATAGCATTAAATTCCACGTCGCGGTTTTCAATAGAACGAATTATGTGTACACGATTTGCTTCCGGTGTCATTTTCGGTAGTAACGAAAGTTTTCTATATAAAAAATAATAATAATATAAATGTGTAAAATGCTGTAGTTTTATGAATATCCAATTGACCGACAGTACAGTGTATTATATTTATTATTTGTGTACACGATTGTAAACCCAATGATAGTTGTGCAACAGCAAATTTCTAATAAACAATTATAATAATATTTAACTATGCATTTATAAAATAAATATTCAAGCACGCTTAAAAGATTATAACGTAAGAGATTTAACATAAAACGAAATAAAATGAATGGTTAATGCAATAAATATTATGTCAATTGTTACTTCCAAAATCTTTACTTTCATATTATGAGCTTATTGTAAATAGATCAAATTTTCAAAACAAACAAGTGTTTGCACAAAAATTTGATATAACCATTATAATATTAAGATTAGATTATCGTCCAATAAAAAGCAATTATATTTGAATAAATTGTGTTAAAATATTTACAAATAAATATGTGGCTATAATAATTAAGCAATAAAAAAATTAATTCAAATTCAAAAAAAAAAGATAGAAATAAAAACCAAACGTTTGTCCCGGTCCATTGAAATCGTTTAAAAAATGTGCTTAAATTGTCTTGGAAATTGACGGAGAGTTATTAATGTTCAAAATAGATGTAATACTGTAACAACTAACAATATTTACACTTACCCAACTTTAACGGCACTTTGAATCCATTCAGCATCACTAGTCATGTCATTAAAAAGTCCGGGTATTTCTTCACGAACAGTAAAATAGGATTCAATAACTTTCTTTGTCATTGGCAAATTATTTTTCCGTCCGATAAGAAAATGTTTGAGCCATTGTCGGTCTTAACAAAATATAATTATACAAATAAAAATCAATGACAGATTGTTAATACTTAGAAGTTTGTACAATCAATAACACGACTTATTGCAATAAGTTATTTTGTTTGTTTGTCATATTGCAATAGGCATATACGGTAATATTTTATAAAGGTATCTATCTACTTATTGGATGGATAATTTAAAAAAGATGTCTGCAGCGTAGGTGTCCTCGAATAAACGTGATTACAATTTTAAATATGATTATTTTGTATTCCATCAATTGTCAATTCGATTACATTTTAAAATATAATTACACGCACACGCTCACATCCTTATTGCATTCCTACTTGCTGTTACTGTTGTAGACGATTTTCCAATTAGGTATCAATATTATTTTTAGCATTAAAAATAATTAAAAAATAAAATTTACAATATATTGCAACGGCACATTATCTCAAGAAAGCAATAATTGATTCTTGATTTCCCGTTGTATCACCAGATAATAATAAATAATAATACGTAGAGTATTAGTAGATACGTTAAATTGTAAATATCTCATATTGGTAAAATAATGAAAACTGGTTGGAAATCAAAACACGACTTTCTTAATCATTAACTAGACACAAAATTCAACAAAAAAAGTCTCGTGTTATTTTTTGATTAGAGCAAGATTTCTGGTAGAAAAATTGCTAAGTTGTTCATAGACACAAAATAATGCATAAAAAAAATATCATAGAATAACCAATGAATTCTTCATTACGTTTAGAGTCTAATATAAATGCTAATATAATTGTTTGTCTTTGAACTCATTTTTATGCAATATGCTCGTGATTAGTACCTATAAGTACCTATTGGTTTTTATTATTATTGAATGTAATCTAAGTTGTATGTTTTTACTAACCTTGAATCTCATATTAATTTTGTCATTGAAACGGATATATTTTTTTTATTACAATTTTCATTTCCGTGTATCTATACCTTTTTCATCAACATAACCGATACAATAAATAAATTTTATTCTAAAAATGCATTTTCTTAAAATAGGATGATTAAAATGTACAGATTGCAATAAAAGCTACCTACGAATATAGCACCTAGTTAAAGAAAAATATAAATACATGATTTTTCTATTAATTTTAGATTCTAAGTGTAGCGAAGAAAAACTGTTCACTTTTTTTAAAATTTGTTATTTTTTCGAACTATATAAGATGCGGGTTTTCACTTGACGGTATTTTATTTGAAACATTTTTAACAACTCCGGATACTTTTCCACTTTTAAAATAGTACGACTCTTTTCATGCAGTATCTTAAAATATGGTATTTTATTTGAACAATATGGATAGATTCCTAAAGATTTAAAAAAAAAACTGATAGCAAATGTCAATACATCCGTTTTATTTTTGTTATTCTATTGTTGTTTATGTTATCTTGGCTACAAAAGAAGAAACACGAATAATTTAACTAATAATACTCCCCTCAGAATCGTTTTATAATTGTCATGATTTATCGACGCCTTCAATGTATAAATTAACGTATATCGGTCCATAATGCAAAGCAGAAACGTCCGTTAAAAAATATACCTACAACCTAATAACTAATAATTAAATTGCATACCATAATTGTAAGTTGTAACCATAATACCAAAATTGTTTTTTCAAACATACTTGTTAATTTACTCTTAAATTTTGAGCGGAGGGAGGGATCTATTGATTTTTACCATAGTGTTTTGTTTTTTGTTTATGCATGTATGTTTTTGAGCATTTTATCTACCAGAAATCTTTATTTAATAGAAAAATGACAAGAGACATTTTTTTATTTCATTTTTTATCTAGTTGGTACATCGAGGACTGATACAGTAATTTTTTTAGTTTTTTAAAAAATAATTGGGAAAACCGCATAACAACGTGTAGGAAAAACGAAGTAAATTTACGGCACGTCGTGGCACTACCAATTTCATTTTTTTTTTTAATTCAGTTAAAAATGTTCGTAGATACTGGACATTCTGACAGACAACTTATATTGTCATAGACGTGGTCAAATTTTAAAAATATTCTGTACGTATTTATAACAGTGCTTAAACTAGGGGGGGGTGCAATGGGACGGAACTCCTCTACTAATTTTATTATTTTCTAACGTCCCCTTACTTATTTACTACTAAGACAAGAGGGAGACAGTACGTCTTTTTATGTAAATAATGATATTTAAAAAAATATTTATTGCACTATCGTAAACTCAAATAAATTAATATATTTTATGTTTTATGATTTATCGTCCAGTGACAAATTATCTTTTTTTTTGTATTATATATTTGTGGCCTTATATGATAAAATAAGTGATGAGTGAATGAGTGATGAGTACGATCATAGATGATAGCTGAATGATAACCGAATGCTCCCGATTATTTTAAGGTATAAAATTGTAAATACCTACCTAATTATGTTTATGTAACCAAATTAATAATGACTGTTACCTGGTCTAAAAACAATTTTATTCTAAAGATTGTGTTAAATGTAGTGGATTATGGAATTTTAAATTGATATAATTATCTTTTTACCTATTATACTTTCCTCGAGTTCAATCTATAAAAAGCCATCAAATATAATTTTTTAAATAACGGGTTTAAATAACAACGCAAAAAAAAGGCTGATGAGTATGACACTTTTTTATGTGGGAAGAAGGAAGAAAAGATATAAATATTAATAGAGTAATTTAATTTACATCAGTGTATTATTAATATAATTGTTCCTTTTGTTGCTTATTACGTAACCCAGAATTCAACAAAAAATATATAAACCATTGACAGTTGTTCCGATTTATTAAGAAAAATACAAAGAAAATCCAAAAAAAAAAAAAAACAATGTCCTACTCAATGCACCAACTGGATAAATACTATTAGAAGAAAGTTCATATCAAGTTTATACATTTATACATGCAAAAATTACATATTTATATTTTTTCACATCTCTGGTTGTATTATTAAATAACTGATCTTAATCAATAAAAAATATAAACCAATCGGGTATAATATATTTATATAGATAATACTACTAAAATTAAATATTTAAAACGGTAAAAATAAAATTGTATTAGTACCTAGTGATTTTAAAGTTAATTAATAGAAAATTAATTTGGCATTTTTGTATGACGCTAACGATTTTGATCAAAGTTCGGTTAATTACTGTTTGATAAACTTAAACTGAAAACTGTATTAATTTATACTTATATTTATTATTTATGGTTTAATTTTTAAATTGTTGAGCATTCTTATGGAATCAAAAAAGTTATATCTACATAAATCGGAAAAAAGTAGGAACGCAAAATGCCAAGATCTTTTAAGATTGAACTTTTAAATAAAAATTATTAGTAATGTAAATATATTCACAAACCTGTAATATTTGGTAAATGCGGTTGTTTAGACAACCATTCGATCAAAACGTCTATATCGTCTTCGATTTTCTCAGGTTCCTTAAAGAAATATAATTTCTTAATCGCCTCTTTGTGTTCATTGTTAGGTGGTAAAAGAGCCATATTACTATTGTTGTTGATTAATCAAAATACTCGAATTGAATATTAAAAATAATCTCTCAGAATACCTAAGTAAAACAATGTTTGATTCTGGTATACGTATACGTACCTATAATGTGATTGACGTGTAACCTTTCCAACAGTTCTAACGGAAATAATACACGACTACACTGACTTCCGATTTTTCGCCGTCACGTATACTAGTCAGTCACTATTCAATCAGCACAATTGCCACCACTACACAATCGAACGCATTTATTGATATATTTTATGCGAAATGTAAAACTGGTTAGTCAAGCTTTTGCAGCCAGCCTTGACGATTTCTTATAGGTACTTACTATAATGAGTTAATCACGCATTTATTTCCTGTCGGCATTTCAGGGTTAAAATACATACACACACACACTTCAAATAACTCCCACCCCGTAAACAAAAGGAAACGTTGAAAATATATCATTTGAATGATACATTTTTCCCCCTTTAATTTATTACTCATAAGGAAAAATGAAAATACATAAGAAGAACACGTTTCCTGGACTATTTTTATTAGTATGTGTTTCCACGCACGACCGGTTTCAATTAAAAAAAAAAACCTGCCAAGTGCGTGATGTACAATCATCATCAATTTAGGTTTCGTAGTATGGATAATGGATATCCATGCAACTTTTGAGCACGAACTCAGTTACAGACACGAGACACGTTAAAGTACATACCACGGTACAATTATCAACCTGGTTCAGAATTTAAAATAAAATCATTGATATGCAAATCATACGAGTATACGAGTAAGAAAACGCTGGATATAATTTAACTGTGAATCACAAGTGGTCACGTAGAGCCACAAATATGTTGACACATAGTAGGTGCTCACACGCAAAATGTAGAATGATTATAGGAATCCACTAATAAATGGCGGAATAAAAAAAAGGCTCGTCCAACATCTTTAAAACTATTGGATTGAGTTAATGTGGCGATTACGGCTATATTATAGAATATAAATAAATGGTTGCTCCTATTTTAGGGAGCTGAGAAAAGCGGCGCCGAAAATCCTCAACAAAAACCTCTACACCATCAGCTATTCCTATGTAATACCCACGGCCATGGGTACCATGGGGGAATCTTTATTCATTATCCTATGAAAAGAAATTAATATGGTAGGCACTAACAGATGTCCATAAAAAAAATATATATATATTTATATTATAAAAGATTAAAAAATAGTAGTAGTATGAAAAGGGCGGTTCTAACTCAGGAGCAAGTGCAAGTACCAAGTGCCAAGTGCCAAGTGTCGGTGCCAGGATCAAGTGCCAAGTGCCAAGTGCTATGCCTAATACATAGCCGCTCGAATTGACCATCTCTTCACCTACCTATATTCCCCCCTCCCCACTTTTTTTTTTTTAAATATTTTCTTCGTACCAATTTGTCTTCCTTATCACTGAGCGACACTACACACACTCGCACGCATCTACCTAACCACATACATACTGTTATCATGTACATACATAAACATATACATACATATCTACATACTGATACAGTATACATACATAAACATATACATACCTACTGTTACCATATACCTATTGTTANCGCATACCTACATAGTATATAAACAAATTATAATATTCTGGGCAAGAATCGAACTCGGAGTACAACAGCTGTAAGCCATATACTTTTCCCACTCCGACTCTTATCACCGTATTTAATATACATTTACTTAGTGTATATATATATATATGTATAAGTTGTTATTATTTCTCCAAATAATATTTTTTTCCTAACATAATCTTATTTTGTGATCACGTTAGTGTGCATTGTTATTAAAACAATTCACCCAGATTATTAACTATATTGACAACGAAATTAACAAAATGAGGACACCACCACCACCAGATATGGATAGAATACATATATTCATAAAGTCTTCAAGATAAAGAAATCGTAGTGAGCATGCCGAAATATGACGTCAGTTATGCCACTCAAATCAAAATGTTTGCAACCACTCAATTAGTCGAGCGCTGGATGGATATGCAGAGCACGGGTAATCTAACGATTAAACCACCGACACCGAGCTATTCGCCGATGTCACCAACTTATGCCGTAAGAGGATTCGATCACAACGACGGACCGTACGGACCGCAATGTATCACATCTCCACCGGCAAGGAAGAGATGGACGAGGAAGAACAATTAGATTCAGCAGTTTCAGAAATGGGGTGGGGTTTAAAACGAAAATTTTCTTCATAATAACGCATTTTTTTTTTTTTGTATGTATTCTATCCATATCTGGTGGTGGTGGTGTCCTCATTTTGTTAATTTCGTTGTCAATATAGTTAATAATCTGGGTGAATTGTTTTAATATAATCGGTCGACTGATGGCAGATTTTCGTGCGATAGTTTCGGTTATACACCATTCCAAATTTTGTAGTGCAAATAAATTTTGTTTATTTAATATAACGCGGCAGCCGGTCACAGTTTTTGATTCTATTACAAGAACTTTTTCTTTTTTATACACGCAACGAAATAACTTGAATATTGCAGTTTCTAAAAATATATGCAATTTGTATTTCGGTGTGTCGAATATAATAGACAAGATTTTTTCCAAAAGTGAAAATATACTTGTTAGAATATCCGGTGTTATATTAACGTATCGCGGCGGAGTTATTATTTGTACTTTGACGGCGAACGAGTCTGTTTGATCGATGCCTATATTTATAAACTGTGTTTAATAGTGTAGATATTGCAGTCAATAAGGTCCGCTGGCGGAGCTGGTGCAACGTATTTGTATAACTGATTCTTGCTTGTAGTTACGTTTGTTTCATTTAAAGAAGCCATACTTGTAAAATAGTTGAACACTATAGGTAAAAATGTAGTCAGAGAATGATCACCGTTAGACGACTGGCTGCTACGACTGTGAGACGAATACTGATTTAGGTGATCGTGCTGGCGATCTATCTATTGAAAATGTACGCATTTATGACAGAGGGAGGTAGGGAGGGAGAGGGACAACACATTCCTGTAGAAACCTGCGGAAACCTGTCGCGCGCGCGCCCGCGCTCAAAGACAGTTATAATATAAATGTTATGTTATGCACACTAACGTGATCACAAAATAAGATTATGTTAGGAAAAGATATTATTTGGAGAAATAATAACAACTTATACACTAAGTAAATGTATATTAAATACGGTGATAAGAGTCGGAGTGGAAAAAGTATATGGCTTACAGCTGTTGTACTCCGAGTTCGATTCTTGCCCAGAATATTATAATTTGTTTATATACTATGTAGGTATGCGATAACAATAAGTATATGGTAACGGTAGGTATGTATATGTTTATGTATGTACATGATAACAGTATGTATGTGGTTAGGTAGATGCGTGCGAGTGTGTGTAGTGTCGCTCAGTGATAAGGAAGACAAANAAAAAAAAAAAAGTGGGGAGGGGGGAATATAGGTAGGTGAAGAGATGGTCAATTCGAGCGGCTATGTATTAGGCATAGCACTTGGCACTTGGCACTTGATCCTGGCACCGACACTTGGCACTTGGCACTTGGTACTTGCACTTGCTCCTGAGTTAGAACCGCCCTTTTCATACTACTAATAGTGTTTGCCCCACTACCGAAAATACTCAAAATTATATAAATTATAGAAGACTAAGTAGATATGACATAATAATGTACGGTTTGATGATTTTTTTTTTCTAATTATTACCACCCACCTATCTATTCCACAAGATGGCATATTAAAAGTTATATGATTTTGTTTTAAAAATATATTGCTCCTATAGGTATTAAAGATCAGCCCGGTAATTTTGAAAATTTTTCCCCGACTTCAAAGTTTTAAATCTTGGCAACACTGCAGCTTTCATCTCGAATGCAATACATTTTACACATTTGTCCTGGTCCGTGTTTATTATTAATAATTCATGGTCAGGGTTGATTTTTTTTTATATTTGATCCGTGCTTTTAAAAACTTTATGTGCTTGGTTTAAACAAATTGAATTAGGTTGAAAAATATATTTTACAAATTGGTCCGGTTGAACAAATTGTTTTAATTATCTAGTCTGGTCCGATCCCAATTTGATAGCACCGGACTGGCCTCTAGCAGTGGCGTATTTATGGGAGGAATGTCCTGAAAGTTAAACCCCTCCCCCTAATATTTTTCTAATTATATTCATTACTAAAATATAGCAAAATATTGTTGACGAATGACGAAATGTTTTAAAACTATTTTGAAAATTTCTATCATGGATTAATAATATAATTGTAGATTATCAAACGATAATAATATTAGGTTTATGTGTATTACGAATACATTGTGAATATACAAATATACAAAATTAATTAAACTGATAAGAGAAGTTACTCAGTAAATTTAAGTTTTAAATTAGATTTAATTTATTCAGTCAAATCGTTTACACTTTATTCCTGCCATAATTTTCTTATAATCAAAAATTTAAGGAGCAATCCTAAAATTTGTTTACAAGAAAATTACCACTTATAAGACTTTAAAGTGTATTATAACCAGTAATGAATTCGTGATGAAACTATGTTAATATTTGTGGAGAAAAAGTATTGCCAGCAATCAGGGCATCCCCCCCCCAAAAAAAAAACAAAAAGCCAAAATACACCACTGACTTCTAGAACCTACATAATTATAGTAATTACACTAATTATTGTAGTTATCAATATGTAAGTAGTTTCATAAAATTAATTAAATAAAATTAAAACATAAAATTAATTAAAATCGAAAAACGTCCACCCCAAGAAAATTTCCTTTTGACAAAAGGGCAACATTGTATACATCGGATTATCAAAGTAAGCTTTCCGGTAGAAAAAGTTAACATAAAAAAAAATGAACATCTTTTAAGTTATTCGCTACTATCAAAATCTAGAATGTTAAATAACATACTAAATGTTAACAATAACAAAAAAATGTGTAACATGTACATGTGCATTGTACATGTCTTACACAAAAACTGATACAAATAAATATTATTAAATTTAGATATGTACCTCAGGATTAACCTTCCATTGTTATTTTCAAATAATAAAAATTTAAATTTAACTTTAGTATTTGGTGTCGTACAATTATTAACATTAAGAGAGCGCTACACATGCATTTTTTGTCAAACTCACGATATATCTATTAAAAATCTTTTAATTAAAAAATTATTTTTTTCAAAAAACAACGTCTTGACCTCTGGAATATTGTTCTCGGTTGATTTCATATATGCTTTTACTCTAAAACCAAAACTAAGAGTTCTGTGAGGTCGGCGTTAGCATGTTTTTACTAGATATATTTGGTGTTTGTTAGACGGAAACAACTAATGCATGACGTGTAACATCATTGGCGGATATTTGGTTTCATCTGTGGGGGCTTAACATTTTTGTCTTATTCATTAGTGGAAACAAATATTTTTAGTCGCTTCCGACGCTTCCACCTACTAACTGTATTGGCTACTCCTGCTTGATTCTAGCTGAGGCACCAAATATATAGATAGATAATAGGAACATAAAAAAATAAAATATTGAATAGCTACTAAATTATTTTTATTTTAATTGTATATATCTATTTTTTTGTGCAAATAATATATTAACAATTGTTCCAGTATTAATAGATTTAGAAATTTCTTTTTCAATATATAATATTGAGGTGTTGTTGAACCTTTCCTGCAGCATAGAAGTTCGAAGCCAAGTTTTTATTCTTCGCATGGCCGAAAAACTCCTTTCACAAGTGGAGGAACTTACAGGAATTGTTAAAGCAACATGAAATAGTTTATATAAATTTGGGAAAGTCTGTTTTGTTATAACCTTTTTCACATCACATAAAGTTATATAAATTTGGGAAAGTCTGTTTTGTTATAACCTTTTTCACATCACATAAAGTTATATAATTTTCATCAGTAGACTGCAATATACAATTCTTTGCTACTTCTATTTCTGACTGTAATCATCTTTAGATACATTCATAAAATCCTGAAAAATATACAAAATACAGGTTCACTTTTAAAAAAAACTATAAAACTAGAGTATAGGTAAATAAAAATTAATTTTCAGAAACCGATACGATACTTACTTTATAATAATCTACAAAGAAAAGACTTTCCTCAAAGTTTAATTGAAGAAATTGATCAACAGCTGTAGCTATTTGGAGGCATTTTTTCTAAAATAATCTTCAATGGTTTCAATGGTGTCATTAATATTTTGTTCAGCACTTGTGGTTGCAGTAGTATCAAAATGTTTAAGATTGTGTGGCTCTTGTCTTTTTCTTTTGCATTCTAGTTAAGTAAATATTACCTTAAAATTATTATAATTATAAATAAATATAATATGCTTATTAAATCTTACCTTTAAATGGCGTTTGTATTGATATTTTATTGTCTTTAGCAAAGATTTCTACTTGACACCAAAGCTTAGAAAAATACTCTGTTGTTCTAGAATTTTTAAGTCATCATCACACCTTCAATAATATTTTTATATTCCCCTAAGGTTGCATTTTTTCTTGAAATTTGTTAGAAACAATATTAATATTAATTAATACTTCATGTAAGATAAATAAATAAACTATAAATCGTCCACTTTTTAAATTTGTTAATATACCTAAAACGAAGACATTGGAATTTAAATACTTTGAATCATTCATTGTTATTTATTATATTATACCAAATGCTTCATTTACTTCTCTGCCATCTTCATTTTCAATTTCTTCTTCTAAAGCTTGAATAATTGCTTTATAACTGTTTTTAACAGACTCTATATTCAAGCCATTCATATGTTTTGTAATGCTTGATTGAAAGCGCAATTTTGTGTACCAAATTTAGTTAGTGGATATGACTGCAATATATTTAATTTAAATATAATATAATAACTTAAACTATGTTTAGTGTTTACCTACAAATGTACTTACTATTAAAATTGGTCGTACAGGGCCTGTTATTAAAGTTCCCAAGTCGGAAATGAAATTTTTATCTACAATATTTTCATCACTTTTTTGTGTAGTTATATAAATGTCTAAAACAATATTTAAATCTTCATTTTCAGATTCTAGTGTAGTTGTTGACGAGGAATTAGTAACAATTTTTTTTTTTTTTAATATTAAAGACATCAAACATTAATTTAGCCATCGTTGAATTAATTACAATTTATAATTTAAAATTAATTGAATAATTCAGTTAAATACACAATTCACACAAATAATATAAAATTATATTGTTTATTTGTTTAGCACGTCACTTACGGAAAACCACGCGTAGGTATTAAAAACAAAAAAAATAAAAATAAAGGCGATCACCGTACATGCTAAAAAATCGTAATCGACCCTAATGCAGTGGCGGTCTGCAGCTTGCGTATTTATAACTTTACAGGTATCGCAAATAAGTTCTAGAATATTCGCGATTTTCAATATATACCTACAAAATATGATTTTTCCAACAACGATAATCCGTGAATATTCCAGACCATTCTCGTATCTCAACAAAATAAAATAAAAATTATAAATATCAAATATTGAAACACATAATTTATTATTTTAACGTTTACATTCTGGGAACCAAAGTCCCTCCCGATAACCGTCCTAGTGTAACGTCCTCTTAACGAAATTTAAATTTATTATAAATGTTAACTTGTTATCATATATCTAATCGTGTAATGGTAAATACCACAGACATAAAATATATTATTTGTCTATGGTAAATACGCTGCTTAGAGTAATATAATATTGCTCTATGATATACCGTGACATGTTTTAAAATTTCACGTGCTGCAGTGGTTTTATTATCAGTAATGACTGATATTGCAAACAAGGTCATACAGTAATGTTTATTTATTATTTATCATGTGATCACACTGTTTTTGTTGATAAGATTCGTTGACTTGCAAATATGAAATCAAAATGAATTAATCTCAAAGACTATAAGTAATAATTCTGATCCGTGGTTAGCTGCTACGTTTCCACATTTACAATTTTCATCTATCGTATTTGTGTTTTAAAAATTTCATTCCGGATTCATTTTATACCTATTACCTATTTAGTTTTATCTGCGTAAAATATCAACTGCAAAAATGGTCGTTAAAGAAATTATGCACGATCCTCAGTTTCAAGAAGAGCTGAACACAAACGGCATGAGACTAGTGGTTGTAGATTTTTCGGCCACCTGGTGTGGTCCTTGCAGACGAATCGCACCGCTTTATGATGAATTATCGAACAAATATGAACGTGCAGTGTTCCTTAAAGTAGATGTAGACAAGTGCCAGGAGACAGCCTCAAGCCAAGGCGTGTCGGCTATGCCAACTTTTATATTCTATCGTAATAAAGTTAAAGTTGCAAAGATTCAGGGTGCTGATATTGCAGCTGTTGAAAATAAACTCAAACAATTATATGAAGCAGCGTGTGAAGTTTCCGGTGAAGAATGTGGCGTACCTGGACAAATGGACCTTAGCTCTTTCATAATGAAAAACCAATGTGAAGCTCTCAATGATTCTGATGATCATCCGTTATCTGCGCTCTTAGAGAGCCGTAGCTTTATGGAATCAGATTGTGATCAACAACTTATTGTATCATTAACTTTTACGCAATCGGTCAAAGTACATTCTATTAAAGTAAGTCATGCATTAAAATTTGTGAACAAATAAAATATGCTATTTAAAAAATAGTTTTTCTTTTCAAGATCTATACATTTTTTACTACAAATTATATAATTTATCTAAATAAACGGGTCTAGAAATTTAAAATATTCAACAAGAACATATTGGGTAGTTGTATAACTGTTTGACTTTAAATTCATTGTTATAATAATTAATATAGAGTAGAATTTAATTAATATGAATTTGTTTGAATCACATGCAAAAAGCATAGCTGCAATAATAATTATTTGCATTTTTTTTTTTTTATTGTTTAGATTAAAGCTCCAAAAGATAATGGTCCTAAATTGTTGAAATTGTTTATCAATCAACCAAATACTTTAGATTTTGATTCTGCAACTTGTAATGTTGCTACACAAGAACTTGAATTAAAACCTGAAGAGTTGGATGGTAAAGTTGTCAACTTGATGTATGTTAAATTCCAGAATGTTCATAATCTGCAGATATTTATTATTAATAATCAAACTGACGAAGAAATAACAAAAATAGATGCTTTAAGTATTATTGGAATGCCTATATCTACAACTAATATGGGCGATTTCAAACGCGTTGCTGGTAAAGTTGGAGAAGCTCATTAGAAAATTACATTATAATGCATAATATTCAAAATTGATATGCTGTCTTTACTAAATTAACAATATTTTCAAAATTATTATATAATCTTAAAAATAATATTTTGTCTTAATTATAGATTTTTTCAAATAAAAACACAAGATTGTGTAAAAAATATTTATTTAAGAACGTTTTACTGAATAAAAAATACTATCTAGGTTAAAGTCCTTGTTTACTTTCGGATTTTTTAAACTTAATATTTCATCATGTTCTAACCAAAAACTATCACCAATAATATCCACATGTAAGGGACATATGATATTTTTTTTTGACTTTGATGGAGGTATATAAACAGTTTTTCTTACAAGCACTGTACCTTTTCTATATATTGGTAACTCATTATTATAATTAGTTCCACACTCTTTAAATAGTATTTCATTTTTTTCTGATGATATTGTCCCACTTAAAATTTTTTCAGCCTACAACATATAATCCAAAATCAATATTTCATTCAACATTATACATAAATCATGTGTTTTTAAAATGAGTACCTCATTATTTGATAATCCTTTCTTTAAAATAAGTCCCCAAAAGGCAGTGTTGTACAAATTGTTGATATGTGTGTCAGCTTGACGCCAACATAAGTAATCTCTCAAATTTTGATCTGTCGGATAAAGAACAATTCGAGCATCAAATGACGGTGGATATAAAAGTTTTTTATCTTCAAAATATGTACTCCAATAATATACATAAGAAGCAGAAAATATGCTGTTAATTGCAGACATGATTTTTGACTGCCGTCGATTATACACGTCTGTATCCTTTCGTAATATAAAACTATATTCATCACTCTGCCCATAAGCTAATGATACATCCTGCAATTCTTCCATCACAGTTGCAGCAGATCTATTCATTAATTCTAAAGCTCTTTTATCATTTGGTTTTTCAAATTTGTGTGAATCTGTAAACCTATTTACAATGATAATATGTTCATAAAATTATTTTTTATACAATTAATATCCAAAATAAATTATAATGTTGAACACTTAGATCATACAGAAGCATATTTTATCTTTGCCGTGTTATCATAAGCCAAATACACTATATGTAAACATTTCTTTACATTATTATTTATTTTTTATCTCTATAGTGTGAAATTTAATTTTCATTATCGATTGGAGAACTACCAATTATGTTTGCATATACAATGGTAATATGTAATCTGGCTTTTAGTGGTATTTTATAACAGCAAAGATTTCAATCTTACATAGCTTAATAATAATTCATAGTATAATATGATTAGGTTTAACAATGCAATTCATATTTTAACATTGTTAAAGAAGATATAGACAAATATAAAGTTTAGTTTAGCAGATAACTGCTAATGTAAAGGTGTATTCAAACTGAATTTTCAGTTCACACCAAACCCCATTTTAAAGATCTTCTTTACATAACAGTGAAAACAAATAAATTACATTACTATTATCAAAAACCATCATTAATGATTAGGTAATTGTCAATAAGATATAAGATTTAGGTTGTTACATAAAAGCATGATAGATAGTACAAATTGGAAAGTTTAGAGATAAACAGTATGTTGGGATAACATGAAATTGGAAATTTTAATAGATAACATATTAACTTAACATTGCAAATAGTTGATTTCTACATATAAATTAGAAGTAATTATTTTCTATACAGTTTAAGGTTAGATAAGTTTAAATTTATACTTATGATAATCTAATAGACAAGCTATTAAAGTTTTTTAAAGCAAGATTAAAAGCTATTAGCTTATATATAAGTAAATAAAAATAAAAGAATGATCATGTTTTAACAATTAAAAAGAATATCCTCAAATACTATACTGGGTATTTTTTGTAAGGATAAACAGTGGTATGGTGACAAAATCTCAGACCCTGAAGCAATTATGAATAAAACCAATAAACATTAAATCACATAAAATCACATTAAGTACTATCAGGAAAACACCAGTTTACCACTGAGAACGATAAACAATAAAAACAATATTATGATTAATATACAACAACAAATAATATAAACAGACCTATGGAATGAACGACCATCCAACCGCACAACTATCCAACAATTCTGTAAACATTTGTCTTCAAATTCAAATGTTCGTACATATTCATATTTACTCTTTGCCATTGGCTTATATGATTTTTGTTTTTTGATATCGATACACAGTATTCTAGTCCTATAAATAATTAAATAATACATAAATATTAAATTTTAAACTAATTAAAATAGTTACCTTGATAATATACATGAAAATAACTTTTTTAAATTAATAGGTGGTACCTAGATTGAAAAAGTAAAATTTGTTCTGTAATTAATTTTATAAATAATATGACACAGTATATTACCATATATTAGTAAATAGGTAATTTAAATCACTAAGTGCATGTAATGAAATTAATAAACTAAATATAAATAAATCTAACAAGAAAGTAGTAATATTTTATTATTATAATGACAAGGTTTTTAATTTTTTAATTCTTACAAAATACAACAATAGAATGTTTAAACAAATATAGGTATACATGAAAATAATATAAATAAATAGATTACCTGTCAAAAAGACTTTTACATTTTTTTGCAAAGAGTGACATGCAAATTAATTAACTGTGTTATAATATGTTAAAGTTAAATTAAAAACAAAAAGCGTGGTAAAATAAAAACTACAAATTACTAATAATATTTCGGTAAGTTGTGATAAAAAAGAAAAACTTGTAGAGTTATAGATAATAGTAAGACCACAGATAATACATACAGGATAGAACATTCCTAACCGTTATAACCGTGATCTAGACGGAACATTTATCTTGAAGACGCGTTCTGATGGGTGGAATTTCATTTCGAGGACAGAAACACGTGAGATAATAAACTGAGTGTTTTAATTGGCTGTCCTCGGAGTGCAAAATCCAAATTTACTCTCTCACACTAGGCTTTATATCAGCTTTTCTCTCTTGATCCGTCGGACCGATCACGCCTTCCAGTCCTTAGAATGAATATCCCATCTAGAATAAAAGAGCACCAAAGTAACCATAATGATAACACTGGGAATCTATTTGGTTACTTTTGTTATCTTCCATTTTTTTAATGATAATATCACAGTGTCATGATGAGCAAAAAAAGCCCATGACCCATAAAGTAATTACCTCTTAAATTTAATCTCTTTTCTATAATAATTACTCTATGTCATTACCACGATTTAAGATAATATAAGGTTTAACTTACACCGTGCATAACATTATCAAAATTAAAAAAAAACTGAATAATTTAAAATACGTCATTTTAGAAATGAATATGTAATATTATGTAACTCCATAGATTATTGTTATAGGCATACCATACCCTTTAGGTATTATCTAAGACTACGAGTAAGACCCATAAAGTCATAGATATTATAAGAATGTCTTATATTATCCATAAAACTATAGTACATTTTCGCAGACATCGTCGATAGCAATTGATGCGAGTCCTGAGTGAGCGGAAATAATATGCATAAGTACCTACCTAGTACCAATTGGAAGTTTTTATATTAATTTATATAAAAATAAATACAAATTGCTATATAAGTTGTAACTATGCTAACGCAGACTTTTAATTACCTACAAATCCAAATGCGTGTGACACACTGACGCCATATTATGATAATTTCAAGCATTTACGAATATTTTAATTTTTAACCTGAATTACAACGAAAAACAAAATTGAAAATAATGAAAGTATTATTTTCATAAAATGTTTCATATTTCTACGCCTTATTTCGGTTATGCTCAATTATTAATAGAACTACAAGTCTTCCTTCAAGCCATTCACTGCCTATTTTATATTCATCAAATTTACTTATTGTATGTATTATACAGATTGTAAATTCTCAATAAACGTCATTTTAAAAAAAAAAAACTAACTAAGTACAAAGAAAATCAAAAATTGAAAAACTTACTTAAAACTGCAACAAAATAGGTCTGTTGTTTACCTATATTGGAGCAATATTTATGGTAGAAAACATATGCCGTAAAAATGTAAAATAATAAAATCATTGTGACGTAATTTGAAATTTTTTTTACACTTCATCTTTTTTGGTTTTTCCGAATTATAATGAAAAACTTCAAGGAAAATCAGACTAACCTGAATTCAAAAACAACATCAAATTTCAGAAAAGACACTACGCTTGAAAATCAGAACGAGATTTCTGATAAAAAGTTGTTCACACCAAAAATAAAATAAAAATATAATACTTATAGTAAAACCAATACCCATTTCCTTGCTCTTTTCAGATAAGAATCTAAAAAAGTTGAGAAGGTACACATAATAATTTAATTTATATCTGTTCCATCATCCACCCACATTAATCATGTAATTTTAGCGGTCCACTTGATATATTATATAAGATAGCATAATAAATAGCATCACTGAATATCGTTTTAAAAGAAGATATTATCAATATTTTTATCAAACTCAAGCATCAAGCACATTTTCCAGCCACAATTTTTTTTATTTAAGTTTTTTGTTGGTTTTGACATTTCTGTAGCCATTTTTGATTACTGTTATTGATCACTGCCAATTTGGTGCCGGATTTGCCTATACAAGCAAAATAAGCAGTGCTCACAGCCCTAAAAGTATTTGGATGATTTATAAAAAAAAAAATTATATATATATATATATATATATATATATATATATACAGGTATTAGGGGGTTCAGTGGCGCCAAAGTATTTTAAAAATACTTGGGCAATCAAGGTAATACTGTATTATACTGGTCTTTTTTGAGTGTAATATATTATATAACTCAGAACTATTTTTATAGTTATATTTCTTACAAATACTATTTATACTATGTATACTTTTCACCCCCAACTCGTTTCCCCTGGTTCGGTGCCAATGGGGGTGTTTCTTATTTTTGGATCAAATTTCTAAATGAAAAAACTGGTTAAAAATAATATAGGATGACCCACGGAAGTTGAATTTACCAATATTAAATACATGTGTTTTTAAAACTTAATACTTTAATTAATCTTTATGTTCAGTTTATTGGAAAAAAATCTTAAACTGATAAGAATTGTTTGATTTTTCCTAATTATTATAAAAAATATTTAAGATATCAAAAACCGACTTTAGAAAATACATAGAGTAATTTGATTTATATTTTTACTGAAGAAAACATTGACTTTTAAATTGAGTTTATAAAATAATCAACCGATCATGATTGGTTTTTTTTACATTGATGAAAACAGCTCTGAGTGAAGTTCAGTTAAACTTGAACTTATTAACAATAATTCGTTGTTAGGTACAGATATAAATAAAATTACCTCCGTATGTGCGAAATATGTATGTCTTCTTTTATTATATAATATTGCTGTGTTTAAAATTAAATATCACAGATTTTTCCCCTGAAATTATACAAAATATTTCATATGGAAGTATAATATATATAATTTTGAAATTATATATTTGTAAAGCTATTTTTAGAAGGAATTTGTTACATCAATTTTGTTGTTTAAATGATTCCTTTGTAAATATAACACTATAAGTTGTGTAAAATAGATTGGTATTAGTTTTCTTTTAAATTTATACAATTTCAAGTCATAATATTTTATATTTTAGTTTTCGTTATAAAATAAATTTTGTTTTTATTACTTATAATACACTGTAAAGTTTGATCTTAACAAAATACATTATTTGATACTAATATTAATATATTATATACAATAGGTATAAATATGTATTATAAAATATGAATTTTCGCTCAACATCTGAAAATCATATTTTTATAACACTATTATAATTTTTAATACAAAGGGAAAATTACAAAAATTAGTTCTTAAATAAAACATTACTGCCCCCCCTCCAAAAAAAAAAAATTGTGTATAAAATATAATTTTTTTATTCTCAAATACTTTAATAATTCAGTACGTTTTTAACAATATTGTTTATGGTATTCAACAATATTTTTAATTATTTGTGCAATAATTCTAATAAATTAAATGATTGATAAAAATTTGATTTGCAATACAAGACGAAAAAAAAATTTAGTCAGTCATTTAATTTATATTACATTCATGTAACCATTTTACTCCCTCTAATTTAAAAATCATAAGTGCAAGGAAATAAGTAAAATAAACTAAGATGATTTATTTGATTGGCATTGTTCGTTAGGTAATGAACATAAAAATAAATTTAAAATGTATAGATAGGTACCTAAATTATTAGTTTTCCCAGTAGGTATATAAGTTGATTTTGTTCATTTTAAACAATAAAAAAACATATGCACAAGGTTTTGTACATACATTTTTATTGCTTGGTTGTGATGGAAATCCTGCAATTTTGATTTCAATTTGTCATAATTCTTCAAAGAATGCTACACGAGCCTTAGTTGATCCACATTTTACCTGTTTGTAGATTTAAAATATATTAACATATAGTTATAGTAGCTATACAAATATTAGAACAAAATTATCCTGTATATTTCGATTCAATTAGCCTTATTAAAATGTTGATATTATTGTTTCAGAACTTCTCAAAAATAGGATCAAATCATTGCCGTGTTTAGATTTAAATTAAAGTTTTGCTACATTTTAAAATTATTTTCTAGTACAATATTTTGATTTTTTTCTTAAATATTGTAAAAAACATGAAAATATATTCATATTTTTTAATTTTGCTATTTGTGTTCAAACTCTTATCTCCATTTACACTACAATTTATGTTCTAAGAAACTTAATTTTGTTATGTTGCATGTTAACAAGTCTGAGATGGTGACTGAAGGTATAGTTTTTTTTTTTTAAGATTCTCAATTTTCAACAAATAGGTTTTTTTTTTTATACAATTTTTTATCAACATTAATCAAAACTAATATTATATCAAATTTAATAAATTAGAAATTATAAATACATTATTTAATAAATTTGGTTTAGTTAAATATAAAATTAATTTTGAATTAAATATTCAAAAAATTAAGATAGAAGTTATAATTCAATACTAAACAATTAAAAATACGCTTAAGAAACTTTACATTTTAAAATACTTACTTTTTTTAATGTAGAATATTTGTTTTCACCAAGTCGTACTTGTTCATCATGTAACATATCCAGTTCACATTGCTTTTCATCTACTTTAAGCACTTCTATTTCAGTTTTTAAGTCTCTTAATTGATCCTGAAGGTGTTTGCTTTTCTCTAAATACTGAACTCTGTATACATTTAATCATATTGAAATAAAATTATTTTAGTATTTTAGTATTACCATTGATTAAATATATTCAAATATTATAATATAAATATTAAAATATTTAATCAATGGTATTACCGTTAATAAATTATAATTATAATGGGAATGGGAGTTTTGAATTTGGTGAACCCGATTCAACATCTCTGTCTTGGTAAATCATTTTATATGATAAATTCAAAAATACATGCAGCTCATTTTAGTAAAAATATCTGGTTCATATTGTATAGGTTTAAAAATGAGTTTTATATCAAATAAATAACATTTTATCAAGATACATTTGTTTGTACTTATCCTTATTTTATACAAATATAATTATGGAAGAATTCTTGTTTAGAAACCTATTGATTTTTATTTTATTTTTTCAAATTATTTTTTTATATTTACAATTTGAATCTAAATTTTCCTCCAGCAAACTTGCTGTTACAATATTTTATTTAGTTTTTATATAAACTAAAATAGTTATGGTTGACAGAGTTATTTATGGACATAAATAATATTATATTAAATATTTCATTGAATTAAATTAATATTTATTTATAATTTGTGTTCATTAGACACCCATTATATCATTTGCCCCTCCCCCTGTTTTATTTCACGGTTTTCTGCCCATACTTTCTTTCAAGAATAAAATAACAATCTAGTAATAATACAGAATTGAATGAAAAAGTTTCATTGAAATTGATAAAGTAGTTCTCAAGAGTTTTGCAAACGTATAGATGGTGATCAAGAGAGTTGAAGGAAGTTGAAACCTAATACCACATCCTCAACAACAATGCTATTCATATACACAAATTTTAACCCCATTACTTATTTTCATGAGTCTGCGAGGATATTTAAAACCCGGTATTTTTTGTGAAAACATGAAATTTCAGAATACACATGACTGGCAAATCCTTAACACTTACATCTCCCTGGCTTTCATTTGGGAGGTTTGTAGGGTGTACAAAGCTAAGTTTACATCTTCATCTCGCAAAAACATGGTGAAATTCAATCAAAATTTTATCACTTCCAACCTATAATAAAATCTCCCAAATTTGGTCTAAAGGGAACCACTAGAAGTGTCCAAAAGTAACAGCGAAAAAAATGCATATACATACATATAAAACAAGACAATATGGTGCAATAGTCTCTATTATCAGGGTAAAATTTGATCAAATAGTTGGACGAACTTTATTTGGAAGTATTAAGGCAAAACTTTTAAAATCATAACTGAGTTTTTATTAATGTGACTCTAATTAAGTTATTCCTGTGATATGATATAAACTTTCATGCATTATTTATATAGATTGTATATTCTCGTTTACAATAAAAAAAAAAAAACATTATATTTCAAAAATGCACAATACAGAAAAACCAAATTTGTTAGGTTTTTTCCATGTTATTTTCAAACAAAATTCGTTCAACTTTTTTTTTTAGATTCATATTGTACACACAAAATCACATATTTTGAAAAAAAAAAATCAATTGGTTGCTAAACTAGAATTATGGCATAGTTAATGAATTAATTATTAATGTAATAAGTTAAAGTTAATATATTTTTTTTGTGCTTTTACAATACATTTTTTGAATAATATACATTAATTATCAATTATTTTGTATTAAAATGATCAACAAAAATAATTTTCACCATGCTATGTATTTTTTCATTTATTACTTAAAACGACTATCACCAAAACAGTAATATCAAATAGACATCACCAAATTGGCATCATCAAAAATTCCTTGACCAATAACCTTTCTTTTTCAATTTCTAATGATAATTGTTCCATATCATCCCCAGCAATCATATCATATGCGGGTAAATGGCAATCTGCTAATACTGGTGGATTAGGATGAGTAACAGATATCGATGGTGAATTAGTATTTAATCGCATTGTATGAAGATCAGCAGGGACATCTATTGCTGAATTACTAGACACTGAATATATACTTGAAACATTCTAAAATAAAAATAAAAATATAAATATGCTTCACAATTTATTAATAAATACCTATAATATTATTGTTATAATAGGTTATACATACATTATTAACATATGCATTACTAGAAAGGAACTCCAATAATTTTTCTTTTGCTTGTTTTTCAGCAACACGTGCTCTAAGTAACTCTTCTTTAAGTTTGTTTGCTTCAGCCGCTCGTCTCTCAGATTCATCTACTAGTCGTGCTGTTAATTGTTCAGCTTCTCGCGTTTTTCGTTCAAGACTTACTTTTTCTTCTTCAGTCTATAAAAAAAAAACATGGAATATAAATAATATTTGATCATAAAAACAAATTTTATAATTATACTTTAAGAGCAGTCAAACGAAATTGTGTAATTTTATGTTCAGCTTCAGAAGCTTTTTGACCCAATAACATAGCTTCTTCTTCTGCAACACGGGACTTTTCTGCTAAAAGATCTGCAGTCTCCTCAGACCTTCTCTAAAAAAAAAAAAAAAAACCATTGGATATTATTATATTTTTTATTAACAGCTATACTTACTAATGCCTCATTTGCCAAACGGATTTCTTCTTGATATTGCAATAATCGTTGTTCCATAATTGCTTTTTCTTTTTCAGCAATTTCTCGTAATTGTTTTTCACGAGCCAACTTATTACGTTCAATTTGTCGTCTAATTAATAAAATAACAGGTTAATTTTTATTTAAGTGTCTCAAAAAAAAAAAATTGGTAATAAAACCTTGATTTTTCCTCTTTCGCCTGTGTTTTCATTTGTTGTACTTCCATTGAATCTGGTTTGCGTCTTCTCATAAAGAGATCGTGATTTCCTATACATAGATCTAAAATCTGAAAAAAGTATTATTATTAAAAAAAATTACTGAAAGAAATAAAAGCATTAATTTAATGTTTACCAATTTATTCATTCGAACTTTGTGTGAAAAGAAAACAAAATTTGGTGATGTCTTATCCACAGGTTTAATAGTAAATTTTTTATCATCAAAACTAACATGTCTGATTTCAGACCATTGGAATGTTGTTTTTGGAGTTAATTTATTTTCTTTTTCATAAATATTAAGACCTAAAGATGTAACTCCTAACCACAAGTCTGTATCTTTTTTGTTCTTTTATGTTATAAAAAAATAAAAATAATTAATTGAAATTAGTTAAAATTATAGCATTGTAAATAATTTAAACTCACACTAATGGGAAAATAATTAACACCATACATATCTAAATCTTGAGCGATTTTCAGATATTCAATTTCTGATTCATCTCTAGACATTCCTCGATGATCAGCATACCAAACTTTTATTCGCTCTTCCCACATTTCTGCTGTCATTTGATATTGATCAATTACTCTCTGGGGTAATAACTCCTCACTGGCAAGCATTCCTGGTTTATAAGTTCCTTCATCATAATCTCCATACTAAAAAAATGTATTTATTGAAAGTCAATCAAATTTAAAATGCCTTATAATATTTATTATGTTTTATCTTACTTTTGCTTGAACAGCATATGATGCTAACAAAACTGAAGCTTCTGGCGGGCAATAAATATCCATTGCTAAAATGGCACGGTTAACTTGTAAAAAAAATAAATGTTGAGTAACTTCTTGAACTAATTCTTCAGCTACTTCTTCTGGATAAAATTTTGCAAGGAACATAAATGGCATAGTTGTTTGTTGAGGAATTCCTTGATCTTGTACTACAAAACCAAACATTATTAATTATTTTAAGTTTTATATCAAACACTTTGAAATTTACCTTTTTTATCTAATTTTAGCCATGCAATAAATCCTTTAGAATCTTCATATTGCAAACCAAAGTACCAGGTTTCTCGTAATCCAATAGTACGGCATACCAAATCAAAAAGATCTCGACCAGTAGCCTTCAACTAAATAAATATTTATAAATATTAGAACTAATATTCTGCAGTTTATATAGCATTTCAGCAATATAGGTTTTTGGTATAGGTACCTCTAAGTTGAATTCTAACTCTGCATCTAATGTACATACTTTGACAGGAAAAGATTTTCCTGTTGATTTCTTACGTTTAAATGGCGGCATTTTTTCTTTCATCCTAAGAAAACTCTAGTAATACACATTAGCAGTGATAAATATTAAATTTTAATAATAATGAAAAAAAACACACAGTCTAAACCATATTTGAAAAAAAAAACAAATTATAAAAAGAAATATTAAATATTTTATGAGCGGATTCCTTTAAAGAAGAATGGTGTTTTGTTTAAGTTATCATTTTGAAATTCTTATCAAATATTTTTATCATAATCGATAACGATAAAACTTTTAAGAAGATAATAGATATGAGCGTTTTCTTTTTCTTTATTTTTGATTTTTAAAACATTTTCATCAAAATCTTCTCAACAGTATCCAATCTAAAAATCTCGGGAATTTAAAATTTAATCAATTTATAATAATATGGTATAAAATTAAACTATAATAATTGACTAACTATGTCTTACAACAAAAGATTCTCAATTGATGATGCTTTTGAGGATGAACCAATAGACGATGTAAAAGTTTTGGAGTCTAATTTAGGTAACTCACCTTTACAATCACCTGGCCAAACTAAACCAACTAACTATGGTGGTATTGAACATGAATCAGTAACAAGAACAAAAAAATTTGAAGATGTGAGTATGCAATCAATATTTATATCATAAAACCATATTTTATAATATATGTTACAATATGTAATTCCTATTCAGACATTATCTAGAGACAGTGATTCATTGATCTATAACTCGACAACATATTCTAACAAAAAATACTGGTGTTGGCATCATCCTCAAATACAAGAAAATTGGCGAATTGTACTAGCTGCTGTGATTTTACTTATTATTGGAACTAGTAATATTATTATGTTATTTTTTTTTATAAAGAATTCATATTTCAATTCTAATCTATGATGTATGTTCACAGTATTATTGTTAGTTGCCATAATTGTGGAATTTACTCCAGATACAAATTATCATCCAATAGTATTTTTCATTGCTGGCTTCATATGCTTTATCCCTGGAGCATATCATGTTGTATACATATATTTAGCAGCTAAAGGACACCCAGGTTATAGTTTTTATAGTTTGTCTTTATTTAATTAATTATTTATAAAATTTGATGAAAATGTATTTATTATAGGCAGAAGTACTTATTTATGTAACACGTTTTGTGTTAATATTTAATAATATTATTATGTAGAAAATGTTACATATTCAATGCTATAATTAATGAATTATAGATGTTTGGCATATTTCGAGCCCTATTTTAGTTATCAAAAGTTTTTAAGACTTAATGTCTTGTTATAGAGTATAAGAAAAATTTAATTTGACTTCAGACCAACAAACTTGCCATGTCACTAGTTAGAACGTTTTAACTATAACTTTCTTATTTACAATTTTATTTTTTGTACTTTTAATATACCAGTGGATCTTATAAACTTTGTATAATTCGAATAATGGTTCATAATTGGTTTTGTACATTTATTTTTTAAATATTAATAGGTAGAAAAGTATTCAATGATTATCACATAGCATAATCATATTCATACACTATTTTTATTAGGGCATGCACTAAGTAATATTTGTAAGAGGTCGTAGGTAATAAAAATCCTTTATAATTGACAACTTGAACCAAAAAACACTGGCATTAAAAAATATCTAAATTCTTAGTCGTGAAAACGCCTAAACAGAAGAAGGAGTCTTCTTCTGGCCTTGTATTCAGTTTTGTTAATAAATTATTTATCTATATAGTTTTTAAATGTTTTTTTTTATTATTATAAAATATTACTTCATTAATTAATTTCACAGCATTTTAAACTACAAAATTAATCAAAGTCCTAATAACTTGATATCAAATTCTTATAAATATAAAAATCAAAATTGTATAATCAAAAGAACTATACTAGTTAAAGTTGTAACGACTAATTTATTTAAATTAAAACTAATTGAAATACGGTTGTGTTATTGTAAATAATTCAATATAGTTATTATATTTAAACATTTTTAGTATTTTTTCAATACTGAATATAATATTCAGTATTATTGTAGAGTAGATATTGTAATAATGGCTGAATATGGTTAAATATTAGCCATAATTTTAATAATATACTTTTTCATAAGAACTAATAGAATATATTATATTATCAGTTATTACACCTCAATATTATCGGGTACAAATACAATTATTTTAATATCTTTGGTCTATAGTTTTGCAACCTTTTACATACTGCCAGGTATGAAATAATAATATTGTTTTATTTCAATTTGATGAGCTTGAACTAGTTTATTTTTAAAAAGAACTTTCCCCATCACTGATTTTCTTTGATTAGTTTGATTTAATTATAATAAAATTAATTTGTTCCTCAAAATAAAATAAACTTTATGTCAAACTGACTATTAGATTATTAATATTATAATATATTTTTGTTTTAAATTGTTTCTTCAGTTTTGTACTAATTTGTCATTTTATTATATACAAAATAAAAGTAATTATAGATAAAAAATTTGATATATTTATTTTGTTTGTATCTGATTTAAAAAATCATAAAGTACTATAATATACCTAGTTGTTATTCATTAAATATTAGAGGATTAAAACAAATTTGTTTTATTTTTTTGTTATTAAATTTTGTTATTAAATTTTGTTAGTGCATAAAGTAGTTGTATAAAATTAATGTTGTTTTTTTTTCATTTTTATGACTGGTAGTATTTTAGATTCTGAGCAAAGCAAGAAATGTATTAGTTTTACAATAATGTTTTATTTTTTATATATATATATATACTGTATACAAAATTTCTACCAATAATCTTACTCCGATATTCAAGTGTACCATTTTTGCTGAAAGGAAATTTTCCTGGAGTGATACTTTAAGGAAGTCATTTTTTGATTTTCGTAGCAATTTTCATAATAATTGAGAAAAACTTAAAAATTTAAGAAATTAATGCTTTTATTATTTTCAATTTTGTTTTTTTGTTATAATTCAATTAATAATATATTATAAAATGGATAATATAATATGTTAAAATTCAATTAAAAATATTGATAGTGATTTGAAATTTGGATTGGAAACATGTATTTACTTATTTTAGACATAATCAAATTTTCAAAACATTTGAGTCATTCATAGGTACTTTAATTTTGCAAATTTCCATATAATTTTTATTTGGTAGGTACTTTGTGGATAAAATTATTAGGTCAATCAGAAATGCTTGGAAATTTACTAGGTTCATTTTAAGTTGTACTTAGTGATCAAAAAGAAAAAAAATTGAGTGTAACATAGTATTTATATATATATATATATATATATATATAATAAACATAAGAATTTTAATATCAAATTTTGATAAAAATCGTAAATTGTATGGTCTTTTAAACATGTATAACCGAAATTCCACTCAGAATCAGTTTTCATTAGTAATACATAATCATTTCATACAAATATAAATTGAATTCCCCTCTATATCTTACCTTCCTAACTTTTCACCTACAACAATGGCTTACTTATCATACAAAGTCTGTCTTTTTATTAATATACATTTAAAAATCAAAAATATAATCCTTAACAATTTATTTAATAAGTATTATATTTAGATAATAAATTATCCTTCAATTAATTATCATATTTATATTCATATCATATTTAATATTCATTCAATGATTTATTTACTGTATACAAACATTTAATAAGCTAGCTACTTTTGAAAGAAAATAATTACATAAACAAATAAATTTTAATTTTTATAATTTTTATCAAATATAAAATAACTACTAATCCATTTAATATTAAATATCTAATGTTTTCAAAATCAATAGATTGCCAATTATTGATTTATAAACAATGTTTCCAATCATAATTTAATATTATTATGATGTTTGTAACATAGTGCAGCCTGACATATTCGTAAAAATTTAATATGGAAAATAATAAAATTTGAAGTATTATTAACTTGTATAGTTGTACTACTTATTTTCACAATATACCATAATATTACACTTTTGATTCGTGCAAATGTATCAAAAATATATTAAACTTGTGAAATCTAAAATTATTGTAATTAAAAATATTATAATGAATATACATTAATTAGGATTATAACTTAGTTATACTTATGTACTTATATTTATAGCAAAAAATCTAATAAATCTTGGTAAAAGATACCTAGTTAGGTAGTTAATTTATATTGTTCAGTAATTTGTTTTTTTGTTTTGTCATATCATAACATGTTTAAAATATTTATATTATGTATTATTTCTTTTCGTTTTGCTCAAAAATGATTTGAACCTCATTTATAAAATTCACTATTCTTATGTCTTGAATAAAATGTACAAAATGTTTGAATTCCTATAAAAATGGCTTATTTAATTATGTGTTATATTATTCTGATCAATTAAACCTAACCTTACAAGCTCCTATCAATCCCAATATACTTAAAACTATTATGACTAAAATTTGATTTTATTATAACCACTTGAATATGATGATTTTACATTTTTTTTTTATATTAGTAACACATAAGTTATTATGAGTGAAAATAAGGGATTTGATAATATACATTATCTATTATCATTTATAACCATATGTTTTTATTTTTTTTTTCAACGATATCAGTTATCACTGTCACAAGTTTTTTCAAAATTATTTTATTTCACCCCCAGAGTTATAATATGAATACCAGTTATGTTTATATTTCATTTAATGTTATTCTAATCATATTAAACGTTTCTTTGATCAATGTTTAAAAGAGTGGGCAATTTTGTTTTTACATCATTTAAATATTTCTGTGTTTTTCACTGTATAACAGAACATGTAGGGGTGTTTCAAGTAATATTTTAATTCAACTGTTATTTATTAGGTATTTATTATATTTTAGTTCAAATATTTTAGTGTTTGGGTGATTCAATGGAGCCATCCATACAGTCGGGTGACTTAGTATTTATTCAGCGATTCTCAAAATTGTTTAACAGTATCAATAACGGAGACCTGGTTATTGCAAAATCACCTTTGGATGATAAACTCTTCATTTTAAAGAGAGTGAAAGCTCTTGATGGACAATCGGTTAGAAGAGGCATCAATTATCAAAGGGTTTGTTTTGTTTTTTTTAATTTTAACATAAAAATGTTATACTTTGATTATTGTAGATACATTCTTCTAGCCGTTTAAATGTTTGATTAAGACCTAAGTTAAATACTTTTAAAAAGAGTATAGAAACTTAACTAATAAACATGTTATTTATTTTTGTTTATAAAAAATTTAAATATCTAGTTATTTGGAAATTGACTATTCATGATTGAACTTTGAACCCATAGTATAAAGTATAATAGACCTAATAAATATACTCTCATTTAGACTTATTTTTAGTTGAATTTTTTTTGTTATATTTGTGTGTTATCTAATCATATTTAACCATAGACATATTAACATATTAGTAATGAACAAATGGCTAATGAGTACAATCTGCCGTTCCCTCTCATACATTTTTTTAAATGTTTTCCTCGCCACCTCACACACAATAATAATATAATATTATCGAATAATGGTAATAGTTTACTAAATATTTCCTTTTCTTATAAGTAAAATGTTCTGCCGCTAGCTAAAGTTATGGATCCTAACTGTTATTCTTAAATTGTTGGTTGTTGTGGTCCCTAAGGATCCACAGTACTCGTGTTAGAAGTCCATAGTTCCATGAATACATAACAAACAAGTACAATAATGTAACCGTTGGATATAAATTTGATTTTATATTTTTATTTTATACTATTCTTCCATTTCCACAACTTTTCAATGTAAAAATCCTTCAGTTTTATTTTAATATTAGTTCTGATTATAAATTATAACACACATTCATGTAGTACATAAATATTAGGACTTATGTTTTTATACGGCTATAGTATATATTATTTAAGAACCCTAATAATTTCAATTATTCAAATTAATTTTATTGAAATAAATAATTGAATGTACTAACTTGAGGTATAAGATCAGAAAAATTTCCCTCTCTGTGTTCTCAAAAAATCAAACATTATCTCTCTTTAATCACCAACCACAGAGATTTTGCTTATTAATGTATTTTAATTTAATTCATAATAATAATTAAAATTTAAAATAGAAATATTTTATTTTATCATGCACATTTTTTTTTCAAATAATTAATATAAATATAAGTTAACATTTCTCTTTACATATAAAATAATATCCAGGTCTTTTAAAACTTCTTATTATAAGTTATCTTAAACTTCCTACTACCTAATAATTTTTAATTGCGTGATGATAATGCACACATCAAATATTACTTTAAGCAATTATTTTTGGTTGCAATTATTAGATGAATCATTGTTATTAAAATAAAGATGTAACTTTAATGTTGTATAAAAGATACAATGTCTTGTATTTAAAATATCATTTAGATAATACATTTGATTTTAGATATTTCAAAAGTAATAACAACATTAAATTTGAATATTACTATCACTAAAATTAAATTTTAATTTAATCAATAATAATTGTGAATTTTATACACCTACTAACTAGTATTTTATTTTATTTTAAGGTTCCAAGAGGTTCAGTATGGTTGGAAGGTGACAATTTTAAGGTTTCAGAAGATTCATGGACTTTCGGTCCTGTACCTAAAGGATTAATATATGGTCGAGTTGTATGTCGAATTTGGCCTTTATCAAATTTCTCTTTAAAATTTTGATAACCACTAATTATTATACAATTTGAATAAGAAAATTAAAGATTGGGATAAATTATCATTTTATTTGTAGCATACAAGAGACTGTTTAAATAATAATACACTAATTGTATAAATAAAAATATTTTAGCTATTATGTTCATTTTATCCACATAATACCATACTAGAAATCACTGCACAACATACATCATCAAAATATATTTTAAATATTTTCATTATTCTTATGAAAATTAGATGAACTAAGGTAAAATAATACTATTATACTTAAAAAGTTATACTCCTACTATCTATTATATTTATTAAAATTAAAGTTTTGTTTAATATAGCGTTAGTTTAAAAAAAAAAACGAAAATATTTGCACCATAAATGTGTTACTATTATAGATGAGAAGTTGGAAAAGTAAGGGTAATTTAATATGTATCTGTATTAATAATAAATAATCGATTATGTAAAACGATCCCCAGTGAAGTTCAGTAACTACAAAATAAATATCAAGTATCCATATTATTTAGTATCAAATTCTTGATTACTTTTATGAAGTCAAAAAATTGTATCCACATCGATTAATGATAATATACTATCTGTATAATCAAAATATCATGATTTTTATGATTTTCATCAAAATGAAAAATTTAATGCAGTTGAAAGATAAGATATTCATTACACTTAGACCAATAAGCAGGATTAAAATAAACATACTTACAATATACCAATTTCTGTTTTGAAAAATAATTTGACATTGTATGTTTATTTTTAATTGGTATATCAAACGAAAGATATTCTAATTTTTTTTTCTTGTAACACTTAGGTACGAATTCATTTTATGAATAAAAAGTAAAATTATCATGTAATATAAATGAATAAAATGACAAATACTTTCAAAATTAAAATTGAATAAGTGGTAGTGATTGAATTTTACTCCAGTTTATTGATCTAAAGCAAACATACCCCTTCTCCTGAAATGGATACCAATTACTTAGGAGATTAATGTTTTTACTGAGTCTTATTAAGACACAATGACCATTTCTAACAGTCAACACTTTAAAAAAAAAATGTTCATACTTGGGACGGGTTTGCCACTGTTGTAGATGAGAAGTTGGAAAGGTAGAAAATATAGTTATTTAATTTATATTTGTAAACCATTTTAAAAAATGATTCTAATATAATTTTTCAAAATTTAATCTAACAATGCTTATAAGAAAATTTTACTTTATCAACTTTTTTTTTGTCTACTTAGTAAAACGTCTAATAAATCTCATGTTAAATTTTCAATAATTTCTATTTATTCAATTTCTAAATACCAACCAATTAAAAATGAAAATATAAAAACAACTATAAATAGCTCAAAAAATGACTATATTTAAATTTAAATTTTACCATGACGTCTAGAAAATGATAACAGTTTTCTATGAAATTATCACTTAAAATTATTTATAACAGAATTGCGACAAAATTGAAAATAATGAAATAATTATTTCTGAATTTCGGAACACAATTTCTATTGGGAAACATAAACAAAATATTTATTATATTAAAATAACTGTGCTATAAATATTCATCAGAAATTTTAGGTTTTCCTCCAGGACTTGAAAACAATTAGAAAATCAAAAAATAACCATCTTAATGTACCAACTAAATCAAAAATACAAGTCTATTATTATTTTTCGATCGGAGAAAATTTATTCACATCTCAACAGTTTTTCACCAAAAGTACAGTACAATAATTTATGATGAATCTAGTGTTAAAATTGTTTCCAGATAGTTACTGAACAATATTTCAGTGCAGAAAGTTAATGATCGACTCAAGATATCTGGTAAAAAATTTAAAAATAAAACATAGTAAAATTGATACCAAAGCATAAAATATGGGTTTACTTAGAATCTAAAATAATTATTATAAAGTATATTAATTCATTTACATCTTGAACGGTGCATCAGTCTAACAAATAATTTAATTAATTGCCTAATTTCTAATAAGTATTTAGTGTAATGCCTAGATTTTAGGTAAATGGTAAATTGATTTCATAACATTTTCTGTTTGGTCTAAATATTTTACATAATGACATAATTATATGCCTATAACAAGCATGTAAACTTGGTTATTTATTGAGTATAATACAAAATTGAGTATTCTTTTACAAGGTCTAAATCATATTTACATTTTACTTTTGTTTAACATGTAGATTAAAAGAAAACATTTATCTCATACACTTTAAAATAAATATTATATTATAGAAAAGTTTTTTTTTTTACAAAACAATGAAAAGTATACATAAATAAAAGGTGAATACTAATTTTTAAGTCTTAAAAATAATTAAGTTTAATAACAAAACACTTAATTTTTAAAAAGTAACAAAGTTAACATTGTTTCTTCACTCAGTTAAGGAAATCAGCAATCTATTTAACTAGCCACTTATGCTATAAACTAAACCATTATGTGGTTGTAAATTTTGTTCGTCATCAATTTGGCGTTTAATAGTCACATGATAACTATGATTGTCCATACGAATGTTACAGTCATCATTTTGCATATTTTTATTGTTTGACATACTCATTCTTTTTAACGATCCTGAATGAAAACGTCCACCTTCTCCTCGTATTCGATTCATAGCATGTTTGTGGCGTGATTCATAAAGGTATTTCTAAAATAAACAATACATATTAGATTAAACACATTCATATATAAACATAAAAATATATATATATTATGTACTTGTCGTGTTTTTGGTATCTTTCCTTCTGCTTCTAGTTTTGCTCTGGCTTGTCTCCTTTTCAGTATTCTTTTATATTGTTTAGCATTTACATATAATGGTTCTTCTTCGAGAAATTCGGTTGTTGTAGGTAACCGTTGAAACTGGCTATTAGTATTAGCAGTACCATTTGGCACCATCTTTAAAAATAAAAATAATTGGATTAATTAATAGTCAATTAATATGCATTTATTTATTTTATTAAAAATATGGGCTGAATCCCAAAGTTAAAATAATATAATAAAAGAAAACTTTGGTACAATATACAATAATTCAAACAAACCAGGTCATTGTTAGGTAGGAACTAGGTAGAACAATTAATTTTAATAAATATTGTTATTATCCTACCATTACAATGTTTTGTTGACTCTGAGGAACTCCCTGTGTGACCGTAGTAGCTGCTTGAGTGACAGATGGAGAGTTAGCAGGTGGTGGGCTCGACACCTGCATTATATTTCCATTTATGCTAATCACTAAAAATATGAATTAAATTATTAGCAAATGAACTATTATCAATGAAAAATAAGTTCAGTTTAACATACAAGTAGGTTGTGACTGTTGTTGGTTAATTGCCTGAGTATTGTCAACTTGTACAGGATGATAAATAAATGTTTGTCCATCGGGTGTTTGAATCAACTGTGCGGGTGCTACTTGTGTCTGTTGCTAAAAATAAGAAAACCAGTAATATCAAAGTACATAATCATAAGTATACAAAGAGTTAAATAACATTACGATAAAATATTATTTTGTATAAGTACCTGCACAGGTAATTGAAGAAGCTGCAATTGTTGATTACCTTGCGATCCCAAATGTATGGGTTGACCGGAGTGTACAACGATTTGCTGACCATTGGGGCTTTGTATCATTTGCCCAGCTTGAACGACTTGTACTTGATTGTTGGAGGGTGGAATCGTTTGAACGACAGTCATGTGACTCCCACCGGCGCCACCGTCAGAAGAGATTTGTTGGTCCATAGGTCGATTCTAAACAATAAAAACGGTTAAATTATTAATATTATCAAATATATAATAATTTATTTTTTGGGGGGGATAGGGTTAGGGGCTGATAGCGATATCTCAAGTAGGACGCGGCGCTGACTTACACAAAGCACATCGCTGGACCGTAAGCGCTACGCCAGTTACAGTGGTTTTTTTCAATTTGTTCGAGATCTTGCACTTCGGCCATAGCGCAAAATAATAACCGCGCGGATTATACTGGCTATTCGCTTAAGTACCACACAATGGGCCCGAGGTCAAAAGGAAACAAGGCTCATCATACAAACGGCCGTACACGAGACGAGTAAAGCAATAAAGTTCCATGAGAATTTAAACGTCAACTTACATTGGATATTGGTCCGGAATATATTTCCGATGATTGGCCGAAATCCTGGTCACCAATGAGACAGCGAGCAAACGTCAGCGAACACGAATTGGCCCGCTCGGTCCGCTATTGTTGACCAGCCAATCCACAACATTGAACGAAGTACCATCACGCAGTGTGACCACTCGCTCGGAAAGAACATAATATGGTACTGTAGTTAAAGGACTGTGACTTTGGATTACTACTACATTGTCTATATAGTGTACGTTTAATCTATGGTAATAAGAATTTCACCATTTTCGGTGGCATTAAAATTTAGATTACTTATCATAGATAGAGATTTCATTGAATTTGTTGAAGGACTATTTAAATGATGAGCAAAAGAAAAAAAATTTCCTCACTTATACATATATAAGAACGTAATAAGCTACAAAAGGTCATTCTAATTTGAAGGCGGGTGGAGTTAGAAGAATAATTTATTTATTGTTAATAATTTTAGAAGGGTTATGAATGATTTTATTAGGAGGTTAAGCCCCCCCTTATGTAGATTATAATTTCAACTTTTCACAGTGTACACTGTGTGATGAAAGTAAATATAGTATTATGGTCTTAAATATAAATTACCTATATTAAACTTAGTCAAATATATTTTTCTATTTTGTATAATTAAAATGTTGCACAAATATAGTTGTACAGACATTCAGACATAATCAACAACACGTAATACTATACTACAACAAAATGTACTTTTAATACCTATTTGATAAGTTTAAAGTTATACATTTTTTTAAGTAAAAAGAAAAAAATTGTTGTGTAAGTTAGAAATCAATGCTGATAAACTAAGCACTTATCTACTCATATAAAAAAACTACTTGTTGAAAGTAAATAGTATACATGTATTTAAATTGGTTAATAATTAGCATGTGTATTTTAAAACTACAACAATTTGCCTTTAAATAGTTTCAAAGATGAGCAGAATTTAAAAATGCAACGAAAAAGATATCTAATAATCAATAAAAACAAGACTAAATGTGTTATTGTATTTAGGAGAAGGTAACCACAAAAATTAATTACAGTTAAAACCTGTCATTTGACAGAATGCCATAGATCAAAGAATACTGAGTGTAGTGTTATTTTTTCATTATATTTTTAATCCAATTACTTAAATTTATAGTTATTGAAAAGAACAAAATCAAATTATATAAGACTCTCATTAGCTGTATCTGAGTTCTGCTCTAATAACCATTTTTAAACTAATTCCATCTTGGTTAAAAAAAAGAGATGTACCAATTATATCCCTGTTAAAAAAATATTACAATATTACTATATTAGTACATTTTCATAACTTAATGGTTCATAAATATATATAATTACAATAATATATAGAATAATTTATATAAATAGGTACCTATTGTTATCAATACAATATAAAGTTAAAATGTATGCACATAAATATTAACAATTCATTAAATATCGAAGAGTCAAAATAAATATTTGAATGGATTAAAAATTGATATTTTTTTTACAAACAATATTTGTTATATTTGACCTGGACTGTATTCATATACTTATTCGTTACCTAATACAGGTTTCCTGTTTTATAGAATATATTTAAGGCTTCTATTAACTGGTAAATATTTAGGTGAGGATGATAACACATTCAATTGAATATATAATGGAATGATTAAGTTATCTGTGGTACGTAAGCCGTAAAGTACTATGTGAAAGTTCCATCCACATACAAGCTGAAAAAGTAGATTGAGGTGAAATATAACTATCACAGAAGTAATCCAAAATTGAATCTACTTTCCATCAACTTTTGTCATCAGATCAATAGCTAAAATATCACCTAGTAATCTGTTGTTAAAAATAATAATCTAAAACTATCGAGATCCTAATTATTCTAATTCTATGAACAATGAATGAAAAAAAACAATATGTGTAACACCTAAATGTGCGAAAAAAATTTAACTAATTAAACTAAATATGGACAAACTTTAATAATACTAGGGTATCTAACTAAGTTTTTCACAATTTAAAATTAAATTGTTTCATATGTTTATTACCTTGTTTAATATTATTTAACTTAGTTATAATATAGTCATTATTGTTTTATTAAATATGTTATTATGTTATGATTTTATAATATTATTTATGATGTTATGTAAATTAATTAATCATACAAATGTACTATACCTCCCTATGCTACCACAAGTTTAGCTAAATGGTATAGTAATTTTTGTTATTATTTTAATAATACAAAATGTTTAAAAAAAAAATATATGTACTATAAAAATTGTCTAATCTCAGAATTTTAATTTCTATAAGTGGATAGTTTTAGTCTGGAACTCGAATACAGCCTTCTTGTTTGATTAATTGTACTCTATGACTGTGGAAGTCATGGATGTACATGGGTGTCAACAAAGTATAATGTACACAAATTACTGATATTCAATAAGCAAAATGTTGCGAAGAGTATATGGATATAAATTGTAAAAGCAAATACACGGTTAGGTAATAATACAAAGAAAAATTTTCTTTGTAGCTAATAAAAGCTCTGTATATATATAAGTATTAAAAATTATCATAAAACAATAATAACTGACTACCTAGGTTCTAAGTCTGATAAAAAGAATTTTGGATATATGATAGGTAAAGCTTTTAAAGTCATATATATATATATATTTAATTAGTTTTCAATCAATGGTATTATAAATACTTAATTATATAACTATTATTATTAAATACTGTGGACTATTTAAAATTAATTTTAACTTTTTCAGTAAATTATAAGAAATTAGCTAGTTCAAAATATTCAATAAAAATATATTGTTACATTATTAGTATTTTAAAATTAAATTTAACTAATACAATATTGAAATAAAAATAATTACAAATATTTTGAATATATTTGATATAAATATGTTAAATGATACTATTTAAATTTATAACTATGAAATTATTCATTAAATTAGGTATTAAAAAAAAAAATGTATATTAAACATTGTTTAAAATTTAATTTCTGGAAGAGCAGGTACAGTATTTTTATTTAAATCTTTAAAGTAACGATGTTGAAGTGCATCTCTAGCATTGATGCGTTTATTAGGATCATAAACTAACATTTTCTGAAAGAAAATTAATTTTATTAGATAAATTCTTGAGAAAAATTATTGTATTAATTTAATTACCTGTAGTAAATCCAATCCATCATTATTCATGTTCTTGACTGAATCATTTAATATATTATCACTCCATGTAGGAAATGTGGGTTTATAATCTTTCAGCTCAGAAACGCCCGGCCATGTATCTTCACTTGGAGTAGTCAAAATCCTAAAAATGAATGTGCATAATTAAAAAAAGTTCAATGACCCATTTCAAAAATTTTAACTGAAGATTTGTCTACAAATACACAACCGATACCCATTAGAAAAAAGGAGTAAGGATTTTTACTAACCAATACAAAATTTAATATAAAACTATACAATCATCATTACCACTTGACCAATTTTAATTTTGAAATATAATCAAATATTTTGATAATTTGTAGAATTTTTTTTTCTAAAAATAAACTCAAACTAGAAGTGAAAAGAGTACCTAGATACTTATACAGAAAAAATTATAAGTATTTGGTTACAATTGCAGGTCCCTACAATTATTTTTAACTGGATTAAAACAAAAAAATATTTTACATTTGACAGCATATTATGAGAAGTTTGAAACTTATTACTCATTTGAACAGATAATATTTTAAACACAACAATGTTAAATTAATTAAATATGAAACCAATGAAAAAAAATAAAATAGTATTATAAGTTTTTTAAAAATAGAGATTTTAATGTCAATTCTTATCTATCTTTGACACCCATCCACTGCTTAATTAGTTAAAAATATTCAGACTTGATATTAAATTATACAATATATAATTAGCTATAATGCAATATAAGGAAATGCATCATTGAGTTTCAGTGAAATTATGTGGTAGTCAAAAGAACTCAGTAATCAATGCTACCAGTACCTAAAAAAAATATATAAAAGTGTAAAATACTAGCAGTCAGATTATATATTTGTTTTGTTCAAACAAGAATTAAATTGATTTAATATGTACCTGAAAATACGAAAAAGTTGATCAATTTCTGAATCCCCTTGAAATAATGGCTTCCCATGAGCCATTTCTGCAAATATGCATCCTATAGACCACACATCGATTGGACAACCATACCGTTGTGTGTTTAATAACACTTCAGGAGCTCGATACCACAATGTTACTACCTATAAGCAAATTATTCTAATTAAATGTAAGAAATAAAGTATCTAATAAACCTAACTTAACCTATAAACTATTTCTTTTTTTAATTTTAAAATCAAAATATTTAACAAATACCTCATGAGTATAGACTCGAATTGGTAAACCAAAAGTACGGCCCAAACCAAAATCAGCTACTTTTAGAACATTATTTTTAGTATCAATTAATATATTTTGTGGTTTTAGATCTCTATGTAAAATTCGTCTTACATGACAAAAGTAGATGGCAACTAATAACTACAACATAAAAATTGATATTATATTTTTGTTCAAATTTGAATACGTATTTAAATATACATATGTACTATTATTAATATTTACCTGATAAGTAAAAGATCTTGTAACAGTTTCATCTAAATGTTTTTTTGGTCTGGAATCAATGAATTTTTTTAAATCCATGGGAACAAACTCAAATACTAGATACAATCGTGAATCGTCCATTAAAATTTCCCTTAAGCTAAATATAAAATCAAAACATTATTTTTTGATTAAATACATCCATGGTATTATTAAAATTAACATGTAAGCATATTCAACAATTACTTCACTATATTTGGATGGTTTAGTTCCTTCAAAATACTAATTTCTCTGATAGCTGTTGCTGGTATACCTTCATCTTCCATTTCCATACGTATCTTCTTAACTGCAACAATTTCTTTTGAAGAACGTTCCATACATTTATAGACAACTCCATAAGTTCCTTCGCCTATTTTTTCTAATTTATCATACGCATCCATTGTAAAAGTTCTAAAAATAATAATAATGAATACGTTTTTTTCTACTTATTAAAATAATATTTTTAATCATTAGACTTATTGATTATAGTTAATTAGGTACATAACTAGAGGGATTCATGGCATCTGGACTCCCTTAAATTTAAGCTTCTCATCAAAACAATTTTTTTCCTTAAAAAATTATTGATAGTTAGTAATAAATTTAATGTTTAGATCTCCCAGCCAAAAAAAAAAATCCTGATTAAGTGCCTGATTATGATATACATTAGTATAGTATACAGTATATATTTTAAAGTTTAAACATGTTTAAGGTGTATGTAATATACATATAGGCGCTAGAAAACCATATCCCTTAAAATGTTGAAGATGGCCTTAATCATATAAAATAAAATACTATCTAATACTTCAAAAAACTTATGTAAATCAGCAATCATGTCTATCTTTAACAAGTTACCAATTTTCAATATAATTGAGTTTACAATAGGTAGATTTAAAAATTAAAAATTACTACATTTAAAAATTGTAATGAAATTTCTAGTAGATAGTTTGTTCACAGAAAAAATAAACATCATTGTAAAACCAATACATTTCTCGCTCTTTTCAGAATGTAAAATTAACAGGTACTAAGTTAATTGTTTAAAATATGTTAAGAAACCAGGAATTTTGTGAGTTTGCAGAGTGGGCTTTCCTTACTTGTTTATAATTAGGAACTAGATATATTATCAGAGGGTAAATCACCGATTAATATTGTGTATACCCAATTCCAAAAAACCGCGATTTCTTATAGGATTACTAACAATTTTCTATTAGATTATCTAAGATTTTCGTGATTTCCAAGCGTGTTTACACACAGATTTTCGTTAGTGATTTACCATATGTATATTATAGACCAATATTAGATATGAATTCACAAACCTTTTTTTTATTTAGTAATTGCTATCGAAAGCAGACTAAATTATAAGATGCATATATTATTTTATAATTTATTTTTATGTCAACCATAGTTATTATAAATCTAAATAATGATGTCAGTTGTCTTAATATAAAATTAAATCTAAATATATTGTTTTGTTATACTTACCCAAATGTTACACAACCTATAAACAAAAAAAATACAACACGTTAATAACTGTATTAGATACTACAATCAAATAGGCAAATTTCAACTTAAGTAACTAAGAAACACAATTTACGAAATTCATAAAAAAATTGTCGCTGTTTAGACATACTAGTCAAAGTTTAGCTATCTATGATGTCAGAACATACAAATAACACAATAGTAATCGGTAAACACAGAAGACTGAAGCTGAATACTTTGAATTGAAAAACAGACAATTTTAAACGGTCAAATTTGCAGTGTAGCCAATGGGATAACAGAATAAACTTTGTTTCGAAAACACGAAAGGGACAGATGTCCGGAAGGTGGAAATGATAACGGTCCGAGATACTTTTAATTGAATGACGATTACGATACGTTTCACGAAACTAGCGACTCTGCAGTGGCGCTTCGGATGGTGAAATTTTGGTGTTCAACAGTTTCTCCAATTTACACACAATACGCGGCAATTTGGAATACTGCACGGTTTTTAAAAAATATGAATAAAAATAATAATTTTATTTATTGTATAATATATATGATGGTTATAAAATGTTTGGCAGTGGAAGGTAAAATTCATATCAACAGGGGCCAGCTGTTCGATGGTTGATTGCCGCGTCATTTTTAAATTACCGTGCTTTTTTAGTCACATGTTTAGGAAACCTTCACGAAAAACTACCACCGGAATTTTGTAATGTTCTACCCATTGCACTCTATATTATAGATTTTATCCATCTTATCTATAAAATATATTATGTTCCATAGAGTTCAAAAGCTCTATCATGACTTTAGAAATTAAAATAAACTCTATACCTTAATATATTATCTTAGTATATGTCCTTAAATCTTCTAATAATATTCCATTTCCGTTCTCTCATATTTTTCAATCTTCCTATGTTCCCCTTACCCATTCAATAATTTATTCATTTTTCTCTAAAAGCTTTCTTTTATAATTGTTAATTTTATAAACGCTGAGGTATGTTTATTACACCTCTTAATAAAAAGAATCTTTAATCGTGGTAGAGACATATAGTCTAAGAGGCACCATTAAAAATATATATTATACATAATATAATATGTAAAGTATTATCTATGGGAAGAGGACAGTTGAACAAAAAATGAAAGATGAATCACGGATAAAAATTATTAAACCTTTAGGATAAATAATAAAAATCCCTAAAGCTACTAAATTATTATATCAAAAGTAATAATGTGTATAAAAAAAAATAAATTGAATATACCTAGTAGGTATAATCAGTCAATGGTTAGGTTATTACTTATTAGGTATTACTTACGGTTAGTAATACCTATGTAATAACCTAATAACATGTAAATAGGTACCAAATATGTCTAAATAATTTTTATCTCATGTATTTTCCCAATTCCACAATTTATCGCTCTAAACAACTGATTTTAAAATATATAGATAGCCCATAGCTTAGGAATATTTGGCAACTAAAATTATAGTTATGCGGGGTTTCTTTGAGAGAATAGATAGCACAGTTATCACAGTTATATTTAAAAATTAATTTTTCTGAAATGTTTGTTGTTTCGTTTATAGTCTATATACTAAAAATCTACTGGACCAATGGTCTGCGTTCTTAGAAAAGGATTTAAAGCTATAGTACTCCCACACCCCCAAAACCATTTGTGGGTAATGTTTTAGTGGATAATACAAATTATAATGATTAAACGATAATTTATACGTAGAAAAATAAAATTCAGACAAAGAAACATACACAATTTTTTTTTATTGATAATAAAATAATAAAGCAAAAACAAAATTATTAGATGTAAAATGGTTAATACTCGTAAATAAATGTGTCCCCTGGAGTATTATAATATATGTATTGTATTACAGGTTTCAAACTAAAAATTTATAGTCAGGTAATTAATAGTTATCAAATTATTACTCAATTAAAAAATTTAACTGTTACTATTTTTTTTAAATACAATTTTTCGAAATTTTCAAATTACCATCAACTGATCACAATTTGTAGCAACCAATATGTGTGTTTGAATATCACACAAATATAAATAATTTAAGAAAACACAAGGTAAATACTTATTTTATAATTTGAAAAAATATAATATAATTTTTAATCATCTTCTTATTTTTTTATACTCCAAGAAAAATATTTATTAAATATAAATATCATGTGAAAAATACACTTAAAATAAAAATATAACAAAATATGTACTTATATAGAAAAATTTTAATATGTTAAAATGGGTATGCAAAAAAAATAAATAAATGTCTATAAATTTAATAAATAATTTCATAAAAACATGGAAACTCCTATAAGTCTCTAATTAAACATTGTCTACTATCAAACAAATTAATTATTAGAATCAAGATTTTTTTAAAACCATTTTAGCTTCACTTTTGTATACAGTTTATTATATGAAAGGGCCCATGTATACATATTATGTTTAAATGGTGTAATTGCATTTAGTTACTTTATATTACATTTTATTACTAACAAATAACAAGAAGTATAGACTTTTTTAATATTTGTTTAAGTATTATAAATATTATTTAAGTACATATTTAGTTTATTGGAGTAGTAATGTATTTTTAAGATTAAGTTTTATAATTGTATTAAGATTATAGAAGACATTAATTTAAAAACTATACTATTATTATAATTTTAAAATTTGTTCAATAAATGCGTGGTATCCACGAAAACCATGTAATTTCTTTTTCGTTTTCTTCAATTTTATCTTCAATAATTGTAGTTTCTTTCTAAAACAATAAAATAGATTTTTCTTTTCAAAAATAAATAAAACCTATACATCCTATAAACCTATATATCAATTGGATTATAAATTATAATAACACTAAGTACTTGATGAATACTGTTTAATTTAAATATAAATGTTTTACAATGATTGTATTATTTGCTAAAAAAAAATAACGATTTAAAATGTACATTTTTTGAAAAAAAATATGCTTGAAATAGACTTTTCCCAATATAGGAAGCTTATTGATTTCGACCAATTCTGGCAAGATCATCTAATCACTTCCCATTTCTTACATTTTTCTAACATACCTGTTAGAGAAGTGGCTGATTAGTCCGACCAAATTTCATATTCATATTTTAAAAATAAATTCTAGTAAAATAAGATAAACTATTACCTCCAATATTCTTTGATTTTCTCGGAATACTTTAATAGGATCATCATACTGACTGAAGTCTTTAAGAATTTCTCTAACATCAGTAATATGATTATTTTCAAATACCACTATAAATATAAACATACTATTAATAATAATAATTTATTATATTTGATAACTATCACATTATAAATGTTGAATAAAACAGTTTGGTAAAAGAAAATATATTTAAACCTTTTAAGAAGTCTGCAAGATCAATGAGAGAGTTGTCATTATCATCGCCATTCCATCGAGGGATTATCAGAGTGTTGCGAGGTTGAAGTTGTGTCCAACTTGAATTCCAATCTATTATAATAACTTTGGCTAAATCACGATTAATTCTTTCCATATTTTTCACTAATTGACCATTTCGAATTTCAGTACATTGGCGTGATAATCGATATTGAATCCAACCATTAGGATCAATTTTATCTAATATCGCAGAAGCAATCTTAAATTTATAAATATATGCATACATATATTGTGTTAACAATATATACATTTTATTATTATTATTTTAATTAAAATTATTAACATACATAACCATTTTCAGCTGTATAAACAACTACTTCAAACATCTTTCCAACTCTTTCCAGAAAATAATCAACATTTGGCCTCTTTTTAAAACGCCAACCAGTACTATACTAAAATAAAATATAATTAAATGAATAAATATAAAATTATAATTGTTAAGATTATTATCTTACACTCCACTCGGGGTGTACCAGAAGATCAGTCATTTCAAATACAAGTGTATATCGAGGTTTTTCGTAATAATCTGATATTGGATCTGGTAATAAACTATTAGTAGCAGGAATTGTGAACATCTAAGTAATACAAATTTGTAAGAACTAAATTGATTTACAAGTAAAAATAATTAAACTTACTTTATGATAAAATTCAATTCTAAAACATATTCGTTCGTACATTTTAATAATAAAAGGAACATTTTTTTTTTCTATTGGAAAAAATTCTTTGTTTCCACTGTTGTCTTCAAACACTAATTTTACAAAATTAAATAAAATTAAAAAAAGAAAAAATGATACATAATTAAACTAAAAAGAATGTAGGTATTTAAAGATTAATATATTGCACAATAATAATTCATTGAATACCTACAATGAATTTAGTTTAATACCCATAATATATTCTAAAACATACAACATGATTCATACTGTAGATAAAATTGAATAGTCTATAATCAATAACAATTAAAAAATCAATTTAACTATTCTAAAATGACCACAATCCAAATAGATGCTACATCACATGTCTAAAGAATTCATAAAAAACTTTGAATAGGTATTAAGTTACAATTTAATATCATAATAAAAGTAATTATTAAGTGTTAAATATTAAAACTGAAAAAAATATCCATAAAGTGTAAAACTTGTTATTAATATAGATATTATTTCATATATATATGAAATACTTATACACTAACTTTCAATAGGTAGGCACTATTAAATATGTTTAATACAAATTAAAAATAATATCAACCTACTTAGAGAATATCCTCCAAATGCTAAAATTGATACACCCAAAGTTATTGAAGTAATTTTTAATGATCTCTTCAAAAGTTCTTTTAAGTGTACGTTTTTTACTCGAATAGAAGTATTAGAAACATAACGTAACATTGGTATGTTTGAATAATTGGTCCATATTTTACCTGAATAAAAATAATTTTAGTAAACAGGAATTTAATTTACAACATGAAGTAATATCACTAATCAATGGTAATATTTTATTCCTTGTTCCTTAATTCATTATGATTGGTAACCTGATGGATAATTAGATGTCATCTACTAATCAAGTAGCTTTTTCTCATCCAATCATTCATCAAAGGCATTAAAGAAACGCCTTGATGCCATCTAGTTAGCAATCAGATTAATTAAGGAACAGACGTTCTAATTCAAAATGTATAAAATTAACTTACATTGATAAGGTAAAAATATTTGTTGAGAATAGTTTGAATTTGAAGAAATTGTATAAACTAGTCTCTTACTGCAAGTACAAATATTCATTTTATATTTAAAATCAGAAAATACAAAAATAATATTTGTATTCTTTAAAGGTATTATATTTAGAAGGTTTAAAGTTAAAATAAATATATTTGTATTCTGTATGATATATGGAAACTAAAAATTTATTTTATTCCTAGTAACCTAGCATTTTCCATTTGACTTTACTCTGAATTCCGATACTTATGACTCACGTAATTATAATATATCGTTGACTAATTATTTTATAACACTAATCTGAAGTAAACCAATGTACCAAGTACAAAGATAATACATTATCTTTATCTGTGTACCCACTAAACACCATATATGGATAACACGGATATTTTAATTATCAGTTGCCTAACCTGTCCTATGATACTATGGTACTAGATAGTAGGATTCTTGGTACTTGATAGTACTGTGATAACGCGCTATTAATGGTCAATAGATTTACGTAATTCACTTATTTTCTGAATTTAAGGCACGTGTTGGTTGTTCAAAATGACTAAAACTCAACATTTGATCGTGGACACAGCCGGATTTATTGACAATGCTCCACTTCAAGAGTTTGGTGTGAACATCTATACTATACAAGAAGTAGTAAATGAAGTTACAAATAAACAGCAAAAGACCGACCTGTCAGTACTGCCATACACACTGAACATTAAAACTGTGTTTCCTGAACATGTTCAATTTGTTGTTGATTTTTCAAAAAAAACTGGCGATTTCCCGAATTTATCCATAACCGATATTAAAGTAATAGCTTTGGCTTATCAGGTACACAAAGAAAATTATGGCACAGATAATTTAAAAACCGAACCAGAATCTAAATCTATTGTGTTTGAAAAACCAAAGGTCAATGAAAACACAATTGGGTTTTATGATCCAGACCGTTTATGTGATAATTTGTCAGAACTAAATATAGATGACGGATGGATTACAGAAGAGAATATTAAAGATTTAACTATAAATATCGGAGATAATATAGTTGATGAAGAAGCTAAAGTTGGTTGCATTACAACTGATTATGCTGTACAAAATGTCCTTAAACAAATGGGCCTTTCTATCATTGCTTTAGATGGTCGTGTGATTAAAGAAGTTCGAACATATATAAGGCGATGTTATGGTTGTTTTACCTTAACTTCACATATGACAAGATTGTTTTGTCCTAAATGTGGTAACAAAAGTTTGAAACGCGTAGCTGTATACTTGGATGAAAATGGCAAGCAATGTGTTTACATAAATGCTAAACGGCCTTTGAATTTAAGAGGTAAAAGGTATTCGTTACCAAAACCACAAGGTGGTAAACATGCAATTAATCCAAGGTTAGTCGAAGATCAACCAAGACCACATCAACGACCATCTAGATTGGCCAAAACAAAAACTAATGCTTTGGATCCAGATTATACAGCTGGACTATCTCCATTCGCTACAAAGGATGTTTATTCAAAATCAGCCATGCTTAGTTTCAAAGGTTCAGTACAGAAACAATGGATGAAGAGGAACCCCAATGAATCCAATAAAAAATGTAAATAATAAGAAAAAGTAAATAAATACATATATTTTAAATTGTCTATATCTGTTTTATGGTTATTTAAATTACCTTATTTGAGCTTCATAATTCATTTTCTATAATGATAAAACTAGATTAATCAGCAATTTTGGTGTTCAGGAAAAAAAAATTATCTTAAAACATTATTTTCAAATTTATTACGATGTTTAAAATTAAATATGTGTATGATTTTAGCATAGACTAAATGAAAATATTCACAATAAAAAAATATACAAAACTCATGAATTAAATTATTTTCAACTTACTATATATTTATGTACATAATAAAAATGTTACAATAATAATAATAAAATAATAATAAATATATAATAATAATAATAATAATTTATATACATATAATATATGTATGTATATAATATATAAAGTAAAATTTTTGTTCACATATTTCATTATTTATTTACAAAATTAACAGTGTCTAAAAAATGTATTATGTTTTACAGTGGGTAATTATAATTATACAAACAAAATATTATTGTATTATTCAATATTGTTATTAATTTATTTTTAAGAAAATATGTTAATTTAAACCTGTTAATTAAGCATTATAATACTGAATAAAATATATTTAAATAGAACAAAATTGAAAAGAAAAGTTTGTCAATTATTTGATATGTGTAAATATTAAAAAGCTGTTAAAGGGGTAAATTGTAAAATTATTTACATGAAAACATGTGAGCTACAGATTCCCACCATGAAAAGAGTTTGCACTATTGCTACGTGCTAAGCTAAGCACACTGCCAGATAAACTATCTTCTTCCAATGTTGACTTGTCCTTAATGGATAAAGTGCTAGAATACATTACAATTTTAAACCAATAAAACAGAGTAAACATAAAATAATACTAACCTAAAACCTAAACGAATTGATTCATCATCAAATTGTTCAAATTCTCTATCTTGTTTTTCACGAAGAAGTCTAATACGTTCTCCACGTTCTTGTAAAAATTGTGCGGTTTCCATTTCCATCTGGAAAACAAACAATAATTACTGTAAAAAAAATAATATTACAATTTAAAAAAGTACACAGACTGTTGGTATAATAATTATTAATACATATAATTTCATATAAATTATCATTAATAAAAGAGGATGTGGTAGTTAGTTTTGATGTTTTTAAGGAAAACTGGAACATTAACTGTAACAACTCAATGCTATATGAAAATATTCAAAAACTTTATACTTAACTTATTCGAATATTTGGTTGAAATACTTAATAAGAGCTTCCAACTAGAGAAGGTCACACCGTGAATTTCAATCATTTATAAATATAATGTTTACAAACCATTCAATATTGGACCCAAAAATAATTCATTGCTATTTTTGAATATAAAATTGTTAGGGAGTTAATTGAAATTAAATACTTTTACCAATAACCCATGCACATAATCAGAATAACATATATAACCAAAATTAGAATTTAGCAACATCTGATTGAACAAATTATAGACATGAACAGTACTTGGAATGTTATTTTATGCTTAACATTTTGTTGGGAATTGAGAATATATGATACATAAATGTGGTGTTCTGTCTTACAACATTTGTGTTTATCATAGACAATTTTATTCAGTCATTATTAATATTATAGAGAATTGGAATCAATTTTTTTATACCAAGTATAAAACGAAAATAATTAAACAAAAAAATTATATGTACTTAGGAAAACTATATAACTTAAGGGGATGTGATGTTCATATATGTCATTCTCATCATAAATGCACAATGTAGACAAATTGTGTTCAGCAGTAACAATTTTGCTGCTATTGGTTTTAAAAGTAGAGCGAATTGGTCTATTATAATATTTAAAGGCAAGAACATAATCTATTTTTTGGAATGGTATTTTTTTTAAATTTAAATTTTAATTAACATACAACCAAATAATGGTATTACTTTTAAGTTTTATAATAGGTCAATTTGCTCTAGTATTAAAACCTACAGCAAAAAGTGGTCACTGCTGAACGCAAATTTTCTACTTTGTGCATTTGTAAAAATTGGAATGATATACAGGAGCATCACATACCCAAGAGTTATATATTTTTTCTTTTAAACTTGATACATAAAACTTGAACCAAAATTCATCAAATATTTGATAACCATGATCTTATTTTTACTCTAAATATTTAAAATTAATAAAATAAAATAAATATTGTTCTTAAAATTGACAAATCAAAGTGGACAATACTAATTGTAAATATTTTAAAATTTAACATATTAACTATAATTTAGAAAAAAAAAATCCATACCTAAATTTTTGTGAATACAAAAAATGGTTTAAATATACATCCAGGTATTCAGAATTTTATGTTACAACAATTTTTTTCTAAAAACATTTAAAATAGAAAAAAATGTTTAATACAAATGTTTCTTTATTTATAAACACCTAAAATAATTTGTACATTTTTTTTTATTTTACTGAATTTTTTTGGGTGTTAACTTTTGAAATTAAAATGAAAATCTATATTAAAAATTCCATAAATAAATAGAGTAATATTTAAAATAAATTGTAGTGTTAACATTTTTGATTAACCTGTTGATGAGATATTCAACTTTTTAGTTTAGGCAGGGGAGAGTAGTAGAACACTATTTAAATAATGCATATCATATCACTACTCAAACAACCACACTCCCTTGCCAAAACTAAATAATAGAATATCTTGTCAACGGGTTGACGGAAATCAAAATTTTTAACACCACAATTTATTTAAAATATTACTCTATTTATTTATGGAATTTTTAATATAGGTTCCCACTAGAATTTCAAAAGTTAACACCCCCCCCCCCCCCCAAAAAAAAAAAAATGTAAAAATTATTTTAGGTGTTTATGAATAAAGAAATTTGTGTATTAAACATTTTTCTCAACTTTGAATATTTACAGGAGAAAATTACTACAACATAAAATTCTGAAAATCGAAAAAAAACATGAAAAATTGTACAATTTATTTATTTCCAATTTTAGCAAAGATGAATATTGAATAGTAACCTTTTGCTCTAGTAAAGATCTCCGAACTGAAATACGGTCCTCTAATTCTTTTTTCTCGTGATTTCTTTGAGCATCTGCTTGCATTCTATTCTTCGACTGATAAGCTAACAACATGTCAGTCTCATAGTTTAGACGTTCATCTAGTACACGACACTCAACTTCTTGTGACTCATCTAATCTTATCTAAAATGTACATAAATGCATATTATTTTATAAATCATACAAATAATAATTAACTTACAGATTGTTTTTGTAACATCTCAGAAATACTTTGTTCATACTGTTCTCCAAGTAATGCCAACTTTCTGCGCTGTTCTTCTTTCAATTTTTTTATTACAGTTTTTTGTTCTTCTTTTGTTGTAGTAGCTAGTACTTGAGCTTTTAGTACTTTATATTGTCTAGTTTGAGTTTTACATGTTTCTCTAAATTGTTTTCGGATTTGCATTTCTTTTTGCTAAAAAAATTAATATAGGTACATGAAAATAATAGATTATATCTAATTGATTTAATTATTTTATTTGTTATATATTTTCAGACACAAAATTAAATAAATTAACATTACACCTACTTTGAGACTTTTAGGCTGTTGCCGTAGTTCCATTGCATGTCTTTTACGTAAATCGTTTTGAGCACGCTTTCCATAATCTCCTTGGTGTTGTAATTCAGTATCATGTTGCCTTATAATTTGTGCAGTACGTAAAGAATGGACTGCCTTTTGTTGCTTTGTTTCAAGTTTCCTGGTGTCTTCATGATGTCGTAATAACATAGAATGGGCATTTTCTAATTGTTGTTGTCTTTTACCAAGTTCCTATAAATGATTTAATCAATAAAACAATTACAGCAAATATATTTATTAAATATAAACTAGAATATGTTAGGTATTCAATTTATTATGTACACCACAAATCTAATTCATCCTTAATAAATGATGACTTTATTAATACAAATTCTTCTTTCTCTTCAGCCCAACTATTATATGGGATTGGCTACCCTCATTCTTAACTTCTACTTGACTCAACCTCTCATCTCGCATACACCAGATATCCTCATATCATTCTCAATCTTATCCAACCATAATTTTCTCCATTTCTTCCCTTCTATATTTATTTTCATTATAATTCAATCAACTTCAGATTCCTTTCTCCTTGTGACATACCTAAATCATCATAGTTTATTTTCTCTCATATCGACTCTTCTCTCTACTTTATCCAACCACACTTAATCTTATGTTTTAAATTCTCATCAATGCCATTGATTTTTTGTAAAAAAAATACTAGGTATTTAAAACTCAATCTCACCTATAACCACATATCATTAGCTGTATTAGTGTTAGTCTTTTGCCTTTAAGTGCTACTATCCATTCCTTAAACCTATTGTTAACTTATTCCAGATTTTCCCCTATCAAAATGATATTATCTGTAACATTATACATCATGGTATCTCCTCTCACCTTTTATCCCTGCATTCATCCAAGATTCACCAGTCTTGTTTAGAACTTCTCATACTGTTTGACAAAATTTTACTCTGGCTATTGACCTAACATAACCATAACTATATACCTTAAGATTTTAATGGAAAATTGTATGTTAGAATACATTTTTAATGATTCTAATATATTAACATAAGAAATGTGCATTAATTTAATTCAAAATTTTTAAATGTATACATCAAATGTGATTTAGAGACAATTGTCAATAATAAATACATTAAAATCCTAATAATTTAACATTTAAACACTATAAATTATAGTACAACAATTAGGGTTATTTAATTAATAAGATTAATAAGATTCCCATATTATAAATAATTTAATTTATAGTTTTTAAATGTTAAATATTATGAGGATTATAATTGGTATCCAATAGATATTATTAGTTATAACTAGGGCTGTGAATTTAATGCATTAAAAAACCTTAAAAACTCTATTACAAATGTCAAAAAATGCAATAAAATATGCACTTAAATTCAAAAATGTACTTAGAATGGGTTTTAATTTAATTTTTATATTTATATTGGTATTAGTATATTAAATGCATAAAAATGTATATACTTAGTAAAAAAATTATAAAAATGTTGATGGAATTTAAATTTTGAATGATATGCCAAAAAACTTATCTAGCAATTGTTTTATTTTATTGAATCATTATCTTTATCTTACCCATATTCAGTTTATGTAAAATATTATTTTATAAAATATAAATTTGACATACAGAAGCTTGTGTAAAATAAAAAAATATTTTCAAAGATGTTAATTGATGAAATTTGATTAAAAATATCAGAAAATGACCTAAAATTTACCTAAAAATGAAAAATGTAAAATAAGTTTCATAAATGAATTTGTTATTACATAATTCAAATTATGTACTTACAAAGCTACATTTCTCAATCACCAAAAAAAATTTCACTTTCCTACTAATTCACATTCCTAGTTATAATAGCAAAATGTTTAAAACATGTTTTTGTTCTTAAACAAATTACATACTTCCCGTAATAATCCTTGTTCAAATAAATGGAATTGATTTAGCCTTTTTCTACGGAATTTTCTAATTTCAAGCTCCAAATAATCTTTTTGACATCGAATAAGTCTGTGTTCCTCTTGAGCTTCCATTAGCTTACGGTTTTCTTTTTGAGTTCTATGATTTATATAAAAACAAAAATTATTTTTATTATATTCTGCAGTATACAAAGTGGTTATTTTAGCAAAGGAATATTTAAGAAAGTGAATATAAAATTGAAATATTTTTTTGAAAAATTATTTAGGCAAAGATCTTTGAGATGATTATTTTGTTTTGGTTTACATATATATATATATATCAGATACAGTTTGAGCTAGTTTTTAAAAAATGTAAACCCTTATGGAACATTTATGCGTGCACAATAAACTTACTAATCTTTTATAATATTCCTATTTTTTTCCAAGCAACTTTTATTAATACAATTTTTTTCTACCCTAAAAATGGCCTGAGATACAATCAAACTATAATTATACTATAAACTATAAAACTATATTAACTATAAAAATTATACTTTTATATAATTTTTCAATAAATGCATGACTTAAACTACAATTTTAGAGGGAAACAAATTATAACTATAGATAATCTCAAACTGACATAAATTGTTGCCACAACAGTATTTCATAAATTATTAAAAATATTAAAAATGAGTTATACACATTAAAAAGTACAAAATAAAAGGCAAATAATTTAATATAAACATTATGAAGTAAAATACACAAAATCTAAGAAGAATAAAAACCTTAACACATTATCAATATTATTATCAAAATATCTCTGAGTCATCAATTTGTATAATCTAAAAATAAAAAACATTTCAACCAATTATTATTTAACAATGTTTAACCTTTATGAAAGTATATTTTTAAAATAAGTTTTTTAAATCTTTTTTAAAAAAAAAAAAACACTTTTTGGAGTGTTCTATGTAGTGTTTTGGCAACAACAAACATATGTACAACATGCATTTTTAATTTTTTTTTTATAAATAAAAAAAAAAAATCATATTTTTTCATCAACATTAAATAGTTGTATTTCATGTAACTTTTGGGAAAGAAAAATCCAGTTAAAAAAAAAAATCTTGCATCTTTTAATCATAACTTGATTAACAATAAAACTATTATTTTGTACACATATACTAACTGTAAAGCAGCATCTCTTTGTCGCTTAGGTGTTGTTTCATCTAATGATAGTTCACGTTTCCATCGTTCTTTACTAGTTTTATATTCTTTTTTTCTTTGAGCATCAAATGCCTTGCGGTCAGCTTCTTGTCTGTTGGATATTTCTTTAATTATTTTTTTCTCAGCAGCCACATTTTGCTTCATCTAAAAAAAAATATCATAGTAAAAAACAATACTATAATATGTATTATTATATTTTTTTAAATTATATTATGTATTCTTATAGTTATTATTTATTTTTATTAGGTATCGTCATATTTTATAACACTATTGGTATTAGATTTGATAACGATTGTCTTTTTTTTTTGTTTACAATTGGTTTATGTTCTTACAAAGTATTTTTACTTGAACAAGTGGTTTCTAATATAAATTTAATGTTAGCAAAACACTAACATCAATATCAATGATGGATTAAACATCAAAAAGCCTATTAAAAAAAAAATACAGATCACAACTATATAATATTATACAAAAGTGTATGCAAATTAATTTTATAATGATTTTAGAGATAGAATAATAAATTATAATATTACTATTAATATAGAAAAACAGTGGGATAGGACATATTTCATACCATATTAGAGGTAGATATAATATGACACTGATGCTATACATTTTAAGGTTTTTTGATCAAATTAAAGGAGTTCCTTTATTTTCACTTAACTAAAAAAAAAAAAATTCAAAAAAAATAATAAACCAAATATATACAAAATATTTTGGCAACTACACCATGTCTAGAATATTAATATATTATGTATTATTATTTGTTTATATAATTTCTGAACAGTAACAATTGCATGAATTAGATATAAGTAAACACCTGATAAATGTATTATAATAAAAATGTCATAGTTACCTTCTTTTCCAAGTCTTGCTGATGTTTAATTTGAAGTTTCTCCAATTCTTTACTAAATTGTTGTAATAAAGTTTCATATTCTTTATCTAAAAGTTGTTTATGACTTTCCATTTCAAGTTTACATCTGTCTTCAAGCTAAAATATTTATATAAATTTATAAAGGATGTTGAATTGTTTTCTAAGTATGAATACTTTTAATAATGCAGCCTGGTGTTCCTTTCTCATTCGTTTATAGCCAGACATTTGTTCATGCATTTCTTCCTGCATGTGTTCTTTTTGTTGTTTTGTAACAATCGATGTTGTTCGGATTGTTGCAAAGTTATTGTGACCTCCCACAGTCATATGATCGTTGGAAACAATGGAATTAGAATTATTACTAGATAGCTACAATAAAATATAATAATGAATTATTAAAATTATAAATGAATACATTGAAGAATAAAATACTTTTAAAAGGGTAAATTGAAATGTTTATTATTTACAAGTTGTTAAAGGCTTTCTAAAATAACCACTTTTAGTATAATTTTTTTTTAAATTTTTAAACCAATAAAGGCAGAGGTCACATAATGAAACTACTTGAAATTTCAAATGACAACCTATAATAAAAATTTCACAAATTGGTACAGTATTAGTTTTAATTAATGTTGGTATTCACATTTTTCAAGGGATTTCATAATAAATGGGAAAAATGGGAAAATTTACGAAATTATTTTCAAATCGTAAATACTACGGCCTTTCAAACATGTATAACCAAACTTCACTCAGAATTGTTTTTTCGTTGGTAATGGATAATCATTCTGTTCAGATAAATTTTAATTACCTTTCTGCTTATCAAACTTTTCCCCTAAAACAGTGACTCACTCACAAAGTATGTCCGTTTGATTTTATTTATCAATCCATTGATGAGATATTCCATTTTTAAGTTTAGTTAGGGGCAGAAAAATGGAGTATTACTCAAACACTGTGCGTCATACAAATGACTTCATTATCTCCACCTTATTATTAGGGGGATGTTTTACTCATAAAAATTAGGGTCGAAAAAAATAATGGACATAAATCTAATAACATTTTAGAGCTGCTTGTTCTTTAAATTTTCAAAATATTCTAGGTTTCATTATGTTTATGTTATTATATTTATAAAAATGAAAAAGCATTTAATGAGTGTAATTTTAACCAATTTATAACATACTAATAATACTAGTAATAAAATCCTAATGAAAATGGGTCAGAAGTTAGAGCATTTACATATTCTCTTTGAAATTATGTACAACAAATATTTTTGACATTTGTTTTGTATATTTACAGTTTTTAGAACTATTTCTTTTTAAGACTTTTATGAAAATAAACAAATTTTGTTCAAAAAAATAATAAGTTAACTTCAATAAGCAAAAAAAATCATTTCGGACCAAAAAACAGTTGCACAGAAATCATGATTTTTTTTTGATTTTTAACTTTTATGAATAAACATATATATATATGCATTGCTGCTAAGATAACAGGATAAGAAAAAATTTTTAATATTGGAAAGAATAACTCTGAGGAAGATTTTTGGACCTATTAAGTATAGTATGAGTGAAGAATAAGAGAAAAATGCAGAGCTTGAATTAATATCTAAAGTAAAATCATTACGGATGGAATCAAACAGCTGTTTTAATTTATACAATTTTCAATTAATTTCCTATAAAGTAAATCTGTTTCGCATATTTTTTCTAGAAATTAAAAAAATTGTTACTAAGAAGTTATTGATAAGATTTGAATGTATGATACATTACAATTTTGAGAATAAAATATTTTACAAAATAGATTTTTTCTCTTAAAAATTAGAGGATGAAAATACAATTATTTTTTTTATAAAAAGATCTTCTCTTCAAAAAGTCTTTTTCATAGAAAAACAGATTGGAAATAAATAAATAAAACAATTGAATATTAACAGCTTTAGATAAAAGTGAAAAAATCTGCGTACATAAACCCTCTATACTTATATCTAGGGTTCGTTATTAATTTGTATTATTTTTAAAAAAGTTCAAAAATGTACTGAAATATGCATTTATATTCTTAAAATTCTGAAATAAGGGGTGATCAATCTGTCATAAGATTTAACTAGGAAATTAACTAGGAAAAGTATTAACTTTTTCCGGAATTTATTTCCTAGAAGATTTAAGAAACAAGCTGCTTTACAAAATTATATACATGCAATATTTTATCACCCTAAAGGGGTAAAACCACTACCTACTTATGATTTTTAAATGGCAATCTATATAAAAAGTTTCATAAATAGACGGGGTATTATTTAAAACAAATTTGAGGAGAATAGTGAAGTATTATTTGTTTAGTGGTACGACATGGGGCGTATTAATAATGCACCACCACTCTCCCCCAACTAAAACTTCAAAATGGAAAATCTTGTCAACGGATTGGCGGAAATCGAAACACCAAAACTTATTTTAATTATACTTCATCTATTTATGGAATTTTTAATATAGGTTGTCATTTTAAAATCATAATTAGGTAGTGATTTTACCCTAAAAAGAGTGTGACAAAAATAACCATAAATGTAAAACTGTAGAAGTGCATGTTTCTTAAATTTTCTATAAAATCAATTTCAAAAAAAGTTAATAGTTTCCAAAATAAAGAGTGTCTTATGATAGATTGATCACCCTGTATGCATTTAAAATACAAAACCATAAAATATGCAAAATAAAATTACTGAAAGTATAAAAAAGTACTATTTGAGATTCAGTAGAACATGAATCAAATTTTTATCCAGGTCAGCAATAAATTGGATACAAAGAAAAAAATTTGAAATTTCATAAAAATCTGAACCCCACTTATGTCAAATTTATCTTACTATTTGTTTGTCACTATTTGATTATAATACATTGTCATTTTTTAAAAACTTTAAGGTTATGGAAACTGCCAAAATATGTGATTGATTAAATAATAATTTTAAATTTAAAACATAGTGTCTGTGTGCAGTGCATTAAAACAATAATAATATATTAATAATACTTTGTGACGATTTCTAGCTGTTGGGTAGTGGTCATTTGTGCTCATATTAGATATTTCATTCATATTCGGCGTACTATTCGTGGAACTACTGTGAGATGAAGCACTGACACCAACAGACTGTATTGAATGATCTGAAGTTATACTATTACTCTTGCTGCTCTCTCCTCCTGTTTGTTCATCAGCTGTATCTAGCAATAATTATGAATAAATATGAATATATATACATTATATATTATTCATTGTCCATCATTGAATAATGAATCAACAAATAATTTTAAAGAATATTTATACCATCAGCATCACCAACAGTACTCTCAGTTTCATAGGAGTCGACCATGAGAATTTTTTTCATTTTTCTATAATTAAGGTTATCTAAATCACGAACAGCAGCTTTTGTTCTTTGTATAAGATCAATTAAAACATGAGATGATCTTGAACGGACTATTAACTGATGCTAAAAATTAAACAATAAAACAAATTAAAAATTTACTCTCATTATTTGAAAAAATGTTTTGATATTCACCGATAAAAGTTTGGATGATGATGGGCGTTCAAGAGGATTTTTTTGAAGACATAGTTCAACAAAATGTCTAAATATATCTGTCCATTCAGGTGATTGTAGTGTAGGAGTATCATTTTGTGCGATATGATAAAGAGCACTCATTGCATTCATGTTAAAATATGGAGGTTTTCTTTCAGCTACAACAATTATGTACATTAAACAATAAATACTTGTCCAAATTAATGTGTAAATATATACTTAGTTTTTCTTCTTGATCATAAAAACCAAGTTAAGTTAAATTGAGGCTTAAAATTAAGTAAACATTTACTTAAATATATAGGATAATTTTTTTTTTGAGTTAAAGTGATTTTCTTACAGGATTTTTAACTTTTTCAATTTTTAAGAAATTTATTAAAGTTTATAACAAATTTTAATTTTAAATAGCAACCCCGCTTTTTAAAACAGATATAAAATAATATTTGTATAAAAAGTTTTAAGTTTAAAATTTAGTTTGGAGTAGTAAGGAAGGATAATAAATTTTACATCCATTTTTAGACAAGTTTATAACCCTTCTCTAATCCTTGGGTTCTAAAATTTAATATATTACAACTCAATATTAGTGATGTACACATTAACATGTTTTAGAAAAGTATTCTTTTCAAATGTGTTGTATTTAAAAATCAAAAGGTACAAAAAAGTTTTAATTTTGTGTACTGTTTATCGACACCTTATCTCTCTCTATGTATCTTCCCAGTTCCCATGTCTGTTTGTAATATGTAGTGAATAATATTGTTTTATCGAAAACGAATGGAACTTGGAAAAGTGTACATTTAAAAAAAAAAAAAAATTGAATATAACATTATCAAACTATTCTATAATGATTAAAAAAAACTTAAATATATTTTATTCAAAAATGTACTAAAAATAAATGTTCCTATCTATGTTCTATGAACATATATAAGATTTTTTGTCCCTTCGTGTTAAAAATAATATTCTCTTAAAAAATAAAATAAAACAAATATGTTACAATAAAGGTAAAATAAAATGGTTTAATATTTTAAAAAAATATATATATTTTTGTAAATAACTAAGAATAAATTCTCTCACCTAATTCAATGCATGTTATTCCTAATGACCAAACATCAACTTTTCCATCATACTGTCCTTCATCCATAGCTAATATAACTTCAGGTGCCATCCAATATGGAGTACCAACAAAACTATTGGCCGGACATTTTGTACTGGCAGATCCAAAATCAGCTAAATAATAACAATACAATTATTTACATTATTATTTTATAATTCTTAAATTTAGCAAAGAAGTTATTAGTTTCACTAATGTGTGTTTTTCTTGATTAGTAAAAATACTCAATCTTTTTCATACAGTAACTTAAATTAACCATAGATTTTCACTAATGGGGCTACTTTATTTAACAATTTTTTGAAATTCCATTACTTTTTCTAATAAGAGGACACTTCTCCCCCAACCACAAAAAAGACTAAACTAAATTTAATATATTATGTTTTCTTACCTAAATTATATGACTGTTTTTTATTTTATTTTTTTAATTAACATTTAATTACCAAGTTTCACTGTGCCATTTTCTGTTAGTAAGATGTTTCCTGCTTTCACATCACGGTGTATACGACCTAAGGAATGAAGATATTCAAGACCTCTTAAAACTCCATCACAAATAGCAGATATTTCTTCTTCTTTAAGAGGTTTCTTATGTACTTCAATAATGTCTGAAGCTGAGCCCAAACAGTATTCCATCACCAACTAAAATAAGAATACATTTACATGTAAAATTTGTTAACATAAATACAAGGTATATATTTTCATACCCATGCTGTGTGATCTCGTAGAAAACATCCCTTATATTCAATTGTGTTTGGGTGACTAAGATGTCTTAAAAATCGTATTTCTTTTAATATGTCCTGCCATTTTTCCATACTTTGTTTGCCTAAGTATGACATTTTTTTTATGGCTACTATCTCTTTGGTTAATAAACATCTAGCATAATATACAGCGCCAAAACTTCCGTGACCAATTTCTCGTAAGTCCTCAAATATTTTATCTGGATCGTCTTTATCAAAAAGTTCTGCTATTTCGGGATCCTTTAAGCTCCCAGGCCTTGGAATAGGTGGCATTTTAAATAGTGTATTATCAATACTTATGTTCTTCAAATGCTAATGTATGATGAATATTTTATACATAATAAAGTATCTGAAATAATATAAATAAGTAAGTAGGTAGTGGATAATTAAAAATTAACTAATGAGTTATTAATTATTACTAGAAATTATAAAATTTTAAAAATAATTTATTTCAATATTAAAACTTACAAATTAAATGAGTTTTATTATAATTACCATCCCTAATATTATTGTGAATAAATTATAAATTAATTAATATTCTTGTTGATACTAACCCACCTAATTAAGCACTAAAATATTTTATTTACATCCTACATATAAAATATAGGTAAGTTTTTATTAGGTAGTATGTAGCAATATTTTTCAATAAATATTAATTAATTAGGTTTGTATTACAATTTAAAAAGTTGTAAAGCTATTTATTTATAACAAAATATTTAATAAACAAACTACTTACAATATTTACATTTATTGTAGTAGGTACTAAACAATAACCTCAAATATTTATTAAAATATCACTCATACACCCATTAGACATAGTATTATATCTTTAATATGATTGTATAAGCTTAAAGGTATTCTTAAGAATAATAATTACAATAGTCAACTCATTGCCTATAAAAACAAATGTGATTTGATTATCAATTAATATTGCACAGGATGGTCTGTTACTGACTATAGACAGTAAATTGATATTAGTATAATATAGTATACAGGAGATATTTATCAATACGTGTCTCTATCACACTTAAATTAATTATTCATTCGTGATGTTATTGCTTATACGTTTTTTTAGATTCTGAATGGAATGAAGGAAGCTTATAGTTTTACAAAGATGTTTATTTTTTTATATTCTGTGAACAACTTTTCTACCAGGAATTTTTCTCCAACTTTTAATGATAGCAGTGTTTTTAAAAGGAAATTTCATTAAGGGGGTAATTTAGAGGTCATTTTTGGATTTTCCCAGCAAATGTGAAAAACTGAGAAAACATAGGTATAACATTAAACAAATATTAAAGAAAATATATAAAGCCTATTTAATTATTTACCATAAAATAACATATATATTGTTAACAAAGAATATCTATCAACTGAACTCTGCTCAGAAACAATTTCTTGTAAACAATGTTTTATTGTTGCTTACAGGTATACATTAAAGTATCTATAACAGTGGCTGCCCCCATTATCCTAGGAATCTTTTTTTATGTGTATAACATAGGAATTTTATATTATGAAAATAGAAAAAAAAAAATTAAAACTAAATGAAATAGGTTCCAATTTATTACAAAATGAACATTAAAATTTCAACATACATTGAAGTTATTTACCAAGTAATTATATTTCTTAAAGCTTAAAAAATTATTATTTTTAAATACCTAGATAAAAATTAGGTAGGTATATATTTAAAATATTTTGTATATGAAAAAAGGTAATGCACACTAAAATGTTACCATAAAAGAAACCACTAGCAATTGTGATATTATACATCCACGTATACTGTATATTAATTATTTTATCAATTTAGAATAAGTAAATTTGATTTTCTATAGTAAAACTGGTAAAAAAGAGTATTGAGCTTCTATTCAAATTAGAAAAAGATATTTTGGTTTCATAAATAATTAATTAAAAACTATGTTTGTAAACAGACTTCTCTAAACAAATCTTAATACCTACTTATTGTTAAGAAAATAAGACATATGTATTTACTATTTATTTTAATTACTAATATTAATTAGGTTGAAATCTGACTCATAGTATAAAAGAAAGCCAACATCAAAAAATAATTACTATTTTCCATTTTCTGCAAAATATATACAATATTTTAACACTTTGATTGGTTACCTGGGTACTCAAAAACCATTCAAAATTGTAATAACAAAATTATGACTGTTTGATATTTTATTAGGGCTCTATACAAATAGAAAACAATTATAGCATTTTCCGATATTTTTAAGTTTAGTTTTGACCCCAAGAGCTGTAAATAATACAATTTTTTCAAGTCTGTAAACACGCACCTCTAAACCGGTCATCACAAATTCTATCACGGGTCATTGGTCAGATGGAGTACAAAATATATATATATTTAGTATTTTTCCGATGATCTTTTTTTTTACCCCAAGAGCCATACTTCAACTTATTGATTATAGATATAATAATTTTAAAATAAGTATTAGGTATATTTAATAGATACTTACTTAAAAATCTAAATTATTTATAATATTATATTAACTTAGATATGTAGATTTAGTAAAGAAATGCATAGTAATTTATATAATATAGAGGTAACTTCCTATATTTTATTATTATTAGCTATGTACCTGTGTAGTTTATTTTAAAAACAAAAATTAAGGAGACCTAAGTTAACATGTAAAAATGAATCAATAACTTATCAATTAAAATGAAAATAATTTAAGTAACCTTAAAGTAATATTCAAAATATTTGATGTTTTACAGACAATATACTGTCAGTTGATAAATTATGTTCATATGTATGTATTATAGCTATTAGGTTTTCTTTTTGTGAAACATATTTGACTGAAAACCCATTTGCAATACAATGCACTTATGTACATGATAAATATGATTAAAAACTATTTAACAGTAAGTTAAAGAAATAATAAAATGACATTGATTAATTAGATAATAACCATTAGTAAATAACATTGAATTTACTGTAAGGTGTGTTTATGACAAACTCTAGAATTTATGTTCACTATTTATGACTAGGTATAATCAAACTGTAAGATTTAACACAACCCATTGAAACTAATGTTAGTTATTTTAAATATGGATTTTTATATTAAATAAAGTTTAGAACACTAAAACTTTAACTAAAACAACTATTACCATATTATAATAAACAAATGCGAGATTGTAAATATCAGTAGGCGGGTGAACATCATAGACATACTTGCAATATTCTCCAGAGCAAACCAACGTTTTATCATCCTCGTCATTGTCGTCCCAAAATCGATAACACACACCAGATAACACTAGCAGACTTCATGATTTGGTCGGTTGTAATATTTCATTGCATATTACTATTAGGTACTGTAAGTTCTCCTATTCGGAGAAACGATTCCGTTGAAAACCGATTCGTCATTCGTTTTCGATAAAACAATATTATTCACTACATATTACAAACAGACATGGGAACTGGGAAGATACATAGAGAGAGATAAGGTGTCGATAAACAGTACGCAAAATTAAAACTGCAGAGAAAAAAACGAAAGGAGTGAAAATTATTAATAAAAATGGAACAGTGAACATGATCGATCCCAACTTTTTCGTCTATGAGCGAAAACACAGTGTGACCAACACAACACCGATAATAATTATTGTACATATTTAGTAGAATGTGTACAACTGGGTAGCTGCAACATTTAAATTTGCTACAACAAATTCAACTGCATCTAGATTTTTGGTAAATAGTATGCAATTTCTAATCTAAACTTGTAAGAAATAAAAAAGTACTTTAACTTTTTCTAATATTTGTATAAGTATAATATAGATTTGATAATATCATATAAATTAAATTGTTTTTTTAAAGATTTTTATCTAAGAAGAAATATTCAAAATATTCATATATATTATTGTATAGGTAGGTAATAAATAATAATATAACTTATTAGGAATATATATATATATATATACAAAATAATAGTATACAATTTTATTTATTTTGCTAAAATGTAATTATTTTTGCGAACTATTTATTGAAATTAAAATTGTAATAAATAATAATATGTAAGATTAAATCATTTAACAGAATTTGTGAACTAATTAGTTCACGAGCAAGACAATAACTAAGTGCATTCATACATTGCTCTGCGAATAAAATGTATATACAACCAGTAGACATCTCAAGGAATTTTAAATGGTGGAAATATATTAAATAATACAATTTTTGAATTTTAAGCCAATTTGGGACGGGGGAATATAACCTCCAACTCACCTATATACATTTACATGTTTCAGAGTATAATTAATGAGTTTACAAATAAAAAAAATTGTCCATTAATATTAGACATTTCAAAAATTGAATTACCTTCTTTAGTTCTTTATAATACTCAAAAATTAATAACTTTAAAAGAAAATAGAACATAATTATGTAGTAGCATTACAGAATTGATACACATTAGTTTAAAATATTTAACTAAAAACTGGAATCTTGCCATTTACTTATCATAAATGCTTAGTCTCCCAAAATTAAATAACTACTTACCTAACCTAACACAAATTCTAAAAATCATCGAATCTAAATTTTTAAATGATAAATTTACATAAATTAATACTAGAGTACTAAAGGTAACTATTTTTAGAAATTAAAATCAAATCTACTTAAACATTTAAGATATATTAGATAAAACTAGAAGAGGTATTCAATTATATAAATAGATTATTGATGTGCATTCACTTGTCAAACACCATACAAGTATTTAATTTTGATTTTATCATAAAAGTATCTACATTCACCTTCAAAATATTATACAGTGAATATATTATTAAACATAGGTAGTTTTAGTTCAATTCAGTGGCACTGATGTCTATGTTTATACATCAAGTTAAAAGTGAAATAGGAACATAAAATATTATATGTATTAATAATATATAGTTCAAAACATATTCTAATAGATAACCTCAATAAATTAAATGAATATTAAATTTTCCGCTAGGGAAACTTGACATATTAAGTTTTTAGATATTGGTGTAAATTATTTTCCCTATATAGTATACATAAAATAAAACAATATATATATATATTTTAAACTTGTGTATTGATATTTATATCTTGTTCATTATTAAAAATATTAATTGTATCTTCTTCATTATTAATAATATTGCTTGTATCAATTTTATTTTTTTTCTCAAATCGTTTTTGTCTTTTTTCTTTTCTTTTACGTTTGATAGATTGTTCTACCTCATCCGGATCCTTGCCTTCATTTATTAATTTTTTTCTTTTGTTAATTAAACGTCGTTCATCAAAATCAGTTTCATCCAATTTAATTTGCGCTTCTCTTTTTGTAACATGTACTTGAGTCAAAATCTTTGCAACATGAAGCCCTAGTAAGAAATAAAAATAAAATTATTAAAAGTTGTTTGAATATTCATGAAGAGCAATAACATAAAAATAATTGTAATATTTTAATGGAAAAGTGAAATATTACACTCTCACATTCTAAACCCCTGGTACCAGTTGTTAATTTAAAAGAGAAAGTCATATTAATGAATTTGACATCTGAAAACTAAAATGATGTACCAGAAATTCATGAGCAGCCAGTTGTTGAATTGCTGTTGGGGATAACCATTACGTGGATAGCTGTTTACTGCTAATTTTCAATCTGATGACCCACTGATCATGAATCTCCAGTACAATATTCCAGTTTTTGACCATCAATTCATCAAAATAACATTGTATACCTTTCAACAATTGAGAAAATACTACTAGGTGTTTAGAAGGTGAGCGAAGGGCAGCTTGATGGCAGTTCACCGTGTAAAATTTGACATATGACTTGTTTGAGTTTTAATCTTGACAAAAATTTTAAATTTTTCTTATGGTTATAAAATTGTCAAAATACATTCATTTTTTAAATTTGTTTTGTATACATCTCTCTTTTAAATGAAAAAAAGACTAAGATATTAATTTGAGCAAAGAAGCAACAAAACATAGTAACCAAAATATGTTTAGATAAGCACAAGCTTGACTATTATTACAGAATTACAGCAGATGGTAAGAAATGTAGACTTATACGACTGGAAAAGGTTGCATCCAGTAAAAAACCCTAACTATTTGCAAAATTAAACCTTAACACTAAGAAAAACCTATCGAAACATATATTTGGAGCATAGCACTTACATAGTTGTGTAATTTAGGTTACATAAATGAATCTGAAAGATAGGTACTCAAAGTGTTGGAGACACATGTAATACACAAATAATGATATAAGTAATAATAATTTAAGACACAAAATGTACTCGAAATAGTTGATAAAGAACAATCATTAATGAAGAAACAGTAAGAAGATGGAAAATAATAAAATATATACTTAGACATCTAGAAGAACTCGCAGAATAATAATAGAATGCACAATTGAAGGGAAAAAACCACCTGGATGACCTCACAACACGCTTATTGGGTAAATTAGGAAAGATGCAGGAGCTGCAAACTAACCTATAGATTAAAAAAAAACTTTTTTTTTGGATTCTTACTTATCCAAACAACATAGATTAGGTTATTGAATAGTAATTATATGATATCAAAAAATAATAACAAGAGTTAAAAATTGAATAATAATTAAAAGCATTTACTAAGTATACATAATAATATGAACAACCTGATAAAGCCCCTGAGTGATATATTGTCTCTTCAAGTATACACATTTGATACTCTACTACTCCACCAATCGCCCAAACCCAGAACGTTAGACCATTCAAATCTAATAGAATAGTGTTAAAAGTGAGATATTGAGTATCTCAGTGATAGAGCAATCGACCCGGTAAGCATAAGATTCAAATTTGATTTGAGGTCATTTAATTTTTAACAGTTTTTTTCTGGATGAGAATGGCAGTATCAAGCAAATTCAAATACCAGAAATAACTCAAAAAAGACAAAATATTTTGTTTATTATACTGTATAGAAAATTAAAATTTCACGTTACTACGATTATTTTCTACTGATAAACAAAAAAAATTGTTAACCATAAATAAATACATTTTTTTCAGAGTTGTAAATGATTTTATATCATTAATTTAACAAGCATAGATATGCATGTATAAGAATTGGCATAATCCAAAAGTCATAATATATGCCATTTTTAAAACAGTAATTTCTAATGAATGGAACAATGGATACGTTTTTAAAGGTACTAAATTTGAATTCCATCAAGTACCAAAGTTAATTTTCCATGGATGGCCCTTATAAGTCCACAAAATAACTACTTAAAATGTAAAATCCATTTTTTACTTATTAATATACTTAGAAGTACACAACTAAAAATTTATTTGAAACAAAAATGTATAATATACCTGAAACATCATATTCTTTTAAATGAATATTTATTTTTTGTTCAATTGCTTTAACTAGTTTTAAATCATGTTGAGTAATAATAGATACAGCTTGACCTGTTCTTCCTGCTCTTGCAGTTCTTCCAACTCTATGAACATAATCTGTAGCATTGTTTGGAATTACATGATTTATTACTAAAGATACGGCAGGAATATCTAGACCACGACTTGCAACATCTGTGGCAATTAAAATTTTGGAAACATGGGATTTAAACTTTGCCAAAGCAGCTAATCTTTGACGTTGGGATAACATTGCATGAAGTGCAACAGTGTCAAATCCAACTTCGTTCAAAGTCATATGTAATAACTGGCAATTTCTAAATAAGAATACATAAACATAATGTATATTACAGTTACACAATACACCAATATAAATATATTATACTATAATACTTGAATTAAAAATTATAGTTTAATATTTATAGGATATTTTATCTTAAGTTATAATCTATAGAGTGTCAATAATGACAGTAAAAGATATAATACCAATGAAATAATTTAAAACATTTGTTTTAAATACATACATGGGATTAAACATAACTAATAGTATTTCAATTATTATTATCTTAATATAAATAAATATATACATTCAACGTAAAGCATAATTTGAAAATAATACCAAATTATATTGCATAGTATGTTTGCACTTACTTGCATGTATCTGTAAATATCATAATCAATCCTTTTTCATCTTTTTCACGAAAATGTCTAACAATTTCTACTAAATATCCATCCTTTACATTGTATGGACAAAGAACAAAAAATTGTTCCAGTTCATCAACTGTTTTTATTTCAGTAGTTGATACAAATACAAAAGTCTAAATATAATAACACAATTTAAAATTATTGAATTTATACCTAAAAAATACTGGCATACTTCACACGATGGGCAAGCCATTATTGTGGGTAAGAAGTTTGGAAGGTAGGATATAGAAGGGAATTTAATGTATTTTTGTATGTAACAGTTAACCTTCAACATAGGTTTTAGTCCTATGTCGCGTATATACTCAAGATAGACCATCCTCTTCACAATTATTCCCTGATTCTAAACACCCTAATACCTAATAGTAGAATAGTAAATATCTTTACTTTTATCTCGACGTCTGGATGTTGATTTGGCCTTTATCACCATCCTTCATTGGATGTACCTGATCTGCTGGCCATGATTTCTTTTCGAATTCCATCATATGGTACTAGAAGCCATCAATTATTTCACAGAATGCTGTGTAATGCAAATAGTTTTAATATTGATACTGCCCTAGTTTGATTTTAAAGATTCACTTATCAATTTTCTATATTTTAAGTCTATATAAATTAGTTATATTTGTAAATATTCTTAAATACTTTTTTTTTTATTTATAATGTTCCTTATGTATATTGTCGTTAGGTTAATTTTCAAAAATAAATAAATAACCTTTGCTACTGAAAAATGATTCTGAGTGAAGTTCAGTTATATGTTTTAGAAGGCTGTATTTATTTAGGATTTTTATCAAAATTTGACAATACAAATCTTATTAAAACAAAAAAAAATACTACATTAAACTCAACTTTTTCTTATTGACCACTAAGTACAACTTATAACGAATCTATTATTAAATTGCTAAGCATTTCTGTTTGGTCTAATAATTTTATCCACCTAATCCTAATCCACCTTTATCTTGCTGAATAAATAAAACATAAAAAAAAATCTTAAAATAAAATATCTATAAATAGCTCAGAAATGGATCAAATGTTTTAAAAATGTTAAGACTAATAAAGGCAATTTTAAGTTTTCTATCCAAATTTCAAGTCTCTACAAACATTTTTAACTACATTACAACAAGAAAACAAAATTGAAAATAATGATAAATTAAAAAAAATTCAAGCAAGTGTCAATATTTTTGTTATTCATGTATTTTCATTCCGATTTCTTTTAATAATTTCATTTTTTAGTTAATACAGTATATAATGTAATTTAAATCCATTTAAGTTATTATTTATATAGATATACATACAATTTCTTTCTATATCCAACCTTTCCACATACAACAGTGGCCCACCTATCATGCAAAGTATGTCAGTCTATATTAAGTTATATCATTTTAGACCACAATTTAAGTTGTCTAATTAACCTAACCTATAATTTAATTCATTACAGAATTTTTCTATTTATATATATACACAGTGTATTCCGCTTGATGTGGTCATGTTAAGACCAGCCCTGTTTGCTTACATTAAGGAGTTGCCCATAAAAACTGAAATTAATTAAAAAACATAAAAAATGTTTAATATCAAAATAGTTTTTATTTTGCACACGTGAACCATACTATTGAAAAAAATATTAAACTACTGCACAAATAAAACTAAATATAATGTACTAAACAAAATTACTATTTGGATGTGGAAAGTATACAAAACGTAATAGCTTGTTGTCTAAGCTGTTTAGTGTAGATCTGGTTATCAAAATGGGCACGCGCTTCAAGCTTATCATATAGATTATTTTCATTACTCTCTTGCATAAAATCACATACAATTCTAAATATTTAGTTAACAAAATCCCATTTAAGTTTAAATGGAAATGCTTTTTATAATACAAATTTTTGATTAGTATACAATCTCATAGATACGATGAAACCAGATCATATAAGTTATTTTTAAATACATATGTGTATATTCTAGCACTATGATAAAATAAAAATTGCCACATAAACTTATTTGAGTACCCATATTAAACAATTTTTTTTTCAACCTTACTAATATACTTTTGGGACCAGACCATTTTGACCATATTACCTATTGCGGATGCCTGTATAACCGGTGTTCACATTAGGCAGAATCCACTATATATATACTATATAGGTATTTACTAAGTAATAAATGACTTACATTTTTTTTTGTTATCATTTTAACTTTTTCAAGAGTGTCCGTCATAGTAGCACTAAATAATAAAGTCTGTCTTTCTTTTGGAAGTTCACTAAAAATAGTTGTTATTTGTTTATCAAATTTACCACCTAATAATCTATCTGCTTCATCCAGTACCAAAAATTTTATACTTTTCAGTGAGAAAGTGTTACAACTTTCTAAATGATCTGCAAGCCTAGGTAAATAGTAAAATAAATATAATTTGAATATACTTTATACACTATATATATGACTATCCAGAATGTTAATACCTCCCAGGTGTTGACACAACAATATGAGGTTTATTTGATAATTCTCGGGCTTGAACTATCATTTCCATTCCTCCTGTAACTACACAATGTCTGAGATTCTTAGATTTACCAAGTACAGCAAATTGATCTGCAATCTATACATACAATAATAATAATAATATTATATATTTAAAATATAAATAAATAAATTTACTTGATATGCCAATTCTCTATTAGGTGTAAGTATAAGTGCAAATATTCCATAGGGGTCTTCCCAGAGTTTTTGAAGAATAGGCAAGGCAAAAGCTAACGTTTTACCACTTCCAGTTTTAGCACAACCAATACAATCAATTCCATCCAATATTTTTGGTATACAATTTGTTTGGATTTCAGTAGGTGATTTTACACCTAATAATTTAATACATTACATATAATACATAATAATAATAATAAAACATGTTATGTTTCAGTAGGTTCTTACCAATTGCTTGAAGTTGATTGCATAAGTATTTTGACAACCGTAAATTAAGAAAACTCATCGTGTCTTGATTCATGACTCGTGAGTAGTGTGAAACTGTGGAGTGGATTTAAAAAATAAAAATATTATAATCATGTAACATAAATCATGATAAATATTGATAATGTAATAGGTATGTTATCATTTTTATGAATTCTGATACGTATACCTCCTCCATTTTTATGACGTCATCTTTCATCACATATTTTTTTTTCATGGATAAGATAAGCATTAAGCATGGGCCACAGATATCTAAATCATGATTTAATATATCTTAAATTGTGATTATATTCTATAATATAGATATCTGTGGCATGGGCTCAACTCACATTTATACTTATCTATGCATGGGCATGTCCCCCTGTGGGAAATATTAAAACATTTAAAACCAACAAAAAATAATTTTGCCGGCCCATACACGATCAATAACCCTAGGTATTGGTCGTTGTCCGTTGATCAATATAAGATGGGTCATGTTAATTGTTCAATGTACCATAGGTGCCTATTGAAATAATCAAAAATATATTGATATTAATTGCTGGGATGTCAATATTATCCTATATTCGCGGAGAGATTATTTGCGGAACTGAATGTTGATAAATAAGTATTGATCAATATTCATAACATGTTAGTGGCTAGTGTTCAATATTTAAAAATTGATGACAATGACATTGATTAATTAGTATCATGTATAGGACTTAAGCAGTGGCGAGCCATCATAGGATAATGTGGGGCAGTATCCCGAGGCTCTAGAGATCTGAAATTACTTCAATGAAATAATTTCAAATAAAGAATGTTTTAAATTTTATTTGCTAATACTTTAGTCACAATCAGTATTTAAACAGTATAATAATATACACAAATACACAAAATAATATGCAATGGACAATTTTAACTATAGGTCCTGATAGTTATAATTTGTATAGTATAACAAACTGTGTAGCAAACTATATTTCATTTTACTTTGTTTATTTATTAATAATCTGTTTTTATTTTCATTTGTGATTTCATAGTAAGTATTTATACTTAAAAGTTCTTACGTAAAGTATATTTCAAATTCGCATAAATATTATTGTATATTTGAGATTTTTTAACACTTTTATTTAATTGTATATAAAAAAGATTATATTATTAATATATAGAGGATCTAATTTTTTAATGGTTCTTTTTTAATTGGCCCTTTTCCATCTAGCTATGCCACTAGCTTTAAGCCATAGGTATAAGACTGATATACGCATACATGCGTATACATAGGGTATACGTACCTGTGCTACGTAAATGAGTAGGTACCAGCATAGACTTAAGCAGTTAAGCTTTTCAATTACGATTAAACAATTTTCCGAATGAATCCCGGTATGATAACAAAACCGGATGGGTAATAGACAATAGTGAAAAAAAAAGACGAACATACATCGCACATGGGTGGGCCTGTGTCGTAGGTGGGAAATTGGGAAGGTAGAGAGGAAATTTAATGTATAACTGAACGCATCGATTAACCGTTGCTAACAAAAAATGATTCTGAGCGGAGTTCAGTTAATAGTGTTGCTTTGTCAACAATATATATGTCATATTACGGTAAAATAATTACATAATAGTATGTATTATATATTTTCTTTAAAAAAATTGTTTTCAATATTGTATAGTATTTTCCTGTTTTTGCAAAATAAATATTTATATTGTAATAATATTTACAAAATACGCCACCGGGCGGAAAATCTAAATGACAATATTACAAACCGAAAATGTTTCCGAAAAAAAAAACATATAAAATAGTATATTTTTACGGAATGATCATCCAATCAAAACAAATGTGTTAGTGGGTCGCCACGACATAAAATGTTAGAAAACAGCTAGTGGTTCAGTCAAGAGTTAACGTTGTAATTAGCTTCATATTTTGATAACACGTTAATGTCTTATGACGTATATTCGTTATTTTCCTTTTCCGTAGGTGTGTAATAAATATAATATTTATTTAAACGACCCGTGTGTTAACATGAAAACATAAAAAAATAAAAGCACAATTAAATTAAATAGGTAGTATAATATTCATTCGTGACGAGTACCTACCAGTTTTAATTTATTTATTTATCTACATAGTGACAATTGTTTATAATTGTATTCAATGCATTTTTTTTTTTTATTGTTAAAATATCTTTTTTTTATGCGGTTTTATTTAGTAGTAATATCGTGAATATATCCCAATTAGTTTTCTTTTTTACGAAAAAATGTAGATATGTCTTTCGGTGAGAAACACTAAATATTACAATTACGAATAATAGAAGCTAGGTGATCGATAGGTAGCAAGAGCGGTCATACGGGGGGATGAGGAGGATAAATCCTCCCTCATTAACAAATTTTTTTTAATTATTTATAATGATTATATATAATATAATATTATATCTTTATAGCTGTAAAAAAAAAATTATGTGAATAATGGTAGTTCTTAAAAATTATCCAATATCCATATACCCCCCCCCCCCTCCACCCCATGACAAAATCATTTAACCGGCACTGATAGATGCCATGAACACTATTCGAGATTTCTGAATCTCTAGTATTCATGGTACATATGATAGGTAGGTATCTAGAGAGCCTAGACAATAAAATAATAGCCAACTAATATAGCACCCATTTTTCTTTCAAACCTTTTTCACCTTTTTCATGTTTGAAATAGTATTTTAATAAAATGATTGTTTTGTAAATTATAAAATATATTATAATATTATGTAAGCAAAATATAATAATTATGTACAAATTTAATTTCGAACATAAAAACAGTGGAAAAAGTTACGATGAAAAATAGTTGTGATACCAGTTGGCCACTATCTTATTTCAGAGATCTTTACCTATATCCATCACTTTCGCATACACATATAAATATATATACATACATAATATAATATAATATAATATATATATATATATATATATATCCAACTAGAATAAAAAAAACATAAACAAAATATTTTATCATTTTTGTGCTATTAAATATACAATACATTAGGCTGTTTTTATTTTAAACTTTTTTTTTCGAATTAAGACTGGAAATTGCTTCCTTGTGGTCAAAAACTTACCCCCCCAAAAAAAAAAATCGAGCCCGAAAAATTATTTTCAGAACTCGCTCATTTCACATATTTAGTTTTTACATTTAAAATATTAAACATAGGAAAGTAACGATACTTTCAATTAAATCACATTTACTCATTAATTTCGAAAGTTACGAGGTTGAACATAGTTTATTTTTAAAAATCACAAAAAAATTACATAAAATTAATTTGAAATCAAGTTCTATTTTACTGTTATAAGAATAGCTCATTTGTAAAAATCTATACAAATTCTCGAATTTTTAATTTTTAACTCATTATAGTCTACGAAGCTGATTTATAACCAAGGATCAATAGTAAGGTATTTTCATAACTTACAAAATGAACCTTACTTGAAGATTTTTGATGAAAAGTTGCGAATTTATAAAACTTTATAATATAAATAAAAAAAAGTTATAAAAACTCAGTTTGTATAGATTTCTACAAAATTAGTTATTCTTATAACAGTAAAATTTCACCTGTTTCTAAGTGAATCTTTTTTATTTTTTTTTTTTTGTGATCTTTAAGAAAAAACTATGTACAACCTAGTAACTTTCGAATTTATGAGTAAATGTGATTTAATTGAAAGTATCGTCACTTTAAATGTTATTTAAATGGGAAAACTAAATATGTGAAATTCTAAAAAATTTTTTCGGGCTCAAATTTGTTTGGGTAAGTTTGAAACCACAAGGAAACAATTTCCAGTCTTAATTGGAAAAAAAAAAAATTAAAAAACAAAACAGCCTAATATATTGTTATATTTAATATCACAGAAAAGGTTAAACATTTTATTTGGGTTTTCTTATTCTAGTTGGGTTGTCAACGTGCATCGTCTTATCAGTTCACTAGATCAATCAGTACGTTGCAATTAAAATGTGTCTAAATCCCTATATCTCACGTATGTAAGACAATAACAGAAACTCGTCGCTTCCAAACCCCTTAAAAATAGAATCCTTCATAAGTACCACTTTGTTTAATTTAATAAATTGTAATAATATATACCTACTTATTAGCTTTCTTTCACACTATTTTAAAAATAAATCACTTCTATTAGAAGTAATTTATTGCTGGTACTTATCATTCTGTTTATGTCAGTATGGGAGATTATACACCTTGCATTATAAATAGTAATTTATTAAAGAAACTTTAGATTATTTACTGTAAGAAGGTTACCTTTTTATTATGGTTTCATTGTAGTTCTAGAATACAATATACCTAGTGAATGTTGATAGCGAAAATTCTCCATTCATAGTAACAAATAATAATAAGTGATAAATTTATTTAGGTTCATATTTATTTATTCTTATAATTACAATTATTACCTATCTATTACAATAAAACTTCACACGGTTGAAGTAATAATTATAGTGGTTTAACAGATTGTAATGCGTATTTTATTAATACCTATACCTACATATTTTTATGCATGTACACGTTTATAACAAACATTAAATGTTCTTTTAAGCTTTCGTTCTGTACTATTCATATTATCTATGTGTTATTATGTCATTATTATTATTCATTAAATTGCATGATGCATTTAAATCTACGAGGTTATGATTTTATTATAATATATGATATAACAGGTAGGTAGGTACATAAAATAATACTATACCTTCACATTAACGTAGTGCTTACATTATAATAATAATATGATTATAGATTCAAAAGATAATCCACAAAATATCACCAAGTTGAATTTGTTCATAGTAGGTATTTATATTATCATTTGGAATTGTAATCTAATAGTATCCGTATTCATATATTTTTATTATTGATGTAGTATTCTCAATCTATGGTCAAGAACCGAAATTGGCAAAATATTTTTAATAATTCATAGAATCGTTGACGGGTACATGGTTAGTGTGATTTGTTGTGCGACGTAAAAATAAGTAGCTCGGATACCAAATGGATACTCACCGAGGGGCACTAGTGTTCCGATGTGAACTGGTTGGAGTAGTAATATAGTCTACAATTTGTTAGCGCCGATCGGTATGAATTCCCCTTAATCAATCTACA